TTAGCCATTTTCAGCTATTTTTCAAATTTTTACAATTTTCAGGAATTTTTGCAATTTTTAGTAATTTTTGCAATTTTTGTCTTTTTGCGATTTTTGCTATTTTCAGGAATTGGGCATTCCAAATAAAAAAATTTAGATGTTAACAGATCTGGTAACCCAACCTAAGATATGTTACCAGATCTAGTAACCTAACCTAAGATATGTTACCAGATCTAGTAACCTAACCTAGGATATGTTACCAGATCTAGTAACCCAACCTAAGATATGTTACCAGATCTAGTTACCTAACCTAGGATATGTTACCAGATCTAGTAACCTAACCTAAGATATGTTACCAGATCTAGTAATTTTTGCAATTTTTGTCTTTTTGCGATTTTTGCTATTTTCAGGAATTGGGCATTCCAATTAAAAAAATTGAGATGTTAACAGATCTGGTAACCCAACCTAAGATATGTTACCAGATCTAGTAACCTAACCTAAGATATGTTACCAGATCTAGTAACCTAACCTAGGATATGTTACCAGATCTAGTAACCTAACCTAAGATATGTTACCAGATCTAGTAACCTAACCTAAGATATGTTACCAGATCTAGTAACCTAACCTAAGATATGTTACCAGATCTAGTAACCTAACCTAGGATATGTTACCAGATCTAGTAACCTAACCTAAGATATGTTACCAGATCTAGTAATTTTTGCAATTTTTGTCTTTTTTGCGATTTTCGCAATTTTCAGGAGTATTTGCAATTTTCAGTAATTTTTGCAATTTTTAGCCATTTTCAGCTATTTTTTGAATTTTTACAATTTTCAGTAATTTTTGCAATTTTTAGTAATTTTTGCAATTTTTGTCTTTTTGCGATTTTTGCTATTTTCAGGAATTGGGCATTCCAATTAAAAAAATTTAGATGTTAACAGATCTGGTAACCCAACCTAAGATATGTTACCAGATCTAGTAACCTAACCTAAGATATGTTACCAGATCTAGTAACCTAACCTAGGATATGTTACCAGATCTAGTAACCTAACCTAAGATATGTTACCAGATCTAGTATCCTAACCTAAGATATGTTACCAGATCTAGTAACCTAACCTAGGATATGTTACCAGATCTAGTAACCTAACCTAAGATATGTTACCAGATCTAGTAATTTTTGCAATTTTTGTCTTTTTTGCGATTTTCGCAATTTTCAGGAGTATTTGCAATTTTCAGTAATTTTTGCAATTTTTAGCCATTTTCAGCTATTTTTTAAATTTTTACAATTTTCAGTAATTTTTGCAATTTTTAGTAATTTTTGCAATTTTTGTCTTTTTGCGATTTTTGCTATTTTCAGGAATTGGGCATTCCAATTAAAAAAATTTAGATGTTAACAGATCTGGTAACCCAACCTAAGATATGTTACCAGATCTAGTAACCTAACCTAAGATATGTTACCAGATCTAGTAACCTAACCTAGGATATGTTACCAGATCTAGTAACCTAACCTAAGATATGTTACCAGATCTAGTACCTAACCTAGGATATGTTACCAGATCTAGTAACCTAACCTAAGATATGTTACCAGATCTAGTAATTTTTGCAATTTTTGTCTTTTTTGCGATTTTTGCAATTTTCAGGAGTATTTGCAATTTTCAGTAATTTTTGCAATTTTTAGTCATTTTCAGCTATTTTTTAAATTTTTACAATTTTCAGGAATTTTTGCAATTTTTAGTAATTTTTGCAATTTTTGTCTTTTTGCGATTTTTGCTATTTTCAGGAATTGGGCATTCCAAATAAAAAAATTGAGATGTTAACAGATCTGGTAACCCAACCTAAGATATGTTACCAGATCTAGTAACCTAACCTAAGATATGTTACCAGATCTAGTAACCTAACCTAGGATATGTTACCAGATCTAGTAACCTAACCTAAGATATGTTACCAGATCTAGTAACCTAACCTAGGATATGTTACCAGATCTAGTAACCTAACCTAAGATATGTTACCAGATCTAGTAATTTTTGCAATTTTTGTCTTTTTTGCGATTTTTGCAATTTTCAGGAGTATTTGCAATTTTCAGTAATTTTTGCAATTTTTAGGCATTTTCAGCTATTTTTTAAATTTTTACAATTTTCAGGAATTTTTGCAATTTTTAGTAATTTTTGCAATTTTTGTCTTTTTGCGATTTTTGCTATTTTCAGGAATTGGGCATTCCAAATAAAAAAATTGAGATGTTAACAGATCTGGTAACCCAACCTAAGATATGTTACCAGATCTAGTAACCTAACCTAAGATATGTTACCAGATCTAGTAACCTAACCTAGGATATGTTACCAGATCTAGTAACCTAACCTAAGATATGTTACCAGATCTAGTACCTAACCTAGGATATGTTACCAGATCTAGTAACCTAACCTAAGATATGTTACCAGATCTAGTAATTTTTGCAATTTTTGTCTTTTTTGCGATTTTTCCAATTTTCAGGAGTATTTGCAATTTTCAGTAATTTTTGCAATTTTTAGTCATTTTCAGCTATTTTTTAAATTTTTACAATTTTCAGGAATTTTTGCAATTTTTAGTAATTTTTGCAATTTTTGTCTTTTTGCGATTTTTGCTATTTTCAGGAATTGGGCATTCCAATTAAAAAAATTGAGATGTTAACAGATCTGGTAACCCAACCTAAGATATGTCACCAGATCTAGTAACCTAACCTAAGATATGTTACCAGATCTAGTAACCTAACCTAGGATATGTTACCAGATCTAGTAACCTAACCTAAGATATGTTACCAGATCTAGTAACCTAACCTAAGATATGTTACCAGATCTAGTAACCTAACCTAAGATATGTTACCAGATCTAGTAATTTTTGCAATTTTTGTCTTTTTTGCGATTTTTGCAATTTTCAGGAGTATTTGCAATTTTCAGTAATTTTTGCAATTTTTAGCCATTTTCAGCTATTTTTCAAATTTTTACAATTTTCAGGAATTTTTGCAATTTTTAGTAATTTTTGCAATTTTTGTCTTTTTGCGATTTTTGCTATTTTCAGGAATTGGGCATTCCAAATAAAAAAATTTAGATGTTAACAGATCTGGTAACCCAACCTAAGATATGTTACCAGATCTAGTAACCTAACCTAAGATATGTTACCAGATCTAGTAACCTAACCTAGGATATGTTACCAGATCTAGTAACCTAACCTAAGATATGTTACCAGATCTAGTTACCTAACCTAGGATATGTTACCAGATCTAGTAACCTAACCTAAGATATGTTACCAGATCTAGTAATTTTTGCAATTTTTGTCTTTTTGCGATTTTTGCTATTTTCAGGAATTGGGCATTCCAATTAAAAAAATTGAGATGTTAACAGATCTGGTAACCCAACCTAAGATATGTTACCAGATCTAGTAACCTAACCTAAGATATGTTACCAGATCTAGTAACCTAACCTAGGATATGTTACCAGATCTAGTAACCTAACCTAAGATATGTTACCAGATCTAGTAACCTAACCTAAGATATGTTACCAGATCTAGTAACCTAACCTAAGATATGTTACCAGATCTAGTAACCTAACCTAGGATATGTTACCAGATCTAGTAACCTAACCTAAGATATGTTACCAGATCTAGTAATTTTTGCAATTTTTGTCTTTTTTGCGATTTTCGCAATTTTCAGGAGTATTTGCAATTTTCAGTAATTTTTGCAATTTTTAGCCATTTTCAGCTATTTTTTAAATTTTTACAATTTTCAGTAATTTTTGCAATTTTTAGTAATTTTTGCAATTTTTGTCTTTTTGCGATTTTTGCTATTTTCAGGAATTGGGCATTCCAATTAAAAAAATTTAGATGTTAACAGATCTGGTAACCCAACCTAAGATATGTTACCAGATCTAGTAACCTAACCTAAGATATGTTACCAGATCTAGTAACCTAACCTAGGATATGTTACCAGATCTAGTAACCTAACCTAAGATATGTTACCAGATCTAGTATCCTAACCTAAGATATGTTACCAGATCTAGTAACCTAACCTAAGATATGTTACCAGATCTAGTAACCTTACCTAAGATATGTTACCAGATCTAGTAACCCAACCTTAGATATGTTTACAATTTTCAGGAATTTTTGCGATTTTTGCAATTTTTGCAATTTTCAGGAGTTTTTGCAATTTTCAAGCATTTTTGCAATTTTCATAGATTTCCGCAATCTTCAGGGATATCCAAGAAAAACTAAAAAAAAAATGGCATAATGAATCTAAGATATGTTACCAAATCTAGTAACCCAACCTAAGATATGTTACCAGATTTAGTAACCCAACCTAAGATATGTTACCAGATCTAGTAACCTAACCTGAGATATGTTACCAGATTTAGTAACCCAACCTGAGATATGTTACTAGATCTAGTAACCTAACCTAAGATATGTTACCAAATCTAGTAACCTAACCTGAGATATGTTACTAGATCTAGTAACCTAACCTAAGATATGTTACCAAATCTAGTAACCTAACCTGTGATATGTTACCAGATCTAGTAACCTAACCTGAGATATGTTACCAGATCTAGTAACCTAACCTGAGATATGTTACCAGATTTAGTAACCCAACCTGAGGTGGCATTGAAATAAGTGCAAATATTTCAAGCCTTGAGTAAGCTCGACGTAAACTATCTAATGGCACCAATAAAAAAAATATAGGGATCAGAATGAAATTTGAGGTTAGATCCCATTTTCCACCCAAAGTTCCACACTGTAGCAATTCTGACGTCACTTCCATTCAAATTTTCATGCAGAAGGCACAATCACGCGGATTTCAATCATTTACATTGTTTTAAAGTGGCATACTTGATTTTTTTCTCGTTTTTTGTTCAATTTTTGGGATGAAATTTCTTGTTAATTTCATGGGAATATTCGTTATATCCATGTGCTGATTATATGTACGTATTTCAAAAACCCCTTGTATGTAAAACGAAGCCTGTTCGGACGTGTTTAAATGGGAACTTTTTTTGTTATTGCTGCAGAGGTTCAGTGTCGAACATGTTGGTCACTTCATGCAAAGACAACATCTGCCGATTGTGGGTAGAAACTGTTCTACCAGAAGACGGTTTAGTGAATCTGTCACAGCTCGATCCACAAGCTCATCATCCGAAATTCAGGACCCACAGACACAAGCACAGGTTCATGCAGAGATTGAAACACATGAAGTAAGTTGAAAAGAATATTAGTTCATTAGTCCAGCAATAAGGTTTGAAGAACCATGGCAAATTTTCAAATGACCCATGAATTTTCCACATTTGGAATTCTGCATATATTATTATATTCTTTACCTTTTTAGAAAATTTGCAAATTCTCTATCATGAAAATCTTCCAAATTCTCTTCTAATTTAAAAATACTTCGTTGCTATTCGCATTCATTTTCCGAATTTTTTGTGTGAATGAAATCCCTGTACTTGAATAATTGATTTCAGAATAATTATGTATTATTTGAATAAAATCTCAAGGATATTGACTGATCGTGGGTAAGTGGCAAAATCGCTGAATGGTTTTCTTACAGGTGTAGACATTGATCTTATTTACCTAGAATATACAGGTTGAGTCTTTTTCAACGCAACTAAATTTAGAAATCAATAGAACAATCCAAATAAGTCAGTGAGGTAACAGAAAATTAAGCCCCTAGGATACAGAAAGCAGTTTATTATATTATTATTGAAAGGGAATATTCTCAAATATATTATGAATATAAAAAAAATGGTTGAAAACGTATCGCCCTGTATTTCGCCGTATAGGCTGCATCTTATCGCTTACTGGGCCATATCATATTTTCAGGTTATGCGGTTAACGTAGCTTCTTTGACTTTTGAATTTGGCAGCGTTCAATTTTTCGGCGCTATTTAACGTATTTGCGTATTCGAATAGTCTTCATAACTATTCCTCCCCTGAAATAAAACCACCATTAATTTTTTTCTAGGACATGCTTTCATATAAGACGCAATGCAAAGCAACATGTTTATGGTCCTGGGGGACCATCTCCGCCTATACCGACCCTGCCGTCCACTTATAGTGTGCACGACTTTCACTCCTATGGATACCATGGAACAGGTCAGTTTATGCAAAAACAACGACCATTTCATAAAATTAAAATTTTCATTCCTCTGTATAGTTTATGAGAATTCATTGAATTGAACACATATATATTTTTTTTCGTGTCATCAAAGAGTTCAGATCAAATTCGTCAAAATATAGCTCCTCCACCATTTTCATGACGTTTAGAAAAGCCATATACGCGCAGCGCAGTACAGCGTTACAAGATTTATTGACTAATCTAATGATTCCGGAAATTTCGCTCTCACATCATAATAATAATCTTTATAATTCCCAAGAATGCTTATAGCAGGGAAAATTGTGAAAGAGCAACTAAAAAAATGAAATTAGGTAATCAGATAATCATTTTTAAATCATATACATAGTACATTATAATGTTGTTTCTTCTAGAGGCTGTTGAATATACTGTTGAACGATGATATAAGAGAATCAAAGACATAAGTATTTTTTCAGTTCTTTTTTGAATTTCTTAACACTTAATTTTTTCTTCAGTCTAGCAGGTAATTCATTAAAGAGAATTGTTCCATTGTATAAAATAGATCTTTTACCCATATCTGATTTGATTTTGATGAGAGTTAACATATCTTTTTGTCTGGTTATGTGTTCGTGTTTATGACTAAAGACTTCAAAATTCAGATTTGAATGTTTATAATTATATCTGACGGGATGGATGAAATTTAATATTTTGAATTTGTAAAAAACAATTGCCTAGGTTTATAAAGATTTCTTGTTGGTTTCAAGTAATCTAGTCTGGATATACATTTAATACCTTTGTTTTGAAGGATTTTGTTTGGTTTTATAATCGATAACCTAGCTGTACCCCAAACTGAAATCAAGTATTGTGAATTTGAATGAACCAAGGAAAAATATATACATTTTAAGTATTTCAAAGTGATTATATTTACTCCGATTACTGTAGATATTTTCTTTCTGATCGATTCAATGGTACTTGAAATGACGTATTCATTCAATAGTATGGGTAGAAATTGGATTATTTCTTAAAATTATATACCGAATACCTGATCAAATGGGAATTATAGACGAAACATATAATAGACAATGAAAAATTATGGGTATATACAAAATAAGAGAGAGGACATCAGAAACATAATACTAGGTAGTTGAATGATAATTCAATGACAATTCGTTCGAGGGAAACTTCCTCATTGGACTTCTAGTTGAATTGATATTTTCCAGGGATCACTCCAGGGCTGCATTTTCATTTAGCTGCTTCTGTCAATGCGGAAACTGATATACCGCTAGTGCCGAGCATCACTTATTGTAATCCACGGCCTGCTTTCGTTTTGCACTGGTTGGACAACAAGGAGATGCAGTTCAATTTCCAGGCTGAACTTTTCTTAGAAGAATTTGCCAGGTGAATTTGAGTCGTTAAAGTGACTCAATAATTGGTTTTGATTTTTTTTTCAGGCCTGTTGTCGATAATCCAGAGTCGGAGGAGTCGTCAGAAGAGCCTTTAATGGAATCCGGAGATGCCAGAATCGAGAGCTTCTTGAGAGATTGGCACCACAGTCCAGACTTGCTGTTCAGCATCCACCCTGTAGATGGAAGTTTTTTGATATGGTACTATTAATTAATCAGAATGTTCACACGACTGCTTCCAATTTCATTTCATTCATGACCCAAAAAAAGTTATTGGTATTGGTAGGTGTGGATGGTGACCCGATTAGATCTATTGTGTCTCATCCTCTTCTGATATCTCAAGGCTTTCTTGTTCATAGCAGCCCCTCAAGCTTTTGTTCTTTCAAGTTTTTTGAAGATTCAGAGCGGATTTGTTTGTGGTATTTATCCCATAGTCACTTGAAATAATCTCAGTATATTCAATCTTTTTTGATGTTTAACAGTCACTCGTCACCCCAACAAGTTGTGGTGGGGTGTTTATAGATTTCTGAGTCTACAATGCACCGTTAGAAATCCCGTTATTGCCTTGAGACTAATGTTGCTGAGGATAATCAGTGTCTTCGATCTTGCTCGATTGGAAATGCCGAGGAGATCTTTCACCTGTCGCAGTCCAAGTCATTTTCAGTGTCTTGCGTTATTGCTTACACAGCTAAAAGGTTTATAAATGTCAAAAATCAAATCAATCAAATTAATGAATATCTAGCCACAATACATTTTATGTAATATAATCTTTGTGGTCGACCGACTTGGTGTATTTCTGTTTTTCTTTCATCAATAGATTTGACCCATATAATCAACCGCGATTTTCCTAAATGTGTGTATATGTGATGGTACACAGGGTTATAGTTGGACGAATTCCACCTTGGATATTTCTGGCGAGCTCAGTTGTCGACGACCGCCAGCCTGTACCTTTGCAACGACCAAGTGAATATGCGATCCTAACTTATCGACTAAGATTAACAGTTCTTGATTTTGCGTTTGCACTTGTTCTGCACTAATTAATGTACATTTGATATTATCCGGCTCGAAGGACCATGAATAACTTTGTGTAATTCGGATTGGATAACTTTGTGGTATATTTTCTCGTTGGTCACAAGGTAGAAATGATATGTTTTTTCTCCTTTTTGAACAATCCAATGGGGGATTGAAAAATTATCAGTTTTTTTGCAAATCTGATTGAACTTTTTGCACATCGAATGAATTGGAGATTCCAATAGTATATTCGTTCTTGGAGTAGGCAAATAAAAACAAAGAGAACTCATGCGGAATCCTGGACAATCGAGGGCACGCTACCTATAGATTTGCCGAGTATAATCAACCGCGATTCTCCTAAAAATGTGTATACATATATGTCGTAATATACAGGGTGGTAGAGTGGTTGGACGAATTCCATCCTGGATCGTTCCGGCAAGCTCAGGTGTCTTTTTCGACTAGAATTCCCTCGGCTTTTCCTCTGGGCGACTCGATGAGCATGTCGACGACCGTCAGCCTGTACCACACGACGCCCTTGCTGAAGCACCTCGTCAGAGAGGCCGTCAACAAGGAGTCGTGCCACAGGGAGAGGACGACGACGGTGAAGGAGGAGGATGATGCGAAGTCGCAGAAAGATGTGAGTGGATGATAAAGATTGTTTTTTAATACTGTATTCATCAGAGAGGTATAGAAAGAGGGAAGATACAACATTTCATTCATAAAACACTATTTGTTTACAGTCATACATACTTTAGAAGTTTCAAATGAGTTCGAAAGAGATTTTTTTAAACAAGGTAACGCTGTGAACTGTGCGTTAATGTTCATACTTTCCTTTGCCGGTCGCGTAGATTAAGCGAGGGACAAGACAATTTTACTACAATAACAACGATATTATACCTATTAAAAAATGTTTGGATCTTATCATTTAATTCTGATACCAAATATCCGTAATACCTTAGCTACTTACCTAATTTTGATCCATCATTCAGTGGAATTTGAACAAAAGAAACAAGTACTGTCTGTAGGTTTCGAGGAGGTGGTACATTCATTATTCCGAATTTTTCGGGATTTTCTCTCCTCGTTTCTATAAAATGAAAATATGAATATTATCTCAATATACGTGTAGTAAGGACAAATCAGATGATTTGCCCCAAAATGTCACTGCGTTTAAAGAATTTTTCTATCAGAGAGCCGAAAAGAAAAATTCACTAGCTTGTCAGTGAAGAAGAAGAGAAATAAAGGTATATAGAAAAAATTTTCACTTATCTTTGGACGTTTCGGGACCAAATCTGCTCCCGTTTTCATCATAAGAAATGATTATTTTAATAGCAAAGTCGTATCTGTCTTGAAGTTTTTCAGTTTTCATTGACAATTGGTGACGTTGGCAATCAAATGAGTTACAGGATGTTTTCATTAATTAATCTTGAATTCACCATTTTCAAGTTCAGATTTTAGTAGTGAATACCATGTTCTGTCTATATCAACTGAACAAGAAGCAATGCTATTGTCTCCGTTCAGCTGATATATACAGAACATGGTATTCACTACTAAAATCTGAACATGAAAATGGTATATTCAAGATTAATTAATGAAAACATCCTGTAACTCATTTGATTGCCAACGTCACCAATTGTCAATGAAAACTGAAAAGCTTCAAGACAGATACGACTTTGCTATCAAAATAATCATTAGGGGTATTCCGGAGCCCTCGTATCTGACTTCGTATATTTACGAAAATGGCCTACGTATTCTTACGAAACCTCAAACACGGGAAAGACCCATGGATAGCAATGTAAACTGTCAGCTTATTCCGAAGCTTCCAGTGCGAAATTGAAAAATTCTAATTCATCATCTGTCTTGGAAACAGAGCTAGAACTGTATGACTGAAAATACAATTTCAATAATTCAAGTCCTTCTCCAAGATTGACACATAGTTTTTGTTCTTATTCTTGCCATTTTTGAAATACCTTTATCCAAATCGAAATTCTCAATACCAGAGATTAGTTGCTATAATCAGAGGTATTTATATTGTGCTTTATGCTCAGGCCACGCAGCTCAAAAAAATAAAAATTCGTTAATCATAATTTTGAATAATAACAATAACCCTAACCTCACCACTTGAAACACGGAACACGGGACAAACTTCTGTCAGAACACTTTTGTCAGAACGGCAATTTTGTAATCTTACACAAGAAAATGGTAGTGTAAAGTTACGAAGGACCGCGTATTCTAATCGACCAATCAGATTAGTTTGCTGAATACGACGATACGAAAATACGAAGCATACGAGGACCGGGAATACCCCTATGTCTTATGTTGAAAACGGGAGCAGATTCGGTCCCGAAACGTCCAAGGATGAATGAAAATTTGATATTTTTTCTATATACCTTCTCTTCTTCAAACTTTTTTCAATACAAATTGTCACTGACAAGCTAGTGAATTTTTCTTTTAGGCTCTCTGATAGGAAAATTCTTTAAACGCAGTGACATTTTGGGGCAAATCATCTGATTTGTCCTTACTACACGTATATTGAAATAATATTTATATTTTCATTTTATAGAAACGAGGGGAGAAAATCCCAAAAAATTTGGAATAATAAAAGAAACAAGGTTTCTTGCTATAATTCAATGAAATAACCTGCGATAACTACACTACTGCTCAAGTTAAATGAAATATATAACCTTACTTAACGTTCAATACCAATTTGGAGTTTGAATGGAGAACTTTTTCACAATTCACTGGCAAACCATAATAGACTTTAAATAATTGTCTTTATATAATTTCATAACAAGAAAACACTGTAAATCAATTGAAATACATGAAGTCCTGAAATGGTAACAAGCACAGTACAAAAAGACTGTGTGATTTTGAGAAAAATATTCTCAATTCGTAGTAAACACGCCAATACAGCGTTGCCAGATGTATTTCCATGATACATTATAATCTTATGTATTGATGAAATTAGGAAAATTTGAATTATTTCAATTGCATAATTCACATATTTCAATTAAGGAATAAATATACAGAATAATTATACATAAAAATGTAGGTATATCATATAACAAATGTATGATAAATGCTTCCCTAGTTTTCAAACACAGGCGGTAGATCTAGGGCAATCCGCAGAAGTTTGTCATCATCGTTTTCTGCTGCAATGATGTTGGATCGGGACAAAATGTAAACAATTCAGTCTCCCCTCTTTTCATAGGTCTATGGTTTGAATCATATCCGTAACTTATTTGGTTGGACAGTTGTGAAGCGGTAATGGTAGCTTGAGGTTAACCCTTTATAGGGCAGAAAATGAGAAAAAAAAAAGATTTTTTCACATAAACTAGTTCATTGATTCATGATTAATTGTACATTGTATTGGTTGAAATTTTCTGTAACAAGCTTTACTTCATCCTTCAATCCAGTTGAAGATTCAGCTGCAATGATAATAATTTTATTGTTTCATCTGCATTTATTTAAAGACTCTAAGTCGGTCGACTACACTTTATATTAGAAAGTGACCGATTTCGGCACAACAGCCGTCATCAGACTAAAACGACCTAAAATACATTACGAATGTTAAGGAAAAACATGTATATGGTGTCAGAATAAAACAAACCTGTTATGGGTCAGGAAACAAACAGACCATTGAAATTAAAAACCATAATAAGTTTCGCGATGAGTTGGATTCAGTTCCATTTTTTGAAGCGGCTGAAGAGCCAGAGGCAGTCAAAGGATGGAACGGAATCCAACTCATCACGAAACTCATTATGGTTTTTAATTTCAAGGTTTGTTTTCCTGATCCATATCAGGTTGGTTTTATTCTTACACCATATACATGTTTTTCCTTAACATTCGTAATGAAACCGGTCACTTTCTTAAATAAAATTTTTGATATAAAGTGTGGTCGACCGACTTAGAGTCTTATCTTTAATTTCTGAATACTGTGGGGTCACTTTGAGAATGGATGCTTTTCATACTTTATTCATGAAGTTTTTTGTCGTCTCGTAGATTCCTCTGCCCCCTGAAGACCAAAACGACGCTACCCCCATGGTGTCGCTGGTGACGAAGCACGACAACGGCACTTTGAACCTCTGGCAGATCACCTTCGCCGATAAGAGCAAGTTCAGCCAGGTGCTGAGCATCGGCCACAAGAGTAGAGCATCCGGCCATCGGTTCCGGGTGAACGACATCACGTGCCATCCGGTGTTGCCGCTGCTGCTCACCACCAGCCACCACAACATCGTCGATCAGAAGTCGCAGGTGCACAGCACGAATGTGAGTTTTTGCTTCAAACTTTGCTGAATTTGATGCTTTTATATCGGGGTAATAAAGACAATCAATCAACATTGAACTATGAAAACTGACCAAGGAACTCTCATGAGAAAAGTGCAAATCTAATAAAATGATGTATATACTTAATGGATGTTATGGTTCCGCAGTTATTCTGGTCTGGGGCTACTCTTGACTTGACAAGAGCTCGTCGTATTGGTCCTTATAATGTAAGTTGTTATTAGGTCTTTATATTCATGGTTGTTTATTCATATTTCTCATTGCTACCCATAATGTTTCATATTATGATAAATATTGTTACCTTTGAATATAGTCTCGTACTTTCAGTTACCCCTAAATTATTAGTGCCTATTCGAATATTACCTCTCGCAAACAATATCTGCTGTACATAGTCTTCAGTGTCCCAAAAACGCCATAGATTTTTATTACTTTATGGAGACCTTCAATTGATCGTGAATTTTGGAATAAATTCCAGTATATTGTCAGATGCCTCCTGTTCAGTACTTGTGTGACCCTATACAATAGTTTGGTACTCGTATTACTACATAGTATAAGAGATTTTCATTATTTGTTAACATGACTATGTGTTGTTGTTGAAACATAAGATTCATCAATAAAATTAATGAATGAAGAAGGATTGCAATTCTCATATCAATCTTTATTTATATATCATATTCATATAAATACAGCCTACCACCTAGCAAGCATCGAACATATTGGTCCTTCGAGCCTGACCTATTCAAATCAAATGTTCAAGATTACCAAGTGCTCTTCACATCACATTACGGTTCCCTGACATTTTTTGTTTCATTCCCTACGTCTATACGAGTGTTGGGGCTAAATGGCGGGGCTAAGAGGTAGGGTGACGGGGCTAACGGGGCTGAAGGAGGAGGATAAACAGGAACTTCACAGAAACGCAAGTAAAACGTCACAAAATCGTCACAGAATAGTCAAACCACGTTGGGTTAGGCAGGTATCCAGTTAAGAATGATTATAATGACAAAGATACAACATTAATCTATAACTTGAAAAATTCTAACGATATTTTTATAGAGGAGAGGATTAGACGACTGTCTAAGTTAAGGATGGAACTGTCGATTTCCTTCGGGTATGCAGTCAAACACTTTGTTTTTTCTTTGACTGCATACCCGAAGGAAATCGACAGTTTGATATTTTTATAGGTATATATAAATATATTTGAAGGAAAGACACAAATATTGAACTTATTGTTGAATATTCAACAACACACTTTAATTATTTTATTTTCTACTTCTGTTTAGTTTCACTAACTCCAAAAGCGTGTTTGCTTCTCAGTTTTAAAAAATACTATTCACTTTCTACTCCTTTTTTGTTTGGCTATCTATATAAAAGTGTGTTTTATTAGTTTTTCGATAAACTATTTATCACAAAACTCGTTCGACATATTGAATCCGCCATATTGAATTTACATAATCACTAAAGTCGGTCGCGATATTGGATCCGCCATCTTGAATTTTCAAATTTTAAGGAAATAGTGATAATCTGCGACCTCAAAAACCCCCAGATACCAATTTTGAATAGACTCGGAGCATAATTATGAAACTTGGTCACCATATTGAATACGCCATCTTGAATTTTCAAATTTTGAGGAAAGAAACATAATCTCCGACCTCAAAAACTCCCGGATACCAATTTTGAATAGAATCTGATTATAATTACAAAAATTGTCCGCTATATTAGATCCGCCATCTTCAATTTCTTATTTTTTTCTCTCATAAAATATTTTCCTGACAGCAACAAAATCAACAAAAAAATAATTGGACAGGACAAAATTCTTACAGTCGACTCCACCAAAGCTATACTTTATTATAAGCAATCTTACAGGGACATGTTTCGAAGCTTTAAAGCTTCATCATCAGCATTATTGTTACATATAGGAGTACTAAAGTGAGAGAAAAAATAACAATGTCAGACAAACTCCTCAAACTTCTTGAGGAGTTTGTCTGACATTGTTATTTTTTCTCTCACTTTAGTACTCCTATATGTAACAATAATGCTGATGATGAAGCTTTAAAGCTTCGAAACATGTCCCTGTAAGATTGCTTACAATAAAGTATAGCTTTGGTGGAGTCGACTGTAAGAATTTTGTCCTGTCCTATTGCCTTCACTCCACTGTAAGATGGATCGCCTCAGATGTTTAAAAAAATAATTATTCAAATCGGTCAAGCCGTTTACGATTCTATAAAGGATTCAGACAAAACATTCATTTTTATATATGTATATAGATATAGATGAAGTAATTTGGAAAAATATCGATCGTGGCTCAAAATTTACAAGATATCAATAATTTCTCGAGGTAATAATTCTGTTTGAATAAGTGATTGAATCCCTAAACCTGTTAAACCGCTGATACATTTTTGTCCTTATTGTTTTTCGCTTTGTCAATTATCATCACTGATTTTCGATGAATATACATTAATTTCTCAATCATTTTTATGTCCTAATATTGATTTCCATCAGTAAAAACTCCATTTTATATAATTTTTATTTACAACCATATACGCTTTGCGTCTCGGTTAACTTACTAATCTCACAACAAGAATGAATCTCTTCCCACCTCGATGTGTAATATACTATTTCAGACTTCAATAATTTCTTGGCATAATAAACACAATCAATCAATCGAATAATGATCCCCCTCCAGGGCTTCTGCAGCGAACTAATCCTCTGGAAAGTGGACGCCGTCGGGCCACTATCAAAATCGGGCGGCATATGCGAATTGGCCCGCATAAGTTCGCCCGAGCCGTCCGCCTTCAGCAACGTCGCCTGGATACCCACCCTCTTGCCCTCTAGTACGTTGGGCAACCTGTCGAACTCGCCCAGCGCCTGCTTCGTGGCTTCCGATGGGCGGTGCTTGCGGGTCTATCAGGCCGTTATTGATGCGCGGACGTTGTTGGCCGATCTCTCGTACAAGGAGAGCAGGCGGTGAGTGAATATTTCAATATGTCCGATCTTGTTAAAAAAATAAGTTCAATAAAGTATCAACATTATACAGAGTGGGCCTTTGAAAACGAAACAGAATCTGAAACACGTCAACTACGTTTTCGAGGGGGACATCGTCCTGCAATTATTTCAGCCCTGCGGCGTTGCCGCTGCTAACGAAAAGAAGCAACAACTTTGTTATTTCAAATGGAACACCTTGTATTTCATTGCATTTTTAGATTCTCCCCGAAGAGCTGATTTCATCAATGCATCACACTTGGGGTCTAGCTGTAATGGTTTCAGGGATATAAAGTGTTCAAAATCGAGATTTTTCAACTTTGACATTTTTTTGTGTCGAAACTATTCATTATTGGTCGAAACAGCTCTCATGTCCCTATCTCAACTTGTGATTTACTATCTACTGACATTTAACTGGAACAGATACAGGGTGATCAGAATTCTGAATCTTGAACCACCCTGTATTTGTTTCAAATAAATGTCACTAGATAGTAAATCACAAGTTGAGATCGGGACACGAGAGCCGTTTTGACCAATAATGAATAGTTTCGACACAAAAAAATGTTAAAGTTGAAAAATCTCGATTTTGATCACTTTATATCCCTGAAACCATTACAGCTAGACCCTAAGGGAGAATCTAAAAATGCAATAAAATACAAGGTGTTTGAAATAACAATGTTGTTACATCTTTTCTTTAGAAGCGGCAACGCCGCAGGGCTGAAAATATTTTAGAAAGATGTCCCCCTCGAAAATGTAGTTGAGCTGTTTCAGTTTTTCTTGATAATCCGGTTTTGGCGACCTACAGAGCCTCTGTTTCGTTTTCAAAGGCCCACTCTGTATAATATCATAAATAAAAAATTGAAGTCGAATATTATTTTGATACGGAATTCTGAAATTCATATTCATGAAACTAGACAATATAACATTTTTCATCTTGACGCCGCTAGCTCCATAATCGGACAAAAAAGATTCACTCGTTCAGCCTTAACTGAATTCAATAAACTACCTGACAATATAAAATATTGGAGAACTATAGGTACATTCAAAAATGAAGTAAAAAATCTGATTATTTCTGAGCGAACTGGATAAAATTAATCATGCCATTTTTTTTAGAAATATTATTTTTTGTTTGTCAATTTACAGTTGTTGATATATTTTGAATAATGATATGTTTACCTATAGGTATATAATTATGTACTTCCTTATACCAGAGCCAATTCTGTCTGAAAGTTATTTGTACAATAAATAAATAAATAAAATATGATTTCGTTCTGAACTTACTGTAATAAACTGCTCACACATGAAACGTAAAATCGCATTTTTCCGAACAAATTTGAATCATCATAACTTTCGATTTTCTCAACCGATTTTCAATTATTTTTCAGTGTCTGAAAGCTCGTTTCATTGACTATCGAACCTATGGAAATTACTATTTCATCTTTTTCAGATCAGATTCAACAGGATGATAATCAAAGCTGTGCATTTTTCCAAAAATTTCAGACGCCTCCCGTTTGGAAGATTTTTTATTTTTTTTGGGTCAAAAACATATTGCTTCATATGTTTTCTTGATACTGTGAAAACATTTTTGGAATTGTCACACGCGTTACTGAAATATGAATGTTTTATTAAGGTAATGTTCTAATTTCTATTGGCTTTGTGTTCCTGTCAACTCTTAAAATAGAACCTCCCCTTACCTCTTTTGTTTTCAGAGATGTGGAAAAATATTGAATCAAAAAGTTGTTTGAAACGATCCAAAACTTTTATTTCGTGAAGTTGCTTCATATACAGGGTCATTCGTTTTTCCGGAACGGACATTAACTTTGATCCTTTCAATGGAACACCCTATATATTTTCTGACATGTGATATGATGTGATATTTAAAAAACCAAAAATGAATGACCCTATATGAAACAACTTCACGAAATAAAAGTTTGGGTCGTTTCACACAACTTTTTCATTCAACATTTCCTCATATCCCTAAAAACGAAAGAGTTGAGGCGGTACCACCGATACAACAAGGCCAGCAGACTCTGACGTAAACAGCTCGTGACGTGACCAAGAGAGGCCAGTGTTTTATTTTATCGCTTGTCAACTAACGCGTCAGTTCGTGTTAATTCATCGGTGATTCACGTATGTTTTTGAAACGGTCCCGAATTCTTTTGTTGTTTATTCATCAAAATAATTGGCGGAAAAATTACTGTTTTGTGAAATATTTTGTGTTGTGATCGGCGAAATAACAATGCCTTTCAAGTATTGTGTTCCCTTTTGTCGGGGGAATTATGTGGGTGGTTCAAAAGTTCATGCTTTTAGTTTCCCGTTGGACGAGGAGCTATCGAAAATGTGGGTATATTATGCAATTCACCGCGAGGATCATATTGGACAATTTATATATAATTCAACTATAAATATGATTTTCTTGAGATTAATCCATATTTAGTGAAAAGAAGGAAGAATATCATTCAAAATAATGGCGTGTGTAATGTCATTCGAAAGCAATCTATTTACATTTGACATCTCGTATTTTGATTGACTATTGATTAAATGGTCGTCATCTGGAATGCTTGTTCACTAAATATGAAAAACTCGCCATAAAAATCATATTTCCTGTTGAATTTTCTATATAAAAATGTGCCATCGAAGTACATCATGAGTATATAAAGTGTCCAATGACAAAATAAGAGCAAGTAGCTTCAAATGCCCCCAACACAAGGGGAGAAAGAAGGCGAAATTTCGAACTTTTTCTTGAAATATCTCAATAAATAGTGGTTTGTTCACATTTTCATTATAAAATTCGGTTTATCAGACAAAAATACGTGAGTACCGAAAAAAATTTTCAAAAAAAAACCATCGCATGATAAATGCAGTTTTACCCTTAAAAATTACGGTTTCAAGTGTAACGATCCACTTGGGTGAAAAATCCAACAACAGAAAATTGAAAACACTCACTGGATATTTTTTCAGGTAATAGGAATTCTCCAAGATAAATGTAGGTAATTGTAACAAACGGCATGTCAATTAAAATAAAATACATTTTCCACAATTTTCTTTCGATCAATCTCTCGATAAGTTTTTGTTCTGCGGGCCCTGTATAAGTAGGTGTGAAGTTTACCTTCACCACAATTTTTGCCAATATATTCAATTCGAATGGGTTGCTGTAGGTGGATATTTGTGTTTTATCCTGGTTTTTGCTTTAAAACTTCGTTTTTCCATAATAAAATCGAATGGGGTGCGAAGAAGGGCTCAGTTGACAACTGGCATCCTTTTTTAACCGGAAGCCCTTCAAAAAACAGCAAAATCGGCTCGATGATGATCTAAAACTAAAATCGAAATACGCGGTCGCCTTATAGCGCTATAAGCGCTTGTCGTTTCGAGCCGCTGGTTAGGCCTCACTAAGTGACGTCACCCACGGAGCATGCAGGCCTTGTTGTATCGGTGGTAACGGTTGAGGGCGGATTCCATTTTAAGAGGCGTACCAGAGCCATATATTTCGAGATATTTGTTTCTAGAAATGACTGGAATGGCTCATCAAAGTCTTTTGGAAAAACATGTTAACTGGTTCAGTTCGCGATTTTCGATGTAGGTTCGACGATAACGAGAGCGTTTCGGATCTGTCGTCCATCATCCAGGAGAGCATGTTGGAGAATATCAATATCGTGTCGCAGCAGAGCACCTCCAGGCCCGGGTGTATCATACAGTTGGAGACCATCTCGGAGGCGATCAAGTGGCAGAACACGACTTTCCTGCACGTCTATCAAGAGCAGCTGATTACAGGTACTGTATTAGTTGAGTGATGGTTTTTGGAATGATTATTGTTCGGAATTGGATCAGAAAAGAAATAATTGGCAAATATAGTTATTTCTACACCAGCGGGAGTAGAAGTTAGTTTCTGTGGTAACAAAAGAGAGGCAGTCTCGTATTTTTCCTAGGGAGATAATGTGACATATTTTATCCCTAGGGAGTTTATACATACTTTACAACTTACAACTTCCGCATAGCTCTACGCTTTCTTTTCGGAATACCCTTCTCTGAAACGAGTATAAGCTGCATCATACAGATTTCTATATCTCACTGGTAGCAAGTTAAGAATCACTGCAGAAGCAGTATCAATAGTTTCTTGGGGTTTTCTCTCGATTTCTCGTTCCATGACCGCTAACCATTTTTAAAGCTGTTTTCATAAATTTCAGTTTGATATTTGCTGTCACCATGGGTTGTCAAAAAGATGCATGTTGTCAAGATACGAATTCCACAAACTATTCGCGAGATTCACGAAGTGGGCGACATCTTGGTTACATAATACGAACTTCAAACTGGGGGAAAACAAACTGTTGTCTATGGATAAAGTGCATAGACAGCATAGACTTCATTGCATTCAGCTTGCTGTAGCTGTAGTCAAACTTGTCAATGACATAAAGTGTTGGAACTGTTGGTAGTGATGATGGTTGAGTTGCTTTTTTTACATTATTACATTTTTATTAGTTTAGTGAACAGTGAACGGGTGAAGAATTGGATATAGTTCAAACAATTCAAACTAATTATGACGAGCAAATCAATTGACATATAAAAGAACAGCTACAACATGTTCATAATACCCAGATTGTCCTGCTTTGCATGAACAAATACAAATCCATTGTTCTATAGGAGTTCCTCTGGACCCCAACTTCAATTTTACTTCATGTGGAGAAGATTTCATCGCCGAAGTTTGTAAACAAAGTGCGAAAATGTGCCTTTTGTTGAAGTCTTCTGCCCCACACAAAATCACATGATTAGCACGGATAACTGCTTCTCCTTCCACTACTGGCCGGCTTTTTTCATCTAAATAGAGCAAAATATCTGCCAAAAGAACATCTTCAACAGGCATTATTAGCGTTTTCCATCGAATATTGACAATGTCGAGAAATTTAAAAACATCACTGTTATCAGTACACAGTACACAAGCTGATGTCACTAATGGGATTGAGTGAGGATTGAGTTTGTTTTCCCCCAGTTTTGACGTGGCTTTGAGATGGAACGATGAAAACCGAGCGCCACCTGGTAAAATTGACTCCCGCGAATACTACCACTAATTATTATGAAAAAACACTTTGACCAAATTCTTATTCTTCCCTAATTTTTGTGTTTTCACCAGCGTAAATAATAGTATATACACCTCAGGACATAATGCTATTTTTCCCTCGGTGCTTTGTTTCCCTCGAGCTGCAAATCGCACCTTGGAAAAAATCTCGCATTTCTGTCCCTTGATGTATAATATACTATTAATATACAAGGGATTGAAGTTTTTAACAGGAATTACACCTGCGTTGCAGACATCTTTTTGCAGACATCTTTATCGTTCTTTTGAAGTAATCAAATATCTCTCTAATTGGATTGACAACAATGCTTTAGTAGTTTACGTAATTGACATAACCGCGAAGTGGATTGGAAGACAAAAGGACTTGCAGTTCTTCGGAGACGGTGTTATTGGCTTATTTTTCGAAATAGCACAACAAAAGCCATCAACATGATAATTTTATTTCATAATACATCATATTATTTTATCCGATTTGAGAGATAGTATCAATTCTCAATTTCAGAGGATTTTCATTTTGTTTGTTTTCAAATTCTTATCGTGTTCAATAGATATAATTCAATGTTCGTCGTGGCATATAGGCAGGAAAGTAGTTATTTTCTGTTGAATAAACCGAGAAAGATATGATATTTTCATCGCATAGAGAATGCGAATTCTCAATGTATTTCTTTACATATATATATATCCATTTTTCTATGTTCATGATTATATCTGAAAATTCCTTTTCAATACTTTCACCCAATCAAGGGGTTCAAACTTGAACGATGGAAACACAATGTTTTATATTAAGCTAAGCATATTACTACTTTCGAACTATATTTTTTTACGTTTGTAGAAAAAATATTGTTTGCAAATCAGTTCTACCTGAGTAGCATTTCACGCACTAGATACAAAAATAACATCATAAAAATTGATCCGAAAAGTTTTACTCGTTCTTTTAATGTATCATCATTTATCCATATTGAAACATCCATAATCTTTTTGAACATACATATAATTTTGTATTTTTTCACAACTATTCAAAAGACATCAAATTTTCAACTTCATTCATCAGTAGATAGAATTTCACAAGATTTAGAACCACTGTTAATTTCTTTCCTCAAAGTTCATTGTATTGCGAAGTGATAACGGTTAACGGTCACTCATTTTTTTAGGTATCGTATTCCTACTACAACAATTGCTACACATGCTACAAATTTAATAACTGGAAATAAAAAAGAGTTAGATTATGGTTATAATTAAACCAAATTAGACTCACATTTATGTTTTCTCTCCTTCATGTTTATTATTCACACATTTAATTTTTACTGATATAGATGACAGTTCAGACATTAGTGTCAAATAATTTCTATAACCTATAAATATTTTTTTACAAGATGTTTTTACAATTGAAACATACATGAGACCACACGATATTTTTTGAGCTTACTTGCTTCTTTGTTTGTATAAATGTATTTCTACTTCTAAAAACAACTTCTCAAAAAAGATAATTCCATGATGAATATCAAATTATAAAAATGTTTGAAAAAAAATCCATGGTAGGAACTCCACAAAATTCAGGTTTTATTCATCTTTCACCTGGGAAATACAGTACAAATTTTGGAAATCTTGGGTTATTTACAATTTCCGTCATACACAACATACAAATGAATTGTTCATCCCCTTATCAAACGGATTCCAGTAATAATAAGAAATACGCAAGCAACTATCTTGGTTACTGAAAATCATAAATATTAGTCACAACCGTAGATAATATTTAACCTATTTATCTACTCACTCTCTACAGCGTCTTTGGAATTCATTTTTTTGCTAGAAGAATATTATTTTTCACATTCAATTTGGTGTTAATCCGATGACAATGTCACATTGCCAGTCACATTTTGTACAAGCTGTCATATCCTCAAAAATCACACTGAAAATCCAATATACAGGGTTATCCATCAAGAAGGCCCACGCTTTTTATATTTACGTTATTTTTCATCGAGAAAAAACAATGGATTATGCTAAAGTTGAATGCCGCAATGAGGCCTTTTCACAGCCCTTATCAGTTATACAAGGTGATCCCTAAAAGCATGACAAACTACAAATTGATTTTTTTAAATGGAATACCCTGTTTTTTATATTTATTTCGAAATCTGTGATTTTTTGTGATCATAGAAGTGTATATATATGTATATAGTATGATATCTCATATTTTCACTTTTTTTCTACTTAATTGGTGATCACTCAATCAGTTTGTGGATGTATTCGATAATGAAGAAATATAAAAGTGTCAAATATATCATTTATTCATGGCTGACACGATATCTATAGAACACAGATCCGACCTGTCCTGGAATACTGTTCCCATATTTGGAGTGCAGCACCCAAACATACCCTGAAACTGTTGGATTCTGTCCAAAAAAGGGCAATTCGTCTCGTGGGTGATGCCTCGCTCCCAAACTCACTCACCCTTTGGAACACCGTAGAAAAGTTGGCGGTCTGGGTCTATTTTATAGATATTTTCATGGACGATGCTCTTCTGAAATATCAACAATTGTTCCTCCCTTGGCAGTCCCCGCGAGATTAACCCGTCGAGTGGAGGCTTCGCACCCCTTCGTGGTCACTTTGGAGACCTGCAGAACATCTCTTTCCAAAGACTCGTTCATCCAACGAACAGCGAGGCTCTGTTATACTTCAGCATTTTCAAATCGAAATATCCAGAAAACGGTACACAGTATCAAGTTTCACCAAGAGCACCTTCTCAGTGTAAAATAGGATGATGTTCAAGTTCACATTGAATTTGGAGTGAAAAATCTAACCTCAAAAAAGTTATGTTCAAAAGTACTCGGTACAAACCGTGTAACTAGCGCCCTCTATGAGAAATAAAAACAAATTCATGCGATGTGTCAGTTTTCAAAACAGATCCATTTAAAATTCCATTACAATGTTGCCAGTAGTTTCAACATAATCGTAAAAAATGTATAAAAAAATATTTTTTCAACACCCTTTATCTTGAAAACGGATGGCTTTACGACATTTTTTTACTAAGCAAACCCAACTTATTTTGCAATGTTCTACCTACCCCAGCAAGGGGGTTAGGTTTTTTGAAACACCCTGTATATTATATAACCTCCAGAAATTTAAGAAGAACACCAATTCCCACCTTATTTCCCTTTTCGTGGGAACCAGAACATAAAAAAAGTCTGGGATTGTATGATTTGTGACAAAATTTTCAATTCTTCTAGGCCAGAAATCCTCCCCGGTCAATTTGTCGGGCCACGACGCGATGGTCGACCTCCAGCAAGCCTCCGTCTTCAAGGAGCCCTTCTTCATCGTCCTGCTGGACTGCACCGACCAGAACACCATCGTGCACATGTGGAAGCTGACGATCGCCTCCACCGACACCGAGTGTTCGCTCACGGGTAGTCAGATGTACGTGCCGGACTGCGTGCTGGTCCAGGACGAAAACGATTTGTCGAGGAAAAATAGCATGGAATCGTTGCATCTGAAGCCTTCGAAGGTCAGCCCGCATATCAGCCTGACCGTCACCAGGGAAGTCAAGCAGGTAATGTAGGGGTATGTAGAGTTTGGCTGGATTCGTGTCCTACCGACTGCGTCAATCTGTAGTACTGTCAAACGCTTAGATCACTCAGGATCTCGCTTCGCTCAAATGGATTTGATCGCCCATATTGAAAAAGTGTGGAAAGTATGCCAACATTGAACGAGGGGGCAATATATACCTGCCAGATAGGCTAAGATCGTTACTGCGCATGTCAGCATTCCATAGATACATACATACATTCATCAAAGAAAATCAGACAGTTGGTGCGAAACCAGTGTTTGGAGATTACTTCAGACTGTTGTAGGTTAACAATGGTCTCTGCAATCAACTTCACAATAAAAAAAGAATAAGTGGATTTTGTGGATAAATAAAAGTAGCAGTGAGGACTGAGGTCACGATGAATATAATTCATCGGAAACATGTCAACGAATAATTCGATTTGAATACATCGAAACCAAAGTGATCAGTGTGAATGATAACATTATTTATTGAAAAAGCAAATCAATAAAGTATATTTGGAATGAACTTCACTAATATACACAAAATAGACAACACTCCAAGACCTCTTTCAGCTCTGTTGTCCAAGAAATCGTCCATAATGAGATGCTCTATCTGAGATGAACACCTCACATTCTTCTAACAGAAATCAATCAGTCTGGTCTATAGAAAAAATAAGAAATCCTATCTATAGAAATAAATGTTCTCTCCAGTTCCTGAAGAATCATTTTTGCAAAGTAATTCTGTTGTCAGCTGCATTGAGGCAGAGATTAGTCACTTATCTCTGATTGAAGATATCGTTAACAATTCTAGCTCATGGTTGTAACAGATGAAGTCAAAATTTTAATTGAAAAACAGCATAAAACATTCGACTGCAGTCAATTTCGAAAGAAATATTTTTTTGATTGGTATTGTTCAGTTGTCTAGCTGAATTATCTTTTTTCTCAAAGTTAGATAGACAGTTCTCCGAACATAACGTACCTCTTATTTTCTTTCTCTAGAGGTGAACCTCAGAAATTTAAATTGTAGAAGCCTATAAGTAATGAGAAATGAGACAGAAGATGATATTACCTACATCAACAACAGATGTTAGAAGTAGGGCCCGAACCTGTATGAACAATAATAGTAGTTTTATTCGTTTTTGTTGCTGAACTTGCTAAAGTTGATTTTGTATCCATAATTGTCTCTGTTCATGGCATAATGTGAACAGAGAAAGTCATAGAAAAAAATCAACTTTAGCAGGCGGTAGAGCAAACAAAAGCGAACAATGTTTCACACTTTGAAAACATCATCATGTCGATACCATAGTTCAATAGTGTAACAACTAGAAAAATAAACATTTTGAGTTGTATACGCTATCTGATTCATCATTTTGTTAGCTTTTACGTGCTATACTGTACCAAATGAAAGTGCATGTACTGACCAAGAGATGGTGTTAGTTACTCTATAGAACTGGAGGAAACTTCATTTCCATATAATTCCATACTGTAATAGCTCGATACAATAATCAAGACTTGTTTCAGTTTTGAACTGAAATATTTTCAGTGATTCAGAGTTGTTACATTGCATAGCTCAAAATGGTTAATTTCAACCCTCAAATCAAAACTTGTAATACTATGTTATATTATTGTTCCTGATTGTAGTAATTTCACTTACTCATCTAGTAATGATGATGATTTTCGATCACAGAGCTTTATATTATCAATTATATAATTCAGATCAATAGTGTAACAAGTCCGAACAAAACTATTGAACTATATAGTATCGATGTGTTACATCATAGGCAAGAACATTGGGATTCAATTTGTTCACCTCAATATAATTATTTTTCAACTTCTAATCCTCCTAAACTATGTATCAATACGATTCTCCAGGCTAAGATCCTACCGACTGCGCCAATTCATAATATCGATCTCATCTTCATTGCTACATCGAGTCTCAAACTTTTCTCCCAGATCCTCCCCTTGTCCGACGGGGTGGAAATCGTGCACGCCACCCCCGCCGCCGGCCACTTAAGCTCCGCCTCCATCTACCCCGCCTGTCTGGCGCCCTATTGCTTCGCTACGGCGTGCAGCGACGGCGTCATCCGCTTCTGGACGGTGTCGACCAATCCGAAGCAGGTGAAGGAGTCCGGCGGGCTGATGCTGGAGGAGGAGGGCGTGACGGTGAACACGGGCCAGGTGTGGATCGAGTGGAACATGATCAAGGAGTCGGCGATCGAGATCGAGGGGCAGGTGAGATTCTTTTTCTGCAACCGACAAAAAAGTCGTTCATTTTGATACCAGAATTAGCTCTTGAATTGATGTTTCTATTACTGACACAAAAGTAGGTATGTTGCTAGGCAACATGTTCAGTTCCTAGGAGCTAAAGTTGAACTTTAGTTCCTAGTTTGGAGAAGAGAAAGGTATATAGAAAAAATATCAAATTTTCACTTATTTTTGGACGTTTCGGGACCGATTCTGCTCCCGTTTTCAACATAAGAAATGATTATTTTAATAGCAGAGTCGTATCCGTTTTGAAGCTTTTCAGTTTTCATTGACAATTGGTGACGTTGGCAATCAAATGAGTTACAGGATGTTTTCATTAATTAATCTTGAATTCACAATTTTCATGTTCAGATTTTAGTAGTGAATACCATGTTCTATCTATATCAACTGAACAAGAAGCAATGCTATTGTCTCCGTTCAGAAGAATGCAAGCAGATTCCTTGATTTTTCTCTTCTGGTTGTTATCTTCTTTTCCAATGATTTTAATATTATTCCACTCTGCCATATGTTGTCCAATGATTCACCAATGATTAAGTCTAGTTGATAAGTATACAGTGTTTTACTCCACATGATACGGATAACAAGGATCTCCAAGTGAAGCCAAAAAATAAAATAAATGACAGTATGCGAGTGAAACTGTATTAAAGCGCATGCGTCATCTCTAAAAATAAGAAAATACATCAGTTTGCAAAATTCCTTTCAGCAGGCGATGGCATTGTAATGAACATATGAGCATTATTAAAACTTGTGAAATGTTCGACATAACCTAAAATTCAATGCTTATATTTTGTTATCTGAATCTGAAGCCTCAGACAAGAAATCATGACCGAGACTTCACTGGAATTCATATTTGCGAAGTTTTAATTCGCGGTTTTTGGAATGAGTTTGCTGAAGGTTTTTGTCTCAGAATACTTCCAATAATGGCCAACAAGTGCAAGACATTATAAACATACAAATGTACAGCTTCCCAACAGATGCAAAATTATACGAAATGTGGCAAAACATTACAAAATTTGGGAAGCACATTTACAAATATATATGCATGTCTGTAGCAGACACTTGTTAGAAACAGATTATGAAGGTAATTTATTTCATTTTGGGAAAATATCTTTTCAGTGTTCTATGTAATGTGCTTTTCTTTCAAGTTTCAAGGGAATTCCAATACAATTGCAGAAATAGGTACATTTTCTGTGAGGCAGATTAAATACCTTAACAGAATTCACCAAAATGTAAAACCTGTGATCAATGGATATGAATGGGGAAGAGGAAGGTCACTTTGATACAAAACTTGAATATGTCTCTAATCATTCTTCAGCTATATCAACCAAATCATCCTCAATGAGAGGATCAAATGAATCTGATGATGACAAAGATGCTGGAAGGATAGAACTCGCTTACCAGAGTGCTGATGCAACTTCCACCAGGACTGATCATTCTTGTGAAAGTGCCTATGATGTTTCCATAGACATTTGCAATTTTAGTAGCCAATCTAATGACTTTTTTTCACGTTCTGTAATAATAAAAAATTCAATGAGTACCTACTCAATTTTGCTTTATTTCAACTTATCATTTAGATCTATGAACATATAAATCAGAACATGATTATTACTGTGAATAATTTGAAGCTTGTAATTCTAGACAAGGAATAAGAATAAAATGATTATGAAATATCTCCATTATTCTCCATCTCAAGACCTTGCTCAAGTGTGATTTTGATCTTTTCAAATGTTGTTCTTCCTGCTTCATTATAGGAATATATGTAGGGCAGTTAATTTGTTATCTGGGAAACAAATATCAGTTACCTATTTATGGAAGTTAGAAATTATATAAGACTTACAATTTACCAATAATTCAGAATTATTCTTTTTCACCAACAGCATGATTAATTTCGTGGGAAATGCAACAGTTTCTTCAATCTTTGTCTTCCTTTGATTGTAAAAGCTAGTAAATATAGTGTTGTAGGCTTTACTTCATACATCGCATCTATGCCTGACTTTCTTCACCACTTGCTTGGGTGTGAGCTTCATAACTGAATTCCAGTTCTGCAGTTCTTTATGCCTACCTAAAAATGTGGTTGAAATTTCAGTAAGCAAAAGGATCAATCAAGCATAATTGACTTCATGAGGCTTCAGCATAGACAAACCAAAGTTTCTCTATGAGCTTAGAGTTTCAAAGCAGCAGAAGTTTGTACAACTATCAGCTCAAAGATCTCAAGTTTCTGTATACTTTTCACTTCAACAAATTAACATTATTTCTTGCTTTGTATACCTGTTCGTCTTCCACCATCTGTCGATTTTCAAAAGCACTCAAATCGCTGAAATTTCGAAATAAAAATGATTGGAATCAAATGTGGAATGTGGCTCTCATTGTTTTCCCCATTCCACGGACAGCTTTGACATCAATATCAATGCTTTGACGTACTTTTCCTGCTATCGGAAAAATTTTCGCGGAGGAATATTATTTCCAGAGGCATCGGTAAGAAACTTCAACAGCATAATAATATATAAATAAAATTCAAATGAAATTCGTCCTCCATTGTGACTCGTGAATTTGACAAATTTCGCGCATGCGCAAATAGGTATTTTCACCCGCAGACTGTCATTTGTTTCCTCAAAACTGGCTTCACTTTCGACCATGGAAACATAGGATGTTATCCGTATATGTTACGTTAGGTATATGGACCGCTCGCAACAGAAAACCGAATTTTCAGGTGCTGAACATAAGCGTCGCTTATTCGGGTCGGCTAGCCTGCGCCTACAAGTACGGCAGGAGTTTCACGCGTCCCAGCAAAACGGACCAGGACTCCCGATTCATCAACCTGTGCGTCGCCATCTACGAGTGCGAGTCGACCGGAGGCAGCGAGTGGATTCTAGAGGACGTGATCCACCTGAAGAACATCCACCTGCCGCGCATCGACATCAACAGGCACTTGGATCTCAGCTACTTGTACGATTCCAAGACGTTGAAGAAGAAGCAAAGGATCAACGAGATGCTGCACACTTTTTCGAATGACGATAGACAGACGTTGGCGGCCGAGGCGAACAAGCCGACTTTGCTGGCCGTGCCCAGTTTCACCACTTTGCAGGCAAGAATAATTGTAACAACTTCATATTGAAGTTCTGGAATAATTTCTTCTACTTCTCATCTCTTTATTTATTACTAGCTTTTACCCGCGGCTTCGCTCGCGCTGAAGCCCTTACATAAATATCAAAGATAAATACCTCATCTCTTTCACACACAGGTCACTAACCTATGTGAAGGAGATACAATATGAAATATACAAGGTGTTTTTGAAATAAGTGCAAATATTCAGCACATTAATATGTTACAGTCTGAGGAATATTCCCATGATATCAGATTTTCCCTATTTCTTTTAATTTACGAGATATTTCATCCCAAAAATTGAACAAAATACGAGAAAAAAATCAAGTACGCCACTTTGAAACTAAAACAATTCAAATGATTGAACTCCGCGTGATTGTGTCTTCCGCATGGAAACTTGAACAGAGGTGACGTCAAATTTGCTACAGTGTAGAACTTTGTTTGGAAAAAGGGGTCTAACCTCAAATGTTATTTTGATCCCTAATTTTTTTTATTAGTGCCATTCGATAGTACACGTCAAGCTCTCTCAGTGTTTGAAATATTTGCACTTATTTCAATGCCACTCATACATGTAATTGATATTCGATGACAAAATGTAGATTTTACTCAATTCAATAATCGAATAAATTACATTTCAATAAAACTGAATCAATGTGATTCAGTATTTAAAAATTCCTACATACAATAAAGTTTCAAAAACTAAAATCATGCTTTATTGAAATGATATACTACAATATATATCATTTGAGTGCTAAAAATCGATCCAGATATGACTTTGTAAGAATGAAATAATGAATTTTCAACCCTTCCCTAAGATGAAAAATAACCCAAGTGTATCTAAGTGAATGAAACCATAACTGTGTGAAAAGGAAGAAATCACAGTCATATCATAAATAAAAACACTATCGTACCTATAATGAGCATTTTCCTAGTAAAAAAATAACAATACAGAAACGAAATCATTCAATAAACACTTTTAGAGCATACACGGCTCACTTTGGATGAAAACTGGTCAAAGTTTCCAATAATAGAGATACATATCACGAATGTCGGAGTACAACGATATCAAAAATAACAAACCTTTATTCAAATAATTAGACACATATAGTTTGAGGTTAGCTGAAATCACCAGACTATTCGATCATCAGAATATTTATTATACGCTTGAGATATTATATTGAGATGTATTGACATTTCAGTATTGACGTAACGCAGATGCACCAACATGTCTTTCAACCAGTCAGATGTGAAGTTCACAAAAACTATTTTTTCTTCTGGGAGCTGAGTAGATTCCTGCAATCATATTTCACCAAAATAAAGCTATTTGACTAATCAAACTTCAATAATATCTCTTCTACAGTGGTAGAGGTTTTTAGGTTGGCAACTTGGAGCGAACGCCCCCATTAAAAATGTTTGAACATTTCAAGTACTTACACAAATTAGGAAAGCAGGATGCATAAAGTTGGAACTAGAAACTCATCTGCGACGTGATAAAATATTACTGTTTGCACTTTATCTAAGGATGGCATGCAAGCTAAGAACAAAAATGTACGAACTACTTATTAATTTTTACATTTTTATTACTGGAATATCAATTCTTTATATTAAAATAAATGATTGCTATGTGGCTCAAGAAGAAACTCTCACCTAAGGAGTATTGAGGAATTCACATACCTCCACCTCTTGTAGAAGTGCAAAATGGAAAACCATAATTAAAAACAACAAATCAACATCTAATTTGAAATTAGACAGATCAAATGGAAATTGTGATTTGTCTGAGGTGACGTTTTTAAAACTTCAACATAAAGTTGTTCATTTTGACAAACACCCTGTTAAAAAAATGAGCTCGATGTTTTCAGTAAACTAGCGCCATTAATTATATAATAATCATTCATAAAGATAATGGTGCAACCCCATTAAAATGTTCATTATAGCTAATAAGGCGGTAAATTCGAATTTGATAGCAAGCCTGCAGATGAGCTTCAAACGAGCGGTTCGTGAATCACTATCGGCCTCAATAGTAAACGCCTCCACAGTATTTTTTCTCAAATAATCACTCCGGGAAATGAAGGATAGCCTCTGAACCAGTAAACCACAAGGAATACTTTGAACACATTAGAAATAAAGTGCTTCTTAGCACTGTCGCTTGAAATTGTAAATGGCTCTTGTTGAAGAACAGACGTACAATGATCATTGTCTTCAATTTGTTATATTTTATGTATGTTTTTGGTTTAAGAATTTTCCATGGAGCAATAAAGACATTCAGTTGAATTCTTAGCGGAAAAATTTGCTCTGTGAATCGAAATAGTGCACATATGCGTCAGAAGAAAAGTGCTAACAATTCCATCTACAATTGCAGTCGTTGAGGAAGTCGATATCGGAGATGGGCAACATCTGTCCTCTGACGCAGAAGCACATCGTCCAATTGGACTGGGTGTCCAACGAGGACGGATCGCACATCCTCACCGTGGCCGTCGGCAGCAAGATCATGCTGTACACGCCGCTCTCCACTGATTTGGCTCAGGCCAACGTCAAGGCCATGAAGGAGAGCCTCAACAACTACAGGCCGATACTGAGGTGAGTCATACGTACTCTTTTTGGGGATTTTTCTTTATGTTCTGGTTCTCACATACTTTTGTCGTCAACCTCGAAATATGTCGAACAACTCTTTAGATAAAATAGTTATTTATTATACAAGGGAAAAAAGTAGTGGATTTTAGCACCAGGTTGTGTTGTCTCCCGACGCGTATAGCGGAGGGAGACAACAAACCGTGTGCTAAAATCTAATATTTTTCCCGTGTATAATACACTATTTTTTTCCGTGACAGGAAGAAAGACGCTTTAATATTGAAAAGATATTACATAATATAATCAGAAAATTATTAATGTGAAATTTGTACTTCTTACACCTCTATTGTGGGCATCTTTGTTGCTATGTCATTCTATTGTCATATTCTGTCAATGTAATTCTGTGTTTTGATTTTTGATTTGAAAATCATTGCGAACTTATATAGTGATTTAATAGTTATTTTGAATAATATTAAATGTCTGAATTCGAGTTTTCTCTTACTCCACCGGAGTTAGTTGAAGCAGCGAAAGAAGCGTCACAAAAATTATTGCCAGCTAAATCGCGGAAGATTTACGAAACCGCGTATTCAAGATTCATGGAATGGAGAATGGAAAAGTCATGCAGTTCTTTCTCGGAAACGGTGGTATTGGCCTATTTTTCCGAACTGGCTCAGCAACAAAAGCCATCAACAGTGTGGTCGAATTATGCAATGATTAAAAGTATGTTACAATCCAATAATAATGTAGACATTTCAAAATATCCCAAACTAATTATATTCCTGAAACAAAATGGGAAAGGTTACAAACCCAAGAAAGCAGCGATTTTTACGAGTACACAAATTGGCGAATTTTAAAATAATGCTCCTGATGAAGTTTATTTAATGGCCAAAGTTGTTGTTGTATTCGGGATTGCAGGAGCTTGTCGAATTTGTGAAATCAGCCAGGTAACATTAGATGATATTGAAGATTCAGGAACGATATTAATTGTGAAACTCAAGCAAACAAAGAATGATGTGGACAGCAGATTTGTAGTTACTGAAGAATATATTAAATTTTACCGAACATACATAGCCCTGCGTCCAGCAACAGCAAAGGATCGCCGCCTGTTTTATGCATATCGCAATGGAAAATGTATCAATCAAGTTGTGGGTAAGAATCAGTTTCACAAGGTACCTGAAACAGAAGCTAGTTTTCTAAAACTTGAAAATGCTACCTCATATACAGGTCATTCATTTCGAAGATCATCTGCTACACTTTTAGTTGAATCTGGGGGAGATTTGCTGACACTGAAGAAACATGGCGGTTGGATATGTTGATGAATCGGTATCACACAAAACAGAAATAGCTAATAAAGTATTCAGAATTTGTGGCATTGCCGAAATAACACCCCATTTGCAACCAGGTACATCAACGGCAGTTGTGTCCATGGCAGAAAGATATATAATTTCAACACGAGAAAATTCTACTGTTGTTCCGAATACTTCAAGGAACGTGTCATTCATTCAATGCACATTCAATAATTGTACTTTTGATATGAAGGAAATGTAACTTTCGTTCAATAAAGTATTCTGAATCAAATATCTACCATACTTATGAGTATCCGGGAAAAAAGTACTCACTTTTTTCCCACGGGAAAAAAGTTATTTTTGAAAAGTGACATTTTATAACCTGTCAACAGAGATGAAATGTCAAACTTTTTTCCCGTCACAGAAAAAAAATGTTTACTGAAGTCCTTATTCAAAACGACCTTCGAATTCCTAAGTGCATTTGTTCTCGTAATAATAATTTTGGTTGAGTCCCTGCGTTCATTACATCATTATTATTATTATTATTTTCGATAAATCAGACAGATGTCATGTATGAAACCGACATTTCACTACTCCAACTCAGATTGGGGAGTTCTTTGGCTCAGCCAATGTTTGTCGATGACTTCAAGTGGATGACTTTGTTGAAGATCAAGCTGCAGCCTGATTGTTAATCCCTTTCCGCTGTTCTGATCTATTCTCCAAGTTCCGCCAAGTACTCAATGATTAAACTTCTTATACCTATGCATTTTTACAAAAATACTCAGATTTTTGACATGAGTTTATTCATTTATAAAATTCTATCTAAGCCTCCTAAGCACTTGAAGAAGTTTCGAGTTCATATACCAATTCAAAACGACCTTCTACTGCCTCATTGCATTGGTTTTCTTTATAATAATGTTGGTTGAGACCTCGCGTTCATTACATCATCTTTATTCGCTTGAACTGCTTGATGCTACCTGTGGAAGCTTCAGCTGCTTGGCAGTCACTGTTACTTCAGGTAGTCTCGACTGCTGCTCTGCATCCTTTGTAAAGAACTTGGCAGGATTGAAGGTTTGATTTGAATAGATTCGGGTCGAAGGACCAATATGTTCGATGCTCGAGAGATGGTGGATGGTATTGTATGGTTATATGATATATGATGATGAAATAAAGATTGATATTGGAATCGCAATTCGTATTGCAATCTTCCTTTATTTATTGATTTTATTGATGAATCTTATGTTTCAACATCACGTAGTCTCGTTAAACACAAATATAAATATCTTATACTATATACGGTCATACAAGTACTAAATAATAATTATTATTATTTTCACCAAATGAATAATACTAAATTTTCACTATTCAAACCCAGAAAGGTGAGTTCCTTGGCTCAGCCGATGTTCGTCGACGACCTCAAGTGGGATGACTGCGCAAAATCGAGCTGTCATCATCAGTATTATTATTTTCAATATATATGGTGAATCCGTTCGTCTCTGTACAGGTTTTCTATTTGATCATTTGGAAGTCCAGTTAGTTGGTGGAGACTGTTCTAATCACTTCTGTAACATACATAATTTAAAGGTCTTTGTGACGTTTGATTGCTAATATCTTCGTATCGTTTTTATTCTATGTAAAGCAGCAGCTAGTTTTCAGTCTATAGTTTGGATTTGCGGTCTATTAGCCAGTAAATTTGTTTGAATTTGATGTCTAGTTAGTTGACCTCTTTTCATTTGTATAACATAAAAAAATAGTGATTAGTGTTTCAAGTAAGTGAAAATACCAAAGGGCATCTCACTTTCAAGCCCAAACTCTCATCTCTCGTACTAAATGTTGACCAAGAAATAAAATGACTGTGGAATAGTTTTGAGAGAATTTTTACTATCCTAACTCAGGAAGGCAAGTTCGTTGGCTCAGCCGACGTTCGTCGATGACTTCAAGTGGATGACCTTGAGGAAGATCGAGCTGCAGACGGCAGACGGTCTGCCAGCGTTGCCGATGCAGATCAGCTGGGTGAGGGACGGCATCCTCGTCGTGGGCATGGACTCGGAGATGCACGTGTACACTCAGTGGACGCCTCAGAACCCGGCGGCGGCGGCTCAGAACACCGAGACCGACAACAAGAACGGCAGAGATGTCGATTTCAGGTGGGATATATTTTTTTCTTTGTATGTCGCTACTTCGAAATTGGAACCAAATACCTCAAAAGTCGAAACTTGTGCGAGGTCAGGAGGGACAGGAACTAGAGCTACCACTGTATTTTTACCCGCTTCTATGACGTGAGAATAATGTTTTTCGTTGAATGAGTCCTTTTCCTTTCCGAATAGGCTATATAGAATCATATATTTAAAGAAAAATCATTGCTCAATTTTTCGAAAAATGGTCAATTTACGTAGACTATTCCACTCTCGAGAACCAATCAGAACCGGCCAATTTCACTGTTTCTTCTGTAATACAGCGATATTTTTTTGTTAACTAAATTTTATCGGACTCTCTTCCAATACAGAAGCTGAATTGAACCACACGTGACCTACAAACCTCGTTTTTCAGCAAAAAAATTTTTGACGTTTATAACGTCAATTATATTGGAAGCCAGAATGATGGATGCATTGTGATCAACTCTCGCGAGCCGCTCACGAATACAACTCGTGGTACTATTTTTCCTGGAAATATTCGTCGATTGACATACTCCAGCTTGATGCTCTAATTTCGCTTATCACATTGTTCCAAAACTTCTCAACCTACGGTCTCTGAATTTTTTCAGGTCAGTTTTTCTCGTAAAATTACTGATTGCCAACATTTTTTCGATAGGAAAGAAATTTATCCCATAAAAAAAAGCTCTTGTGTTTTTAATGTTGACAAAAAAAATGTTCTCTCTTCTAGAGATGATAGTATTCTATATAAAGTCAAATGATAAATGTTTTGTCCTAATATCGAATATCTGATATTGAGATATATCTGTTATTATATAAGTTATTATAAGTTAGTGCGACCATCTGATATTATGCAAAATGTCTCCTGTTGTAGGTTAAGTGTATGGAACAAAGGAAACTATAATAATCCATTGGCCACATGAACTAAATTAAAGTAGACATATTATAAACTAATTAAACTAGAGTCGAATTCAAAAACTTACCTGAATGTCAAAAAATTACGTTTCCGCCTAGCACATGTAAAAATACAAAATGTGACTGTTCGGTATAATCGACCAGTTTTCTTAGAAATCAGAATACAGATTTCTTTAAAACAGAACTATCCAATATTGGGCAACTATCGGATATTATATTAGGTCACTCTACTCTAATGCTTTCTAAAACGTCCTGACATTTGAGCTAATCATCTTAGGATCATCTCAAAGACGTTTTTCTTTTATCCAATATTTCTTTGGCATTCTACCATCTGAAGAATTTGATATTTTTATATTTGTTGACTTCAGGACGCTGACGCAAGAAAATCAGCGTAAGTTGGCTGCAGTGCCGACTCTAGGCAGGATTAGTTCGGTGAATTTGCAAATTTTGGACAGGAAGAGAAACAGGGAGCCAAACCTAGACTATATGCCTGACTATGGACTGTTCGAAGCTTCTAGAATCGCGTGTCCTGTTTTGCCTCAGTACCATCCGAAACAACTGATGGAGCTGTTGAACTCCGGGAAAATAAGGTCAGTGATGCAAAATGATCAATTTTTTTGGCCAAAATCTATGCAGATATAATACGTGTCGAAATTTCAGTTATTACAAAGAAAGCGTTGGTTTAGTTCATTGTACCAGTATATCACCTGACGAAGCTTTTGTGTTTGCGAAACATGTTGTGTGTTTAAGAATTTTGTGGAAATCTTATCGTTTGTGAAGTTCTTATATTTAATTGGGAAAATCAGTTGATGAAATATTCACCTAAAATTGTATGGCTTTACTTAACAATCCGGCTCGAAGGACCATATGACAATAAATTCAAATTTTTCTTCCATTTAGTTGGGTGAAAGCCATTCTCTCGCACCTAGTAAAATGCATCGGTGGCAACCACGAGTCCACCGAAGAACTGCCGAGCTGGTCCAGGAACCGCACCCTCTCAGTCAGCTATCCCCCAGGTTCCCCCGAGCACCGAGCTAGCATCGGGGAGATCAACCTCGACTACGACGAAATCAACAACATCCCCCCATTGCCGCTCTGGACGCTCTTGGCAGCCGACAAAGAGTCCTCGGCCGCCCAAGAAGACAACAAGGACTACAACGAGCTGTTCGATAACGTGCTGATCGAGGAGTCTCTGGACACTTTGCTGGAAGACCAAGAGGTAGTACTTTTTCTATTTAGGTACATTCTATAACTAAGTAAATTACAATTACAAAAAAGCTGATAATTGAAGATGAAAAATAAACATATTGAAAAAAACTACAAAATCTACATATTTAAACATTCCATTTCTCTAGCTTGTACACTTTTTTTTAATAGTACTTCAACTGTATTTTGAACCTTGAGGGGTTGAGTAACTTCAGATCTTCTGGTAGTTTATTATAGAAATCCACTCACCTGACGAGGAATGCGTTGACCATAATGGGGAAGTTTTCGTTATTGAGGTATTAATGTCACTGTGAAGTTTGTAACAATAATATAATATATACTTATTTTTTCTTTTTTTCGTAAGATCAAACTTCACTTCAGAAAAAAAAATGGAAAAGGACCTTGGCTTCTTCACTATTCCTATGACATACTTTATTAAAACCCACATTCACACAGTTAAAATATGATCTCCTGTGTCACTATGACTTTGCCGGCATCATCAATATGTCTAAATATCCGGAAATTGTTCTTTGAATACATTTAGCTATATTAATCATAACAGCAATGGGAGATAATAAGTGTTTCAATCCTGCTTCTTCGAGTATTATGAATGATTTCATAAATTCCTAATGTTTGAATAGTGTCGAAATATTTTTGAAATGAAACTTGGATATATGTAACTGTTGTTCGTTATTATTTATTTGTAATTGATTTACTCAAAGAACATTTTATTATACTTTTTATATTTTTGTTATGTGCCATTGCATCGTCCAACACATTGCTGATTTGGAACAAAAGCACTTAAATTTATATTGATATCTTCGTTATCTTCAATTTTTTTTTGTACCTGAATAAAGTGTTTTGAAAAAAAACTCATATTCACTGGATGAAGTTGATTACTAATAAAGATAAAATTTCATATTTTGCAATAGTATCCTTAATTACTCACTTTCCTTATATTACAAAATGAACTTGTCAGTCATAATTTTGCAAATGAAAACATTCCTTTATGAAATGGATTTATTTTTTGGAAAGTAGCATATTACATCTTGCAACAGCGCATAATATTTTGAGCCCGTTCACACCTCACAAAATACTAGCAGGCACACTGAGAGCTGATCTGATTTTGTGGTTATGTATATTTTTGTTTACCAGTTTTATTTGTGTTGATTTTTGATCTCCACTTATTCGTTAGCCCATGTCTACAGCTTATAGTTGTTTTGTTAGTTTATAATTTTTTATGAAATTATCAACAACAACGCCTAGATGTCTTCTTCTATTTTTTTATTCGTTTTTCATTCGTTAGCTACTCGCTAGCTATATTCTTCATCATCAGCTATGTTCAGACTAGATTCAGAATGTACTTCACAGTTTGTCACCCCAAAAATTATAAATTATTTCATTTTGTTAATTAAAACGACTTGGACTTTTTCCATCGCTATTATGTACAGCGTAGACATAAGACTGAGGAGTTCCGAACTTATTTTATGAAAATTCATCTTAGGGAAACTTCCCCATTCTGAAAGAATGGCACACTGAGTTTAAATTATCACAAAGTTTATTTATATGGATCTCATGACGATTTTGGTCAATATTGTCAACTCAGATGTTGACCCTCCTATAGGTCGTGACTTAGCTACTCGCTTGGCTTTTTGACGAGAGGTTTTGATCATTTCACCACCCAACCATATTCATCCCCAAATAAAGAGAATTGTTTTTCAAAAGTACAACAAGCAATTTATTCAATCATGAAAACATAAAAATGTGCCAAAAGGGCGGAACAGCAAAGAACAAACATGAAACGAGCAAACAACAGAAACAAGATGATGGTTCTCGGTACTCACATTATGTTATGGGCAGCAGCACCAAAGTCGAGGAGGTGCCACTTTGGAAGTCAGCAATCAATGACTGAGTGTTATTTTCTGATTTTAATATAATAATTCTTAGTGGCGAATTGAATAACGATTGAACTAATAATGCCTTTTGTTGATGATGAATGATTGCCTTATCGACTCGGGTACTATTTATATTCGGAATCGATGCTATAGGTTCGCAATTTTCCGCAATGGGAACGGTCGTTACCTTTCGATACTGCTTACCTAGGTATTATCGCGCGGTAAGCGTTTTCTTTGCAAATTATAAAGGAAATGACGTCTATGAACTCCGCTGACCTGATCGAAACTACAATGTACTGAATGTTTTAATTTAGAAAAGTTAATTAATGATAAAAGATCTTGAAATGAACGAGAGTTTGAGTGATGTTAATTCATAGGCATTCGTACTTCTTGACAATATGAACTCCAAACAGCTTTGTGTTTTTGTCTGGAGCTTTATGATGTGCGGTAATTTGTTTTCTACGTTTTTAGTTGTGAAACGAATATAGGTTGTCTTTGTTTAAAGTCAATCGGTTCCTAATGAGCCAGTCCTGAACTTCTTTTAGGTGTCCAGGTCGGATAGAAGACCTTCGGAGAGGAACGTGGGGCTGACTTACTTCACCCCCAAGCAGGGTCGCATTTTGTCGCGGCTTTTGACCCACACCCACCTGCCAGGCTTATCCAGTCTGGACCAAATGCATCTGCTAGCTCTCGCAGACACAGTTTCTACTTGTAATACTGATCTGGCTGAGCATTTCGCCATCGACGCTGCCAAGAGCAGCATGGTCAAGGAGAATCTGGAAGGCCAAAAGGAAGATCTTCTTACTGAACACCTGGACGACTGCGGGCTGAGATTCCTGCTGGCCATGAAACATTACGGCTACCTCTTGAGGTAATAATAATAATAATGGGCTTGTGTCACAAAAAAAAAATTATTTCATAATTCGATAGAGCTAGCTCACCACCGCGAACCGTTTCTTGCTGTGAGCCCCCTACGTTTTATAAAAAAATATTGAAATCCTCAATTTTTCGGACCTCTGAAAACGAGGCGATAATTTGACGTCAAAACCCTAATACTGAAACAAGACTATTCCAGACAGAGGTGAATGATACATAATTTCTGACAAAGCACCAAGATTGGTGAATCGGCAAGTTGATTTTTGTGACAAAGATAATAAGAACAAGAAGAAGATCAATTCTAACCTGTATTAACTTTTTGCAATCGAATATTCGAATTCGAATATTAAATTGAAATATTTCGACAAAAGTATTTTAGACGACATAAACAACTTCGGAATCGGAATTCGATACTCGATGCAGATGCAGCTCCATGTAAAACGGGTCAACAAAGCAATGTTGCTGCGTTTATGAAAAGTATTGGATTATTGGGAAATTGTAATGGTGCAAATGGTTTTGAGATTGAGACGTTTCGTTATCTAGAGATTGTTTATATTCCAATGATTCAACCTACAATCGACAACTTGAATATATTTTTCTGCAATAGTGGTAGTGGATATCAAAAGATATTTCAATATCGATTTCGATCTCTCGGATATTTTGTTTGGATGATATGGCAACAGTGGTAAGTGTCACACATGGGTCTCCGTCGGGCATTTGGTATTTTCTTTTAACTATGGCGAGATGAGGTTTCTACGTCATAAGAGGATCCGTTTTCAGAAGGTACTATTATTTATGTCCAAAAATAGAACATTCCAGTTAATTTTTCGATCGAATTTTGTCGTCAATCATTATTTATGTATAAAAGAATCGTTATAAACATGGTTTGAGTTATAAGTTCTACTAAGGTGTACAGTTTGTCCAGTTTTCGATGCTTTTGCCTGATATCTCAGTTATCTTTGGAGATAAAACCTTGCGGTTTTCGCGGTCCTGTGCCACTTTTTTGTGAAACTCAAGATGGCCTAATCAGATTTTGCAAGACTGTTTCCGTTTATGAGATACAGGGCGATTTTGAAAATTTATACTATTTGGACCCCTCCATATTCACGAACTTTCTCAACAAAAATGTCAAATCAAAAATCTTATCGCATAGAGAATTTCACGCATAATCCAGTGGCGCACTTAATTTTTTTTTTCGGGGTATGGTTTTGGAGATACGACTCAAACTTATGATTTTTTAAATGGAACACCCTGTATTTCACAAGCTCATTAAATTCCTTATTTTTTTGTCTTCAAAATGATATATAACGAATGAATATAAAATTTTCAAAATTGCTCAAAATCACTAAAATATTGAATTTTGATAGTTGGTTATGGATTTTTCTTATAATAAACGTTCCAATTGAAGGAATATTTCTTCAAATTTTTCCATGGAGATGTCAAAACCAATATAAACACTTATTAATTAACAAAACACTAAACTTGGGTACCTGATAGCGACAAATAAATAGTAATAAAAAGTTTATAATGTAGAATAAGCACCTGATTAAATATTAACTAGAACAATTGAATTCCGGAATTATTCAGTAACTTATTCATTGACATGTTCAAATTGATATCTATTTTCCCTAACATACAGTTGACAAACTTTCTTAATACTTCTTAATACAGTGAGTGGCCCAACATACTTGAAGAACTTTGTGCAACAACAGAGGCAGTTTTCCATGAATTACCAAAGACATCTTTCAATGATTAATATGTATTGACAAAGTTTGTAATGGAAAATGGACATCAATTTGAACAATTCAATGAATAAATCACTGAATAATTTCGAAATTCAATTGTTTTAGTAAATATTCAATCAGGTGCTTATTCTACATTATAAACTTTTTATAACTATATATTTTTGGTTATCAGGTATCTAAGTTTTGTGTATTGCAAGTTAATTAGTGTTGAAATTGTTATTTCCCCCTTTATGGAACAATCAAAGGAAATATTCCTTCGATTGTAAATTTCTTCATATGAAAATCCCTCGAAAAACCCATAGCCCACTATTAAAATTCAATTTTTTAGTGATTTTTGAACATTTTTGAAAATGTTATATTCATACATCATATATCATTTCGAAGGGAAAAAAATTAGGAATTTAATGAGCTTGTCAAATACAGGGTGTTCAATTTAAAAAATCATAAGTTTGAGTCGTATCTTCAAAACCACACCCCGAAAAAAAAAAACTTTTGTGCGCCACTGGATTCTGCATAAAATTCTCTATCGGTTGAGATTTTAATTTGACATTTTCGCTGATAAACTTCGTAGATATAGAGGGGGTCCAAAAAGTATAAATTTTCAAAATCGCCCTGTATCTCATAAACGGAAACCGTCCTGCAAAATCTCACGAAAAAGTAGCACAGGACCGCGAAAACCGCAAGATTCTATCTACAAAGATAACTGAGATATCAAGCAAAAGCATCGAAAACTGGACACACTGTACACGCTCAAATCATCGCATGATAAGTGAAAAATTCCCTATACTTTTCAGGTGCCTGCCCTTAGCCCAACGGACGCAGTTCCAAAAGCAAGGCGTCGGCAACAATAACCTCGCTTGGGCCTTCCATTCGGAGAGCCAAGAGGAGCTGCTCAACCTGATACCCAGCTACGCCAAGGGTGAACCCACCTGGACCACGCTGCGCGAGCTCGGCGTCGGCTGGTGGGTGCGGAACTCGAATCTGCTGAAGCAGTGCTTCCAGGTGCTGGCCAAAGCGGCCTTCCAAGCCAACCAGGACCCGATGGACGCGGCGCTTTACTACTTGGCGCTGAACAAGAAGAACTTGCTGTGGGGCTTGTACAGGTAAGCACGCCAGAATAATATTATTTGTGAAAATAACACAACAAACAAAATATCAAACTTTGGTAAAGGTCCATATTGCTCAAAGTGGGGTGAAATATTGTCACAAACTGTAGGCGGGGGATTCCTAAGTTGTGCTCTCGATCGTTACCACCGATAAAACAAGGCCTGCATGCTCCGTGGGTGACGTCACTTAGTCAGGCCTAACCAGCGGCTCAAACGACAAGCGCTTATAGCGCTATAAGGCGACCGCGTATTTCGATTTCAGTTTTAGATCATTATTGAGCCGATTTTGCTTTTTTTTTGAAGGGCTTCCGGTTGAAAGAGGATGCCAGCCGTCAACTGAGCCCTTCTTCGCATCCCATTCGATTTTATTATGGAAAAACGAAGTTTCAAAGCAAAAACCAGAATAAAACACAAATATCCACCTACAGCAACCCATTCGAATTAAATATATTGGCAAAAATTGTGGTGAAGGTAAACTTCACACCTACTTATACAGGGCCCGCAGAACATAAACTTATCATGAGATTGATCGAAAGAAAATTGGGGAAAATGTAGTTTGATAGACATGCCGTTTGTTATACCTAATTACACACACACACCGAATATGTAATTACGGGCCCTGGAGAATAAGACAATTTGAATAATGTGACTTTTTGCAAATCGATAATTTTGAACCACTTTTCGGGCAACTGAAAAGACTCTAATACAACTAGAAATTCTTAAAATTCTCTGTAGCAAAATGATTTTTGGTAATTTTCGAATTCAGTTTTACTTTTGGTAAGTGCTTGTGCCAAATTTTTAGTCTCTAGTATCTCAAGTTTTTCATCACGACTTGTGCGTAATTTTACATCTTTCGATAAATAAGATGGACAGTTGGGAAATTGAGTGGGAATAACATAAAATATCGTTTGAGCCTAGAAATTTTCAAATCTATTGTTACAGTTTTGCCAGTTTTTGAATTGGATGCAGTAGATGAAGTAATAATATCATCTTTAGTAAAATGTAATTCACATACTTTACTGTACTTAGATGGAGTCGTAAAATCCTTGCGGTGAATTACATGTACCCACTTTTTCGATAGTTCCTTGTCCAACGGGAAACTAAAAGCATGAACTTTTGGACCACCCACATAATTCCCCCGACAAAAGGGAACACAACACTTGTAAGGCATTGTTATTTCGCCTATCACAACACGAAATATTCCACAAAACAGTAATTTCTCCGCCAATTATTTTGATGAATAAACAACAAGAGAATTAGAGCACACGCGATTTACCTACGCCACCGTTCTTAAACAAAAACAAACTGACGATCGATCGACGCGAATGCCTTGGAAGATGGCCTGAGTATTCGACGTCACGAGCTGTTTACGTCAGAGTCTGCTGGCCTAGACCATCAGAGAATGAACTTCAAGTGAGAATAATAAATAATACTCAGAAGGTTTTCGAACAAAACACATGCACACATTTTTTCTTTGATTTATGATTCACAATTAATAAAAACTTAACTTACCCTATATGTACAAATGAACTGATATTCCTGTGAGGAATGGCATCTTCTGTTCTGCCCGAACTTCAAATATTCGGGCACAGTGGCAATTTTACAGACTCGCAATCGGTAGAACTTAGACTTCCCTAACTCTTATAACAAAAACAGCTAGAACTAGAACTCGAACTGGTACTCGAACTGGCAATCAAACTCGTAGTCGAACTGGTGAACGCGCTTCCTTACGTCTTTTAAATAGTTGTCTATATTTTCGGAAACGTGACAGTAAGGAAATCAGGTCGATAGTCCAGGTTCGTTGAAGTCAATGTCACGCCTGTGTTTATGTTCAACTACTATGAAAAAAAAGTTCGTTCATGATTAGAAAATTTTGGAATTAATAAACAAAGACGTGACCGTTCAATGACTTCGAACCCTTCATGAATTCAAATGAAATTTAAGAAAATAACCCTATTCGTGACAATATTTCACAGGAAGGAAGGAATGCTCGAAGTCATCTCCACAAATTTTAATGATGTCAAATAATCATAAGGGACATGTTTCGGTCTTATAAAAGATCATCTTCAGCCTAATTGAAAGGTCTACAATACAATGCTTGACTTCTCGAATAATTCAAAAGTTATAGTCCTGGCCGTTTTTTGTGCACTTCTCTGTATAATGTACTGAGATATTTTCAATCTAAATCACTGGCAAAAAAAAGGCGAGCAAAAAATTTTGCCAAATTGATCACCCTGTAACTTTTTCCATTCTTGTCCAATTCTGGTGAAATTTCGACCTAATCGTAGATTCATTAATATTTCGGGGTGGAAGCCTGAATTTCAATTCTTGAAAAAAGCTGATCGCCTGACTAGGGAAAAACAAAAGTTTTTCTTTCACCCTTAACTTGATGCTCTGCGGCAAATATGAATGGTTAACTTCACTCATGAGACAACTTTTCCCTTGTGATAATTTAATATTGTTAAATATTTATTGACCTATGTACATTTGTTTTTTCGTCCTTACTACAAGGTTTCCTTCCTAAGGTTTTTCCCAGTTTATTCAAAATACCTATCTGTATGTTCCAATGTATATAAATAAACTTATATTATTATTATTATGTTTTGTATCGAAATGGGATCACATCTACCTGTATAATGACAAAGCCGTCAGCTTTTTATTTGAAACTCAAATTCAGATTAACATCCTGAATCTACGATTTGGTCGGAATGTCACAAAAATCGGACAAGGAATAAAAAAGTAACAGAGCGATCAATTTCACAATTTTTTTTGCAGTCCGGTTTTTTTCTGCCGTTGAGTGTATGTCATTCTGACGTAGAATCCTTGTACAGGGCCAAACGCGACGAAAGGATGACGGCTTTCTTCAACAACAACTTCTCGGAGGATAGGTGGAGAAAGGCGGCTTTGAAGAACGCGTACGCCTTGCTGGGCAAGCAACGTTTCGACCATGCGGCGGCCTTCTTCCTGCTAGCCGGCAATCTCAAAGACGCCGTGGAGATATGCCTCAACAGGCTGCAAGACCTGCAACTAGCCATCGTCATAGTGCGGGTATTTCAAGGAGACGGCGAAGACCTCAAGAAGCTGCTCTACCGAGAAATCCTCGGCTGCGATGAGAACGGAGAGAACCAAGAGTTGTCCAAGGCGCACCCGGATCCTTTCCTGCGCTCGATGGCCTTATGGTCCTTGAAAGAGTACCAGCCTTCGCTGGACACTCTTTTGGTGGGTAATGCCGGTCACATGCACCCTGCTCACGATGAAGAAGCTAGAGAAACCAAAGAAGCTGATCCTAACGTTTTTAACTTTTACGTCTACCTGAGAACCCATCCCTTATTGGTTCGTCAGCACCTGGCTAGCTATGGCAAGAGGAAGGTTTGGGTGTGTAACGTTTTTATTTAATCAAACAACTCACAAAAAGTTACATCCATAGACTTATAGAAAGAGGAGATACATAACATTTCGTGGGAACCAGAACATACAAAAAAAAATTCATAAAACAATATTTGTTTACAATCATCATAAATATTTCTAAAGTTTCAAATAAGTTAGAAAGAGACGGCTTTAGAAAATAGCAACACTTCAAACTGTGCGTCAATGTTCACACTTTTCTTTACCCGTCGCATAGGTTAAACGAGGGGCAAGACAATTTTACTACAATGTCAAACGCTATTTTACCTAATAGAAAATGTTTGGGTCTTATTTTATAATTTTAATACTCAATATTCGTAGTATCTCAGGTATTTACCTAGTTTTGATCCATTATTAAGTGGAATTTGAAGAAACACCATTTCTTGCAAAAATTCAGTTAAATAACCTGCGATAACTACACCACTGCTCAAGATGAAAGAAACATAACCTTACTCACCGTCGAAATACCAATTTGGAGTTTGAATGGTGAACTTTTTAACAATCCACGCACTGGTGAACCATACTAAACTATTATTAATTGCCTTTATATAGTTTTATATCAAGAAGATACTGGAAATCAATGATAACTCAAAAAGCCCTAAAATGGTAACAAACACAGCACAACAACACTGTAACGTCGGCTTTCGACATACGTGAAAAATATGCGTCACTTGTAGTACACACGCCACAGCTATTTCCATAATACATTATAATTGTATGTGAAAATGAAATTAGGAAATTTTGAATTATTTTAATAGCAGAATTCACATATTTCGAATAAGTAACAAACATACAGAATGAATAATGTATATTATACAGGGAATCCCTAAATTGCTGGGACACAGAGCTACCACGTGTAATACAGTTCAAAATAAGTTGACCCTACTTATTTATGTATAAAATGTACCGTTCGTCCGTGAGGCGAGTTCAAAGTTTACATAAAGAAGCATATTTTTGTACGCTGAGTGAAGCATATTTTGTGAAATTTGACAAAAGTGCATTCCAGAAGTTAACCCTTCTTTCAGTGACCAAAGAAACCTGAAAGAAATTGTAGAAGAGTAGAAACCATACTCAGCCTCTGATATTTTTTTTTCTGAACATTCTTAGGGGTGGTAGTAGAATTCTCAATTTTTCAAAGCGAGATGACTGATTAATTATCTTCAGTTTGTTACTCTTGTGAAAATTTCGTATTACTCATAGTTCCGAAGGAACAAAATGTTTTCTTAAATGATGCTAACATATTATATTCCTATTAAAAGTTTGATGAAATTGTAATACACAAACATTGTTTGACAGTGGAAACAAACGAATTGATATTTGTATTGAGGAAGCTGGGTGTCATATTGAACATTTATTAAAAAAAAGTTCTGCGTCTGTTTCCACTGTCAACAAAATTTTTCATTATAATATTAAACTTTTGCCAGGAATATCTCCCATCATTATTTAAGAAAACGTTTTTTTCCTACGGAACTAAAAATTGTAAAATTGTTCTATCCGTCGGAACTTCGGAATAAGAAAAAATAGTGTATTATACACGGGAAAAATATTAGATTTTAGCTCACAAACTGGAGCTAAAGTTTACTACTTTTTCCCATGTATAATAAATTACTATTTTTAAGTAAACTTTGAACTCGTCTCACGGACGAACGGTACATTTTGTGATATAATTGAATTGGGCCCAGTCAACTTATTTTGACTTGTATTACACGTGGTATCTCTATGTCGCAGCAATTTTGGGACACCTTGTATAATTAATGCATGATTAATGCTTCCCTTGGTTCCAAATACAGTGTTACGAGCATAATGATATAGGAAGCTGTAGATTCATTACCAAATACAAATACAGTATTGCAACAGGCAATCAATCAAACAGACAATCACAGGTCTTCTGAAAGTGCTCCGAGGAATATTGCTATAATATCGCTAATCTTGGTCCAAGCTCCGTTCGTTTCAACACAATGCTGGGATCAGGAACTCAGCATACATAGGAAATCAGCTTTCCAAACGACCTTCAACACCATTGATACTCCTTATTCTTTCTGTCCCGATCGCGTATTGCCAAAAACCGTACTCAATTACGTAATAAGGTAATTTGAGGAAGGAAAATATTATTTCTGTATGAAAAAGGATTCGATTAGACCTAACTCGGCCTCAATGAACCTTTTCCTGAAAATTTTATTTCCATTCCCATCATCAACAACTCTTCGACAGACGGTAGATCTAGGGCAAGCAGCAGAAATTTGTCTTTATCCTTTTTTGCTGAAAACGATGTTGGATCGTGAAAAAATGTTAACAATTTCGTCTCCCCTCTTTTTATATGGCTAAGATTGAAACTATACTAAAAAATACAGGTGCCGGGGGGCAAGCAAATCGTCGTGGACGAGTGGATCACCCCCTTGGAGAGGCAACTGTACTTTGCCACCGCCCACGGGCACTTCAGAGCCGGATGCCCCGCTCTGGCTCTGGAGGTGCTGTCAAAACTGCCCTATGTCGTTTCGGAGAGGCCAGAGCAGCTGACGGAGGATAAGGCTTTGGAGCAAGCGGAGATCGTCACCGGGACGATTTCCTGGGAGCCCAGGTATCAAAATACGCCCTGTATACCTATGTTTATCGGTTTGCTGAATCCAAGAAGTATGTGTAGTAGCGAATAAACAAATCACACCTTGTTTCACATTTTGAGCCTAATCGCAGCACCGTAGGTACCTATAGTTTTTAAGATACCACACTTTGAATATTGTCAAATGTTTTCAAAATAGTTATTTCTGTATCTAGAGCGCGAAATGCTACTTTGGTGATCGAGATCTGATTGTTTTGGTATCCTCAAATCCCCACCATGTTTAGTGTGATAGGTGTGTGAAGATGCATTAGTGTCGAAAGATTCCAAGTTGCTCCTAACGAATTTTACACATTTCAGAATATAGATGGATGGGATAGTTAGCAATTTTTCTCTTACAGTTTTGCAGCTTTCTCGATAGTCCATGTCGAAAATCGGTCTTGAAATACGTTTCTGCCCCACAAAATCTCTGTTAAAATCTCTTACACATCCCCATGCCATTATGTTGAAGGATATTTATATGAGAATGTCATCTCAAAATAAATACTTAATACACTCTCGGACTTAGAAGTGTTCAAAATGAGTCGATTTCGTTCAAAATAACAAATCATTTGGAAAACCTAGAGCAGCTAATTTATAACTTGAAAACTCGGAAGGCACCATGTCAAATGCCAGGTCATAGAATGATTATAAAATTGTTCGAATCTATTTCTGAGTATAAAGTCATATGTTACGGTTTCCACAGAATGATTTCTCCTAAAACCATGTTGTTTACTACATAAAATGTCAATTTTCAAATAATTCATTATCCTATTTGCCACTACCTTCTCAAACAACTTGGAGAGTGAGCAGAGCAAAGAAATTTGTCTGTAATTATTGTCTATTTCATTATTATCCCCTTTTCTGAAGAGGAAAATTACCAAAGCCTTTTTGAACTCAGTGGGAAAGTACCCTAGCATGTAGGTCTGATTTGGAAGGTAAGTAAGAGGATTTATTATCGAATGCATCATATTTTTTATGATTATTACGAAAATTTCATCAGCATCAATTCATTTTCATCGAGATGTGAGTAGAACGAATGGCTGACTCGTATTTTGAATAATAAAATTTCATCTGAATCCTTTTCATTATTTGAAAACTTCGCGATTCTTCCATGAATTCATTTCACTTGTGTATCATATGGTGAGATTATAATCATTGTGAGAAAAGATTACTAGGGAAAATTCTCTTTCGTCGCCCTTCCAGGCTCCTTCTCAGCATTCTTGTTGAATTGATAAATTCAACTCAACTATGAATCAACGATTAAATTAAGAAAATCAGAAGCTGATTGGTTGATTGATCCAAATGAACCAATACATTTTCACATATGGTTTAATCCATCGATTATTTTCAATTCAAGTTAAATTCAGTAATTCACCATCAATATCACCGTAATACCTTGTGCTGGTCTTCTGACAAACGAACACGAAAAAACTCTAATGCTCTCCTCAATAAGGGCAGAATTGACCGAGGTTGAAATTGTGTCATATAAGGCGGACGAATATTCTGACAGACTGTTACCACAGCCGTAATCCGTATCATTATCATCTCATCACAATAATGATGGAAGTAAGATATGGTGCGCGCATTCGGCCATTATTACGTATTGAAAATTTCAGAAAAATCACTTGACCGCCTACTATGATTTCTCTACGTCACAACGAGCGAGACGTTGATTCTACATTTTCCCGCCAGATGGTGATGCTGCTATTGCTGCTATGACGAGTGTAAATAAATGGCAAATAGAATTTTAGGTACGCAGAACATATGTAACAGTGGAATTATTCAACTCTGAATTCGAAAAATCTGCGACAATTTCAAAACTGACAGATGTCATAATTGTGCAATGTCGACATCTATTAGAGAATCGACGGAACCATTGCTCTCGCTGTTCTCGAGAGGTCGAGTAAAATTTCTGAAACAAAAGCGCATCAGTAATTACACCATATCTTACTTCCATCATTATCACAATACAGTGGCTGATGTAGGGAAGGGGGGAAGTTGATCTTGTATTGTTGAAAGGCGTTTTGAGATATTTGCAAAACACAGCAGAATTTTCGCAAAAAGAATGCTTACATTTATTGGAAAAATTGCACTGTTTTTGCAAATATCTCAAAACACACCAGTAAATTTTGTTGGATAATTCCAGATTCGGATTCAGCAACCCGAGAAACACAGGGAACGATGATTAAACCGACTACTAGATTTTTGTAGCGTAAAATTACCATTTGCCTGTATTATAGACCCTCCCAGGCCAGCTCCGACGTGGATTGGGGCGCCCCCGTTGTAGACTTGGAGGTAAAAACCGACGATTTCGAGTTGAAGTGGAGCGACAAGGAATCCGAAGATTCCGACGACGAAGGCCTCAACATGGACGTGGGCAACAAAAAAGAACAGGAAGACGACGAAGAAAAATACGAAGACCAAGAGGAGAAACAGCAGCACATTGACATAATGGCACAACAACTGAAATTCGTGGCTTGCCTGAAGATCCTTATGGAAGAATTGTCGACCCTAGCGACCGGCTTTGAGGTGGATGGGGGCCAGCTGCGGTACCAACTCTACATGTGGCTGGAAAAGGAAGTTGAAGCGCTGCGGGAGCTCTGCAACTACACCACCAGCGACAGCATCGAGTCCGCGGACTTAGAACAGTCACAAGAACACGAAAATGCCGCTGAAAATTCAAGTGCCAAGCCTACTCTGCACGAGATCTTGCTGCAAGAGAAACTGGACTTTGAGGCCAAAGTGCAAAGAGCTGCCAAGAGGAAACGTTGGCTCAGAGCCAACGAGACTTTGCTGCGTACGCTGTTGAGCTACTGCTCTTTGCACGGCGCTACAGGAGGCCTGGCTTCCGTGAGGATGGAGCTGATGTTGCTGCTGCAGGAGCTGCAGCAGGAAAAAATCCACCAGCAGCTGCTCAGCCCGCTGCCGTTCCCCACCAGTCTCCCGCTGTTGGCTGCCACTGTGGCCAGCAGCAAAACCGTGATTGCTGATCCGATCAGATACCTGCAATGTCTTACTCAGGACATGCTGCACACCTTGGTTGATATGCCGCAGCCTAATACCAACCAGAGCCAGTTGTTGGTCATCAGGGATTTGGCGATTGCGCTGTCGGCTTGCATTTACCAATCGCTTTGCGACTCTGACACCTTCAAGAATTCCCTGCAGGAGGCTCAGGAGATCGGAGCGACGCATTTGGTGGGGCGCAGAAGGAGGATATCTGTTAACGAAGGTAGGGTTGGGGCGATTGGAATTTCCGAACAAACATTTACAATTTGAAAGTTTCAATGTCGTCATTTTTCATTCAACCGTGGAAGTGAAACCTTTGGAAATTTTGAAAGAAATTTTCAATTTGAAACTTTCCACCAACTTAAACTAAATTAATTTGTAAAAAACTGATGGATTGAGGTGTTATCAAGTATCAACTCGTTTTTTTATTATTTCATTTATATTTTATTTAACCTAATATTACTTGAGCAAATTCCCTTTGAGAAATGGAGCTACTATCGACTTTTTTTTATTATTTTGTGTGACTAAAGTAAGTTAATTGTCTTTTATTCAACCTAAAAATGTTATGAATGTGAATTTTATTGATACTATATTCTGCTTCAAGGTACTTGTAACAGAATATATTTCCACCAAATTTAGTGGAAGACCTACTACCAGCTGCCTTATTAATATTTTGTTTAACTGAAGTCGGTATTTTGTATTTTATTTTGGGTAATCTTATCCTAGTATTTTTTCAATAATATTTCGGTGTGAAATTTCCTTACCGAATACCAGTCTAGCTTCATTCAAAAACATACATTTTTTCTCGAACACGAATATTTAGAAATATATTCATTTACAGGGTATATCATGGTGAGCTTACACTCTCTTTTTATCGAGAATAATTCGCAAAAAAATTGTGAAAATGTGCATGCTTGTATTTGAGATTACGATTTCTTCGTTTGAAATATTTTAGAGAATGCAGTGTTGCCGCTTCTACTAGGAAGTAGCAACAACTTTGTTATTTCAAATGGAATACCCTGTATTTCATTGATTTTTCAGATTCTCCGTGAATAGCAGATTTTATCAATATATCACACTTGATTCCGAATCCGAAGTGATTTTCAACCTATTTTGATTCCTAATATCATTTTCCTTGGTCATAGAAGGCATTCTTGGGATATCTCTCGCTCCAGGAAATTTCAGGATGCTCACCCAACGATTACGTAAGATACAGAGGTGTTTCCATTAGAAGTGGGTCACACTGTATAAGCATTCACATTTTCATACATTTCTTGCGACTGATTCTCGAAATGAAGATAGTGTAGGCTTGTCGTGACATCTCTGTATTTCATTATGCCTCGAATATTTCTGAAAATTTCAATAAAACTCATAAGATTCAGTAAATTCTTGAAATGTAAATAGATTTCATGAGAATTTCAAGTGAAATTCCATAACTCAAAAAGTCAACTTTTCCCAATGAAGGCCACAACATCATAACGTTCCCGCCCAAGTGGCCGGGCGTCACCAGCCTGCGAGCCCTATTGGCCAGAGAAAAGGACGAAGACACGCCCCGACTGACCGTAGTCCTATGCGAGGCCTTCACCGCCGTCTACTTGGCCCTCCTCCTCTACGGCCTGGTCACGTGCGACTGCGTCATCCTCTTCCACGTGACCGCGCACACCTTCGATGCCGCCGTGTGGGGCAAACTGTTCGGCGGCGGCATCAAGAAGCTGCTGCGCACCGCGAGTCTCATACAAGGTTAGTAGAAAACATAGGTTGTCTCGATAGTGGAAGGAGAAGATGGTGTGCCTACGTGCATTTTATGTGACGTCATCTGGGATATCAATATCAGCTGCTAGGGAAAGACAGATACCGTTGCCATGGGCGTGCGCTAATTCAGTTTATATAAATAGGTACCTATTCCTTCGATTTTACTATTCCATGGATTCTGGAATTTGTGATCTTACGGTGATTCGCAATCGCAAATAGCAAATACATAGGAAATATCATGCATTGCCATTCCCATCGAATGATGCACCACTGTGTTGATTCTGACAGATTAAAATTCAGTAGTTAACGACGTTGACGTTGCTTCTGCTTTGATATCTACAACAGGAGTATCATTTTTTGCCGTTTTGTTATTCAAATATTTGCTGCAATCTATAATTTGTGAGAAATTAAGTATTTTGTATTTTTGCATAACAATGGCAGTTATGTCCCAGTTGACGTCATGCGCAGAACAAGACGAGTTTGAACTTTCTGTCGAGCACACCATCTTCTCCTTCCACTATGGTTGTCTCGTTTCTTCCAACCAATCATCGCCATCTAGGGTCCCTTGATGGAAACTGACTTTAACGTCAATTTCCATCAAGGGACCCTAGTTCTATTTAGAGTTCCTAAATGTACTTGTCACTGCTGTTTTTGACGTTTTCTTATATTAGAGTACGGACACTATACAAGCAGTGACAATCAAACATAACCACAAACGATTTTGAAGCAAATCATATGTTTTGCCAGACAAGGACAAGAATATGTTTTTCGCTTAGATGAAGGATCCTCGCATCTTGCTTCCTCCATAAGTCCTGGGAAGAGTACATCCATATATCTTTCTCTGTCTTTGATTTTTGTATGAGAGTGCATAGCGTCTCTTCCAGTGGGACAGAGGGGACGATAAATTGATTAGAAAATTAGTTCTTCTCGAAATATTGAATGATGAGGCTGAAGAACCTCAATGGAGATCGATATCAAGTTGGTATGTACATATATACCAACGAAATACTTATACTATTCCTATGAAATAAGTCTACTATATAAGGCTTATATGTATGGGTCATTATATACGTTCAGTTGAATATTTTTTCATCACTAAAGTTCAGAATGGGGTGAAAACTGATGAATTTCAAAACCAATGAAACATACTTTATTTCGTATGGAACAATTTCACTTGAACAAGAGTGGTGGGTAATGAGTAATTAATAAATGAACAAATGATTTGGCAACAATAACAGCTGATTTCAGTTAGGATAAATAATAATAATATTATTCAATTTGATATTCAAATATTCTATTCGGTTTTCCAAATAGAATTTTTTCCATAGTATTGTTCATCGAAACTATGAATTTTTCTCAAAATTGCCTGGATATTTGCTTGTTCAATTTTCCTGTATTTCTCTGAAAACATTTGCTGATTTTGTTTGAAATCTGAAATAATTTTTAGGTGATATTTCTGAACTCTGACTTTTGTATCTAAATCTTTTTGCTTTAACTTATTATTCAACTCTCTATTTTTTTCTTCTATTTGTTTCCTGCATTCCTCACTCTCTTCCATTCGTAAACTTTGGATTTCTTGATATTCCTGCTCTAAAAATTCGGTTCTCAAGTATTTTTCTTTCAAAATATGTTCGAAATGTATTTCATTATTTGCAAGTTTTTCGTTTCTTGTTGGTTCTAAATTGGAATAAGGTTCTTTTGGATACTCTCAGTTTATAAATTGTGGGTTCGGCTCTTTCTCTCAATACGATCCTATTCTTCAACATCAAAACTTCCGTTCTGAAGTGTACCTGATAAGAATTCGTTGAAAAATGTTCTATATCCTACGAAGAAATTTGAATACCTCGCAAATTTTGTGGCCTGAACCTATATTTGATTATATATTGATTTACCGTGTTCTCACAGTTGGAAACTGCACAAACTTGCATAATTTCCCCTAGAGTCCCTGTATATAACTTAGACAAGAGTCCGGACACAAAACTGACAGCCGTTGGGGTTTTTAATATTTTGTTTCATTTGGTTTGCCCACCTGACAATGTGACGAAACACTAAAGTCGTCCCGCTCGCTTTTTTTAATTATTCCGAATGTCTGTCACTGTCATTTTAAATTATTTCAATGTCCTGCTGCGTAAATTATTGCGATAATTCATTAGAAAAGGGATTCAAGTTATTCAATTCTCCGAATGATCCTTTAAGGATAATGTCATGGAAGAATGCAATGAAATGAAACGTCCAGAATGGAAAATTAATTTCAAGAAATCCGCAATATGTGAGGTAAATATTCAAATTTACTTGTGAAAACAGTACAAAAAGGATGAATTTTAGGCCCATTTTGATAGAGATTTTTTCAGGCTGATGGATTTCAAATCGAAAGAGTCTGCTGTGCCGTCAATTTATGAAATAGAGACGTTCAAAAAAAGAGTCCCGTCGTCATCGTATTGGGAATTTCTGAATGATACGTTCGCAGAGAAAGAACATGAGAATGAGATGATGCGGAAAGAAATTGAAAGTTTGAATTCAAAACTCGAATCAAAACTAGAAGACTTAGGGAAACTGCAATGTGCTATATCATCAGTCCACGGTGTTATCAATTCAGATCAAATTCAAAATGTACAGGTGAATGTAGACTGCAGGAAGAGGTGGGAAACACAATTAATAAAGCACTCGATCGCTATCAAATATATTGTTGTTTTGATTTTGTCACTTTTATTTATGATGAGTGTTATTAAATTGAGAGAATCGGAAAAGATTATATTGAAACAATTATATATCTTCTATTTTTTTATATCCCAACAGAAAGCAACTATATTTTCTTGGCTATATGTGATACCACGTATAAATTATCTTTCTTATATCTAATGAAGTGAAGAAATATCTGATGACAAAAATTTGCAATAGCCATCTCAGGAATTGATTATGAAAATTATCGATTCGAAATTTGAACACCCTGTTGTTCATTATTCGAAAATCTAATGGTTATTCTAGTTGAAATAGCCCTATTTCTCACTTCTACCTACAGCTATGAACGGTTTGACAAATAATCTAACCCTCAAAAGGGTTTCTGACAATCAATGATACTAGGGGAATTAAAAAGACAGAGCTCGATATATATGTCTTATTCCTTTATTCAATCATCAATGCATTTTTTGAAAACAGAAAAGAATAGAAGTATTATAGTTGTGTCCGGACTCTTGTCTAAGGTATATACAGGGGCTCTAATTTCCCCTAATTCTCTCAATTTGTCAAACCTTTGAAATATATGTCATGTACTTCCGTGTACTGTCAGTTCCCGCTTTTTCCATCAATTTTGTCAGTGCTTGTCATAGTGTCCGTACTCTGATATACAAAAAACGTCAAAACAGCAGTGTTAAGTACATTTAGGAACTCTACTCTCTCCTATTAACCTTATTGAGTCTAATAGGCGCGCACGGGCATGCGCAGTACGCGACGCAGCAGAGCGTGCAGACGCCCACCGAGGAAGCTAGCGGGCCGGCCACGTGGCTGAACAAGCAGCGCGTGAAGCTGAACACGAAGCTGCTGGGGCAGCAGCCGTCCGCGATGAAGGAGGACAGGCCGACGTACAGGGAGCAGTTCGTGCCGCCCGACATGAGCATTCTGGCGTACCTGCTGACCAAGCCGGCCGCCGAGGAGTACATCGAGGAGGCGGAGAGCGAGAATGATGAGGAGGAGGAGGACGAGGACGTGTTCGATCCGCCGGTGGCCCAAGGTGAGTTGTTGATCACGTGGTTTACGCCGAATGGTTTTGGTTGCATATTTTGATTAGTTTGTCTCGTGATTTTTTGACTAGATATCAAGTACCACCATATGAATTTGCTTTCAAATTTCTCAGGAGTAGAAGAGCTATGCAGGATGTAGCCAAGATTGCGACGATTTGAATCAAATCATTCAATTCATTTGTCAGATCGCGATTTAAATCAACTCTCTCTCTTTCCACATACTCGTTCATCCAACGAACAGCGAGGCTCTGGAACACATTGCCAAGGGAGGTGTTTCCCGAGGCATATAACCTGCAAAAATTTAAGAAGAACACCAATTCCAACCTCATTTCCCTTGGTTCTCACGATGTTCTCTGAACATTACAGGATATCCCTTTTCGTGGGAACCAGAACATAAAAACAAAAAAATATACGGAGGGTGTTGAATTTTTTCAACTGCCACATCCTATATTTCATTGCATATCTTGAAAGAGTGTTTTTTCTGATTTCAAAAATATATAATTTTCTTATCATCCATGAAGTAATACAGGGTGAATCGAAAGAATAAAACTGAATTACTTGAAATTTTTGTCATTGAATCATCTAATTCAACTCCAGTTGAGCTTCAACCAGGAAAAGATCTATTTCCAGTTGACCTGACAGCTAACTTGAATTCAAATAAATAATTTTACGACCATTTTTTCAATAAATTTCAAGGTATATCCCTTCGATTCACCCAGTATTATTCCATGGAATGTATGAAAATGATATATTTTTGTAATCAATATAAATCACTTTTTTTAAATAGACAATAAAATATCAGATATAATGTTTGGAGGGCACCATTAGAAAGAGAAAAACATCTGATTCAAGATTTTGTTCTGAATCTTTCAATATTTTCATTATTTTTCGAGATATAGAGTGTTGAAAGCGTAAAATCCATGTCTTTTCTACGAGTGTTTTTGTCCATATTATTTATAAAAAAAAGGTTCTAATGAACAAGATTTTATAATAATGCTACAAAATGACACATAAGACAGAATAGGTACATAGATCATTTAGATCTAAATAATAATAAAACGAGCGGAGAAGTAAAATCGTATGAAAAAATACACCTTTCAGAACGAAAAATCGCGCAGAAAAGTTACTTTTCCGTACGATCGTAGGAAAAATAAGATATTTTAAATTTTTTCAAGCAAAATCTTACTTTTTGCAACTCTAGCCTAGTAACGCAACAAAATGCAATGCAACACTCAACCAGGAGGAGTTGAAGATATGTCGCATTCTAATGTCTGTAAATTCGAATGCTAGATAGTCATCAGTGTGATGACCTCATCATTAATCATATTTACATTTGGAATTGAATGAAAAAGCTCGTCTGTACTGAATGGAACTCGGGGCAGATCAGCAGATCAAGAGATCCCTTACGATGATAGCGCTGCGTCACTGCGCTACATTGTAGCCAGACGTTGAAAAATATCGGATATTGTTCCATAATACACACGTTGCTGTTGTTTATTTTTTAAAATATGTTTCACAGCTATTGTTAAGACCGTCAACAACGAGCACTCCAATCCGAACAGCTATTCTTGGGCGGTACTGAGACTGGCCACTTTGAAGATCGTTCAGCACAAAATCAACGAATTTTTGGCTGTGGCCGGTCTGGAGCTGTCCGAGCTACCTGTGGCCAGTCCTTTGATCCACAGCAGCTTGAGGAAGCTGACTTGCTGGCAGGAGATGGTCCGCAGGTGAGGAACTGTCAAATAATTTTGAATTTATGGGAAGGGTTTTGTTTCCGTTCAAGGTTTAACCAGAATTAACAGAACAAGTCCTCATTTATATTATACTCTATTTATCTGTTAATTTATTATGTATCCATTTATTTATTCAATTAAGTAAAATATACAGATTTTCATCAAATATTAGTTACACATATATATTTCAAATTGTATCTCTTTCACATTGGTTCTTGGCCTGAGTGTGAAAGAGATTAATTATAACATGTATAGTTCTGTATAACATATCGAATAGTATATTACATTTTTGTCATCCCCGTTCTTAGGGACTTGGAGAGCAGACAAACGCCCCCAGAGTATATCCCAGGGTGTTTCGTGGATAGTGCCCAGGGGCACACTGCGAACAAGTACAGACAGCTGTTGGAGCCGCACAATACGCCTTTCAGCGGTAAAAGTTCTGCTGCAGCTGCCAGACATCTTTGGACGTACCTGGTGCACCAGGATATGGTGCGGGAGATATTCATACGGGCAGTGTTCGGTGAGTGACATTCCAGATTTTTCCCCATTTCATGGGTCATCTTAATAGTGAAAATGTGCCATAATGAAAAAAATTCTACTAGGTAAACGAAGGTCTTCGGGAGTTTTAGAAGAAGTCTTACCTCATCCTGAACCTGCGGCAGCCGAGCCAGTGAGGATCATCCACAAGGAGCAGGACTCGATCGCAGCTTTTTGCCTGAACCAGGTCAACGGAGGGTTAATTTCCGTCGCTACACCCAGGTAGAGTGTCTCTGAATTATTGTCCTTTTATTCAATATGACTGTTCTTTTTGCCAAGGTTCAATTTTATTTGTATCGAAGAATTCCAGACCAATTTTGTCATATCGGGATTTTGAAGAAACAGTTAATATACATATACCATTACTCATGAGTGACATCGCTAACATAACCTTCTAACCATAATATAAATTCCTTTACGTCACAACGAGCGAGACGTTGATCCTACATTTTCCCGCTAGATGGTGATGCTGCTATTGCTGCTATTGCTGCTGTGACGAGTGGAAATAAAATTGCAAATGGCATTTTAGGTACGCGGAACATATGTAACAGTGGGATTATTCAACTCTGAATTCGAAAAATCTGCAACAATTTCAAAACGTGACAGATGTCATAATTGTGCAATGTCGCCATCGATCAGAAGATCGAAGGAACCATTGCTCTCGTTTTTCTCGAGAGGTCGAGTAAAATTTCTGAAACAAAAGCGCATCAGTAATTACCTTCATCGTCAAATCCTCTCGATATATTGGGATTTAAACTTTCATTTTCCCGCGTTGTCATTCTGTCAAAAAAAAAATGTTTTTGACGCCAAGTGTGATATGTCAAAATAATAATTTTGCCAGAACGACTCGGAAGATATGTTTCTACCATATACGGTTGTATAAACAAATCATCATAATATAATCAGTCACACAATTGAATGAACAATTATTATAATCTTCAATACTACTAATGATCACACTTGATGATCACGTGATATATGCTGTATTCGGCTTTTTCCTAGTTGTATTATTATTGTTTGTCATAAACTTCCTCTCAGCAGGATTTTATTTCTGACTGGAAGCTATTTTCTCAATAAACAATAACTCGTTGAATAACATTCAAAATAAATATTTGTCGATGGTCGCCGACAGAGAGCTGCAAGAGATGGACATCTCGCTGCTGCTGGAGCTGCCGGCTTGGCTGGAGGACGAGTGCGAGCTGGACATCCTGAACATGTCCAGCCAGGGCTCGGACCCGAGCGTGCCGCCCTTCCTGGTGATCCAGGGCGCCAGCGACAAGGGCAAGGAGACGCAGCCCGGCAGCCCGCAGCCCGGGGTGGCTGGACAGAGCGGCAGGGGGGCCAGTGTGGTGAGTTTCTTCTTCTTCTTTTTTTTTCAATTTTTTTTCATTCCAGTTATTGCATTACATTATTTTCTTCATTGATACATTTTATACAAATAATATACCGGGTGTACCACTAAGAAAAGACGCCGGCTGTATCTCGGAAACTATTTGCCGCACAGGTTTCGGAACAAAATATTCATGATAAAAGTGGCCGAGAAAAATCTCTGGAAACTATTTTTATGTTTCCAGGACAGCCGCTAGAGGGCATAAAAGCATTGGCCAACTTAAAAAACGGGTTATTATGAAAATTTGATATATCATGACATATCAGAAACACTTTTTCCATGTTCTCGAGTAGATTTCCAATCACTTCGATAGAAAAAATTGCGCTAGCTCGTTGAATAAAAGAGGGAGGGAAGGATGAATAGTACTTTGGAAAAACTCTACTACAGTTTGGTGTAACGAAATTGAGCGATCTTGGTCTCATTATGAAGGGTTTTTTCAGATCTTCCCGATAAATCACGAATCAAGTCAATTTAAATCTCGTGGTGGCCGCTGGAAGGCATCGTTTGAAAAATCAGCCGATTTGCCATATTTTTTTCGAGAATTTCAAATGGAACCATATATTTTCCTGCTATGATATGAAAGTAAAGTGAACGAGAAGAAAAATGGTGAAAACCGCGAGTTGATACCTCTTGAAGAACCGGAGAAATACTCGGAATAATATTAAAATTTAAACTGTTAGCATGTCAAATGCCTCCTCATTCGTTATCGGCATTTTGACAAATAAGCAATCCACAGTGAAAACTTTCAATGGAACTTCAATTATATTTTGACGTTTCTTTCATTCAAAGCCAACTTGCCTTTTCTCATTCCTGAGCCTATACTCACTACTTACATTTCAATTAGCTATATCATTATTAAAGTCTCCTTCACTATTGTGAGATATAGCAGCAGTTTGTGAAACCAAAATAAATGAATTATTGAAATCATAATTTCATAGATACAGGATATTACTGATGACGATTATTGAAGTTAGATTCTTGTGGTGAATATTTTCATAATATTATTTCGAGTATTTCACCGGTTCCTCAAGAGGCATCAATTCGCGGTTTCCACCATTTTACTTATTAATTGCTCTACTCTCATATTAGAGTAGAATGAATATATGGTTCCATAGGAAATTTTCGAAAAAAATGGAAAATTGTCTGATTTTTCAAACGATGCCATCTAGCGGCCACCACAGGATTTAAATCGAGTTGATTCGTGATTCATTTGGAAGAACCAAAAAAACCCTTCATAATGAGACCAAGATCGTTGAATTACGTTACACCAAACTGTAGTAATGGGAGTTTTTTCAAAGTACTATTCATCCTTCCCTCCCTCTTTCATTCAAAGAGATACTGCAATTTTTTGATCGAAATGATTGGAAATCAACTCGAGAACATGAAAAAAGTGTTTTTGATATGTCTTGATATATCAAATTTTTATAAAATCCCGTTTATTAAACTGGCCAATCCAATTACGCCCTCTAGGGGCTGTCCTGGAAACTTGAAAATAATTTCCAGAGATTTCTCTTGGCCACTTTTATCATTCATATTTTTTTTCGAAACCTGTGCGGCAAATAGATTCCGAGATACAGCCGGCGTCCTTTCTTATTGGTACACCCGGTACATATAAAGTATAATTAATTTTCTAGTAGGAATGACATGAATGATCAGACAGTAACTCCTGGTATGAGATCATTCATGAAGTATTATCGACTGTTGTATAATTGAATCAGGACATTTTTGTAGCAGTGGGAAAATGCGTGATGATGGAAATTGATTTGATTAAAAGAAAAATGTGAATTCCATATCGAAATGTCCCTGAAAGGTCCGTACGAAATATCAGAACATATGCCGATTTGAAGCAACTTATCCCATTTTGCTTGATTATTTAAGATTTTCTCCTCGTTTCCATAAAATAAAAATGTTAGTTATTTTTGTATCTAGAGCGCGAAATGCTACTTTGGTGATCAAGATCTGATTTTTTTAACGAGGCGTAGCCAAAAATTGAGTTCAAAAATTCCACCCGAACTAACATACATACATCCATACATTGCGAGTTGAATAAAAGCTTTTATCTACTCACTGAATCAAAAGTAGGCGTTTGCTCCCTAATTCAAGGAAACAAAGTTGTCAATTTACTCCCACGGGAGTAAAAAATATTTACTCCCGTGGGACGCTACGCGTCGTGCATCAAACTTCAGACGCCGGAGGGAATAGATACCTTTCCTCCCTTGATATATAAATAGTTATTAATTCAAAATAACCAAACTTTTACAGTGATTTTTGCGTCAATATTGAGTAGCGTTTACTGTGTCTATATAGATGAAGGGGTTGAGCTTCCCGGGCTGTCACGACGCCAATTTTGTCCACCTCGTTCTGCTTCGGTCAGCTCACATGCTTCGACCGGTGTGTTCTCTAACACTGCATCTATCTAAAATAATTTATGTGCTCTGTGTGTTGTGGATGCTTTCTGTTCGTCGTGTTCAGAGAGATATCTTGAAATCATCTACATACAGGGTGGGCAAAATTGGGCGTTTTCACCATCTATCTAAATAACTAGAGGAGTTATCGAAAAACCGATATACATGTTCCGGGTTCGATTTTGGAGAAACTTCGAATGGCACAATCAAAATTTCGATATCTTCATTCGTTTTAGAGATACAGGGGGAAATTGAAAATTTGCCGATTTCGATTTTATTTTCTGACTACTTTACGGTGAGACGTATCAAAAAATTCCAAACGTATATTCATACATTATGATGCGTGGAATCTATTGGCATCATCAGAAATTTTATACAGGGTGACGTTGAGAAGATACGGCACCCAATTATGTTTTTTCTAATGGAACATCCCGTATATTTTGGCACAGTTGAATAGTCCCAGGCGTTCTCATTACAAATATATGTATAACCCTACCTTTTCCTTCCATAATTTCAGATATTTTCGCAAAAATATATTCAGTGTGTCACATTTCTTATGGTTACACCCCCGTATCTTCTGTAAAAATAATTGAGGTAGGATTCAAAAATGCGCAACTGTCAGAAAGATACAAATGATACACTCATGGAGTCATGGACCAAGTGGGATCATCTCCAATGATAACACTGCTCGCCAGCAGCTATGGAATCATCGATATTTCTGGATAATGCTATCAACAGGCAGAATCGAGGTTGAAAATGACACCAAATGTGGAAAATAAATATCATAGGGAATGTTATTTCCAGACAAATGGATATTTGGTGAGAAATAAAATGGGAAATTATTCGATTTGATATCATTATTGTTATCAAGACATTTGAGATACAGAAATAAGACCAATAATTTACTCAATTAGGAAATCAGTAGGTTGCGTTGAAAAATATAGCCTTATAGAAGATGTCCAAATTCCAGATACAGAAGATACGGGGGTGTAACCATAAGAAATGTGACACACTGAATATATTTTTGCGAATATATCTGAAATTGTGGAAGGAAAATGTAGGGTTATATATATATTTGTAATGAGAACGCCTGGGACTATTCAACTGTGCCAAAATATACGGGGTGTTCCATTAGAAAAAACATAATTGGCTGCCGTATCTTCTCAACGTCACCCTGTATAAAATTTCTGATGATGCCAATGGATTCCACGCATCAAACTGTATGAATATACGTTCGAAATTTTTTGATACGTCTCACCGTAAAGTAGTCAGAAAATAAAATCGAAATCGGCAAATTTTCAATTTCCCCCTGTATCTTTAAAACGAATGAAGATATCAGAATTTTGATTGTGCCATTCGAGGTTTCTTCAAAATCGAACCCGGAACATGTATATCGGTTTTTCGATAACTCCTCTAGTTATTGAGATAGACGGTGAAAACGCCCAATTTTGCCCACCCTGTACATGGTATATTTACTTGCTAGACCGATTTCATATTTTGAACGAAAAGTAAATATAGTATAGGCCTAAAACAGATCCTTGTGAAACACCCTTATTAATTAATGGTGTTCCACAAGGATATGTTTTAGGACCTAGCTCTAATGTTTCCGAGGTCCCTATGATAGACATCCTTATCTTGGACGCGGTGTATAATTTCCAGAAAAATTCAATTCACCCTCCGGGTACATTTATACGAGACAACTGAATGTTAATTGTCTTTCAAGGTATCTCGCAATCAACATATAACAATTTCAGCACATAATATCTCGTACACCAACGGACATATTTGAGCTTTGAAATCGAAACATATGATTCCAAAAGAATTTATTATCTGAAATCATCAAATCTGAAGTATATATTCTAGAAGGCGTTATAATTTGAAGTGAATGAAATACATTCGTTACTCTCTATTTTTGAAGATATTAGGTGGCGAAATTGCATTCTATAGCCAACCACCTTATCTAGGACGAGCTCTGAACAGTTTAGATTAAGTTTGTGCCTGTAGAATTATATAGATTCTTAAATGCAATCCATTTCGTTATTGCAGATGACCGTTGTTGCATTGTAATTTGCTATTTGTTGCTAATTTTGCACGATTTCTTAGAATTTGTTAATCATAAATGCTCACACGTAAATTTCGTTTAGTTCTAGATGGAAACTGTCATTTCCTTTTACTTTTAGAGGTAGCATAAAGCAGAAGCCAGATATATCATTTTATAGTGATGGAAAAGCTTTGATGTCAGAATATGATAAATTTTGAAGAATACTTCAGTTCTGAAACAAAACTTTACCATTGACTATGAAAATATTGGCATGATAATGATTGTACCCTAGCTGTATCAATATTTAATCAAGTTATTAATCGATCTCATTTATCGATAGGTGCTGAAACACAAAATCGATGGGATAAGAAGAATAACAGCTCATCCACTACTTCCTTTATGTGAGTACGAAAATATCCCAAAATACCATAATAATATTGAGAAAAAAATGATTGACGACACAGGGGAGTGGTCATGCTGTCGAAAACCGCCTGTTCGATAATAAAACATACATTTTGTGAGCAATGATTGAAAACATCTAACAAACTATACGTCCCCAAAACTTGTAATAACCAATAGCGTCTCTCTCACATCACCACCCAACTCAGCACCAATCACTTCATGGAATCCATCAATAACGTTCGTACCCACACTATATCCACACCCTCAGGCCAACGAAACCAACCGAATTAACATCTGAAAATCTACAATCCAAGTTGGACCTATTTCCATTTTCACGTCATGGATGCCATATATCATCAATCACACACATCTACCGAACTATATGCCCCCAATATATATAGCTTGTAATAACCTATCGAGTCCGCCTCACATCACCACCCCCATCATGAAGTCATCAGACAATATCATCCCATCAGCTAATAAAAACTATATCCCATCACCTCCTCTTTAACTCCGCCCCCTGCTAGACCCCACGTAAACTCCGCCTTGAGCCACGCCCTCTGTCGGTCAAACCCACCCCTATACCTACTACTATCACCTGATGAAATTGATGTCCCCGTCCATGCCCAATCTAGTTCAAGCACCGCCCCACCACCTAATCTAACTCCGCCCCCTGCTAGACTCCACCCCACTTGAATCACGCTCTAGGCCACACCCTTTGTCATTTCAACCTATCTCTTTACCTACTCTGATTCTGAATCAAATGTTCCAGATGTCCCCCGCCTCTAGCTCAGAAATTTTCGGACCCATTTCAAAATTTGGAAATCATTCGAAATGATTTTTTATCAATTTTGTTCCCGCTACATCAGAATATACAGGGTGCTCGGAACAAACGATATACAGGGTACTAGTTGATTTTTTCAAATGAGACATCCTGTATTTCATTCCTAAAGTTGAAAAATCTCGATTTTGAACACCTTATATCTCTGTAATCATTCCCGCTAGACCCCAAGTGCGGTATATTGATGAAATCAGCTTCTCGGGAAGAATTTAAAAATACAGGGTGTTCCATTTGAAGAAATCAAGTAGTACTCTGTAGATCGTTTGTTGTGAGCACCCTGTATCTTCTGATGCATCGGGAAAACAATTTCTGAAAAATCATTTTGAGCTATTTTTTAAATTTTCAAATCGGTTCAAAAATAACTGAGCTAGAGGAGGGGGGGAAGCATTTATGGTGAATCACCCTGCACGTAGGCTGATCTGAATGATTTTTTTGTTTAGATTTGACCGGCGGTCAGGACGGCTCCGTCCACCTGTGGGAGTGGGGCCATCAGCAACCTGTGGCCACGCCCCGCACTCCCGGCACCTACGCCAAGGTCACTCGCGTGCGGTTCTCGCAGCACGGCAACAAGTTCGGGGTGGCCGACTCGGACGGCAACCTGAGCCTGTTCCAAGTGGGGCTCAGCGCCAACGCGACCAGGCCGTTTTTCGTGAGTATTCTATAGGCGATACAAAATAAACGATACGCTCTCTTGCGGATATCCAAGTAACTAATGGAAAGTACCAAGTCCAATATGGATATTCTTCATGTTTAATAAAGATCCACGGCTGAACCTTCTTGAAATTTCAGAAATTCAAGAATGTATCAACAACCCTAATGTCAATTGTCTCAATGACCAAACCAATTTTGAACGTAACCATATTTTTCTAACATTGAAATTGTAATTAGTAGATAGATAGATAGAAAGATAGTTTATTGTGTTAGAAAAAATTACATTTTTATCACAAGGGCTCGGTTTACATGCGAGCATGATTCCACACGAATCATAAGTATAAAGTGAATAATGTAGGTACATTACCTATAACAGAGCTATACAAGTTCCTAAGAATACATAATAGCCACATTTGCAACAATCATTCGTTCATAATGAACAATCGTAATTTCATAATATTCATCAGGGGCTTCACAAGGTCCGCTAAGTATAAGCATTGTGAGTGTTGAGTAGAAGTATTAGACCATCAATATCGCCAATTTCAGACAGAATCGCATTTTGCCTTATCCTTAGTAGATAGGACATTCAAACAGGATATGTTGCTATATGTTACTTGTAAGTTGCATGATGAACATATCTCTTTGATAAAAGGAACCAAGTTCTTATGAGTAATTTCAACTTGTTATATTTTAACTTAGTCCGGTTCTGTTTTTTCCCTCTAATATCTTCATCTTCTGATTTTGATGGTATTCCTACCATGGATTACTTCTTCTCCTTTTATCTGATTTATCAAGTTTCAACCTGTTCACGCGTTCCTCATCTTCTAATCTTGACATTATACAATTAATATTTTGTTTACCTGTAATCATTCTAGCTACAATAATTTCTCGTAGTTCAATATTAGTTAGGTCATACAGTTTAGTACTTTCATTTCGTTTGTATCACTTGTCACGCAATCAATCTGTCATGTATTCTGTCATGTCATCCTATCATGTCATTCTACACTTTCTGATGTTTTACCTATCCTTTCCTTTTGGCTGTTGTCACATGGCCACCAGTGATAATGAAACTCTTGTTGAGTGAATTTTGTTTTAAAATTTTAAATTTCAATTTCTTGCTCTTACCGATGTTGAATTGCATTATTGAATTGTTCTTTTGGCTGTTCAGAGTAGAATGGATATAAAGCTCAACAAAGCGTTTATGCAACGGCGAATTCGAGCGTAATGAGGCACATGCGCAATAACGTTGTGTTAGGACGGACTTACAACATGACTATTTGGAATTTTTCACATTTTTCTATAGCTACATAACATATTTCAAGTGAAAGATAAACTGATACACAGTCACAGTATCATACATTATGGCGCGTTCACATGCTGGCTTTTCGCCTTTTGACTTACAGCGTATCCTCATCTCATTGGCCGATTCGTCAGAAAGCGCTTATCGAGGTCATAAGCTAGAAAGTCGGTTTCAGTCCGACTTTTGCGGAAAAAAGCCCAGATCGTTTGACAGGACCACACAGATATTGACAAAATGGGAAACAGTTCTGGAAAAACACTCCTAAAAATGTGATAAATGTGGTTTCTGGAGGACGTACATCTGAAATTTAACCAAATATGTGGCAGTCACTGTCACTTTTCCAACTTTCTCATGTGAACAGTGCGCCCGTTTTATTCAAGCTTTCTGCTGTAGGCATAAGCTGGCATGTGAACTCGCCATAAGGAGTAGTTTGGCGATTAGGATGTTGTTTGGTTAAGGGTGAGTTGTTGTTTCAGACGCTGCATTGTCACAACAAGGGGATCAGCGATTTCGTGTTCTTGGGGTCTTGCAGTCTTTTGGCTACAGGTAAGTTGACTTTCAATCGATATTTCTCCTCTATAATTGATTGATTGTATTTTTTTCCTAAGAAATATCGTTCATAATGGAGATTTTCAAAAATATACAGCGTGTCTCACTTTGAACGCCCCCCCCCCCTCAGTTATTAGTCGTACGATTCTTACCGAATTTGAACTGAAGATTTATTGAAATAAAAAGAGTCGATTTTGTATGGAATCATATTAGGCATTTTTTTGCAGGAAAACTTACTTCATAGTTTTATTCCTCATGCTTTCGAATGTCTATATGCAAAATTTCGACGAAAGAATTGAACAGCGACACTTATTCATGATATGGGAATATCATAACCGTATTACACCTAATAATGTTGCTTTTCAGCTGGCCACAGCTCGGAGAGCAAGAACGTCTGCATCTGGGACTCGATCCTACCCCACGGCAAGGCCCTCGTGACAGCCTTCACCTGTCACGAGCAGGGCGCCAGCAGCGTCGTCTTCGCCCCGCAACACCAAGTCCTCATTTCGGCCGGCAAAAAGGGCGACGTGTGCCTCATCGACGTCAGATCGAAGTCCGTGAGGCACAAGTTCACTGCTCACGAGGGCGCCGTCAAATGTATAGCGGTCGATCCGCATGAAGATTATTTCGCTACTGGGTCAGCCGATGGCGATATTAAGGTTAGGTTTGTTCCTGGAATTTCTTAAAAGAACATTTTTTGTTCATACCTAACTCTTGAAGGCAACACCCTCCTTTGTAGAGAGGCATTACGAACACCAAAGTTGATACTCTCTCCTCGTAAGGGTACCTGACGTGATTCTATACACTCCAATACATGTATATGACTAATCTGTCGAGTGTTTGATTGAATAAAATTGTTTGTTATTAACTTTATCAGTTTTTTTGATAGTTTAACTGATATAGCAGCGCCAAATGGATTTGTTAAAACTTCACAAACGATAAGATTCACTAAAACACGTCGTGATTCACAAACACATAGTAAGATACTCGTAAACTGAAATTTTTCCTATCCTCGTGGCCTATCTGGGGCGACCCCGTGCTTAGTGTCCTTCTGTCTCTGCAGCAGCTTCTTCAAGAACATCGAGCAAGGCATCACCCAGCACCGTTAAAATAACGACTGTTGACTGTTGCTTTCCTATGGAGCTTGTAAAACCACTGTTCATAGCTAACTCTCAAATGCGACACCCATCTTTGTAGCGAGTTATTACGAACGCCAAAGTTGATACACTCCCCTCGTAAGGGTACCTGAAGTGATTCTATACACTCACATACGTAAATGTCGCCTAATCTTCCAACTGTTAGATAAAATGGAACATTATTTTCATTTTCACTCTACACTGTTTCACCACTAACCTAACCGATTTTTTAAAGGCTTCCACACGTGAATCGATATCTATGTTAGCATGTTCAGGAGAAGATCGCAATCGGTTTGGTTAGTAGTAAAAAATGAGTGTAGTGTGAATATTTTGAATTTTCTTCATTAAGTAGTAGAAATTCTTGATAACGAATTTTGATTCAAAATGACAATAGTGTTTTATTATCTTCGCCAGTTTTTCTGATAATTTTACTGATATAGCAGAGACAAAATAATGAGTTTATGAAAACTACACAGACGATAAGATTCACTAAAACGCTTCGTGATTCACCAAAGCACAGTAAAATACTAGTAAACTGAAACTTTTTCATCCTCGTGGCAGATCTGAGGCGTCGCCGTGCTAATGTCCATCTATCTCTGCAGCAGCTTCTTTAAGAACTTCAGGCAAGGCGTCACCCGGATCTATTTAAACAACCACTGTTGCTTCCCTATAGTGCTTAATCAATTTGGAAAATAACTGGTATAAATCCACTGTTCATACCTGGCTCTCGAAGGCGACACCATCCTTTGTAGAGAGGCATTAAGAACTCCAAAGTTGATACACTCCTCCCGTAAGGGTACCTGACGTGATTCCATACACTCACATACATGGATGTTGGCTAATTTTCCGACTGTTTGACTGAATAAAATACTTAGTTCATCAGTTTTTCTGATAGGTTAATTAATGAAGCAGTGACTATGTTAAAACTTCACAAACGCCAAGATTCCGAAAAAGTAAAATAGTGGTGAACTGAAACTTTTCAGATCTGGGGCGTGACCGTGCCCAACGTGCTTCTGTCACTGCCCGCCGAGCATGCGCGCAGCAGCTTCTTCAAGAACATCGGCCAGGGCGTCACCCAGCTGCACATCGACTCGCACAATCGGCTGTTCTCGTGCGGTGCCGACGGCAGCATGAAAGTGCGACAGCTGCCCGACAGAGAGGCGCTGCTCAACCAATAGGAGTGATCGGAGGGAGGAGCAGGAGTGTCTTGTGGAGGGAGTTGCGTTGAAAGGTATTTACACTGTGAACCGGTCTAGAAACAGTACAGTCTGTATAATATTTCTTTGCGCGTACGTCACAACTTCAAAAAACCTATAATATTGGCTTCTTACATAGGTAGAATGATATTTTTTTGCGACGCTTATGTCCTAACTCGTCGAAAAATATGAACCATTTATGAACTAATTAAGTAGTTGCGGTGCCTGATGAAATGACGAAATCTAGTTATATATTATATAGAAAATGCGAAAAAAATCTAAGATCTTCTTTATTCAACTCTATTTTTCTTTATTTTCACTTAGGTCACTAACTTATGTGAAGGAGATACAATATGAAATATACAGGGTATGTCACGACGAGCATACACTATCTTTATATCGAGAAATAGTCAGGAGAAATCCATGAAAATGTGCAAGCTTATATTTTAGAATACGCTCTCTTCATTACAAATATTTTCGACACCCTGTATTTTATCGTATTCTTAGATTCTCCCTGAAGAGCTAATTTTATCGATATATCACACTTGGGGTCTATCGAAAATGAGTACAGTGATATAGGGTGTTCAAAATCGAGATTTTTCAACTTTAGTATTTTTTTGTGTCGGTCAAAACGGCTCACATGTCCCTCTCTCAATTTTTGATTCACTATTTACTGATATTTAATCGGAACAGATACAGGTAACTGTTGAACCAACGTTGGTTCAACCATTAATATATTTCTTCTTTTTTTTTAGGATGGAGGATCCTGAATAGAAGAATTGAAGACCATGGAAGATATGATATAATACCTTTATGTATTTCAGCTTTACAGTCATTGTATTTTAGGCTCATAATAACATTTATATGTAGGTAGTCAAATTTTTGTATCATATTGATTTGTTAAGCATTTTCAGATGTTTATGATATTTTATTTTTATTGTATTATGATCATTAGAGTAGGTATTTTAGATGATATGCACCCTATTGTTGTTGTTGCTGTTGTTTTTATTTAAGTGTATCAAATATTTGAATAAATATTTCAATATTGTAACCATTTTTCGTTCGTTCACCCCATAGAGAAATCACCCTTACGGACAGTCAACGAAGTTTTCTGGAAAAGTAAGTATCCTTTCAAAGAAACACGTAATATATGCTCTTTACAAGTTCTGAGCCTAAACTATAAAACTTAATCCCTCTGGGTATTTCAAAATTTTCCTATATTCCTAAATTGTTATTCATGGTGTTTTCAGTGTGCTAAACCCAAATACCTACTCTTTTTCGATTCAACTCGCTATTTCGCGTGGTTGGAATAGGTATTTTTAATAGTATCTACCATGAAAATATTTCGTCAAAGCAGGGTGAAACCTAAAAAAATTGCTTTTATCATGCAAAACTACGTCTGAATCGCTATAATACTAATGCCATCTCGTTGTAAAGTTGACAATAATTATGCTCTACATTTTGTTTCTGCAGGAATCTGCTACTCAAATAAAACTCTACTCTACTCATTAGGAAATTTCATTGTCTGCTAAATATGGAGAAAAAAATCTAGTGAACTGGAACTACTGATCTTCCCTATACCTCAGTTGAGTGTATGACCACTAGAGGATGTTACCGTATCGGACGAAATGATCTTCACTTTTTTCTAGAAGATTTTCGAAATTTGTGGTTATGTAAGTTGTCAGAGTGTCAAGAGCTGTCGTGCCATCGTGACTTGTTTCGTATTTTTGTTCCTAAAATATCATTCTTTTTCATTCATCATTGTTCTAATATTCCTTTCGTTTATAGATATAGTTTTGTGTTGTGCTCCCAGTATTATAAAATAGTTTATTCTATTAATAATTTGTAACAAACTCTGTCTCTAATAATCGATACTACTACTACTATATTATATACTACCGCCCCCGCTGAGGGAGGCTCAACTCATTTACGATTTTCAAGGTTATATAGGTTTGACAGGAAAACAATTGAAATTAATAAGTGTTTCCTCGAGTTGACCGTATGGCGGTACTACTGTATCGGCCACAGAACCCTGTAGGTGATTTTCCTTGTTTGAGCAGACCAGATATACTCCAGCTCAAATTTAATAATTCTTCAATAATATATATCGGACGAGTTTTGTGATTATGGTCCGATTCTATTCAAAATTGGTATCTGGAGGTTTTCGGGGTCGGAGATTATGATTCTTTCGTCAGAATTTGAAAAATCGGGCGGAATTTGGAAATTCAAGATGGCGAAACCAATATGGCGGACGAGTTTTGTAATTATAATCCGATTCTTTTCAAAATTGGTACCTAGGGGTTTTCGTGATCGGGGAATATGATGATTCCTTCGTCAAAATTTTAATAAATTGCAAGATGGCGAATTTTGTAATTAGGATCCTATTTTATTCAAAATTGGTGTCTGGGTGGTTCTCGGGGTCGGAGATTATGATTCTGTCGTCAAAATTAGGAAATTCAAGATGGCGGACGATCGAGTATTGTAATTATTATGATCCGACTCTCTTCAGAATTGTTATCTGGGTGTTTTCGGGGTCGGAGATTATAATTCTTTTGTCAAAATTTGGAAAGGGCGGAATTTGGAATTTCAAGACGGTGGAACCAATATACCCGAGGAGTTTTGTAATAATATATCTATACCGATTCTATTCAAAATTTGTAAGTGGGCGTTTATTTCGGGATCAAAAATTATGATATTCCTTCGTCGAAATTAGGGAATTCAAGATGGTAGGTATATCCAAAAAATTATCGCGGACGAGTTTTGTAAATATATATATATATGTTCCGATTAGATTCAAAATGTTCATCTGGGGTTTTAGGAGTCGGATATTTATTTATATATAGCAAAACAACGTTTGCGAGGTCTGCTAGTAATATAGATAGATAGGAAATATTATAACGTTCCTGCAACAGGGAGTGTTCAGTGTATAATCTGCTCTGCTGCAACACATGTTCTCCTGTTCAAGAATTTGTTGTATGCACTAGTTGATGACCACCTTTTCAAAATCAAAAGCAAATGGGGGGAATAATAATCCTGAGTTCATTCTCTTTTGAATCAAACCAGGTCGGTCCCACCACTTTTAATAACCTTGAAATAAAATTTAAACGGCTCCATCTATTGATGGTTATTAGAACAGCACGAGTCAACTGGCAATGTTTTTCGAATTAGTTTCGAGAAACTGCTTAAAATGAACATATTTTTGTGTGAAAACCAGATTCTTATTGCCTACTATACATTTCTGACAAGTAAAATAGGATGGCTGTTATAAAATGCAGGAATAATAATTAAATAATAAATTCTGAAAAGAACACAATCATGATAGCTTAGCAGAGAGCAGGGAGCAGCTCGTAATACAACTACGTCCTTACTACGTCAATATTGATATTACCACCATAGATTACCACCTTCAAACCAACGATATATGATATATAAAAGAAAATGCACGCTTTTGAATCCCCACTTTATTTGAGGCGCCTCATTTTAGTAAAGTGTGTGTCGTTGGTTGTCTCCAATCTAGCAGCTAGAATATGGCTCCTGTAAAAAATGGCAAGGACAATCTGAGTGCCGTTTTGTACGGCAAGGATGACATGAAACTAGTAAGTGATAGCACAATTAATTTTTCGTAAATCATAAATTTTTATATAAAGCTACACACCTACATATGGGTTTTATGACTTATGACACGAATACTATATACTTTACATACCACGTGTCTTCTAATTTGTTTCGTAACTCGGAGAATATCACATTGGAAACAATGAAAACATTTTGTTTGAATGTTAAAAAATCGTTTTTGAGAATTCTTCAGGAGTTACACAGGGTGAATCAAAAATGTATACCGAGATTTCTGAAAGTGATAGTATTTTCAAAAATCAATTCCTTCATGATAAGATACATTTTTCTGATACACTCTTTTACATTTCTAGTATTTTTATAAAGGGTGTTTTTAGGGTCGGTCGTGTTTTTTCGAAATCAACTTTTTCTCTTGTATTTTTTTTTGTAAAAAAAAACAGGAGCATGTGATGAAGTAAAGGAAATTATACATAAAAAACGTACTCAAATTACGATAATATAACCGTTTCATGATATCTGCAGATAAATTCTTCAGTAACAATATTATTTGGAGGCTTCGAACTTCTTGGCGGTACACCATCTCTATTTTCCGTTCTGAAACATTGTTTTTCACGCATAATTTGCGAAAATCCTCAAAATTGTTCAAGAATTTGAAACGGGTCCAGCGGAAAACATCTCTGCATAAAATATCCTGCCATATTTCTTGAAATCCCAGTTGACAATCGTAGTAATAATATTACTAACCAAAAAAACATACCATAAAATTAACAATAACACTATTGATGTCATAAAACGTCTAATTTTAAGAAGAAAATTGGTTATGACCTTCTAATCGTGTTACCGATGAGTTAATCTGCTAGTATCATGTGACTCGAAAACGGTTCAATTTTTCGTATTTTTATAAGAGTATATACCTTTTTTATGTAATTTTCTTCGCTTTATCAAATGTTCTCATTTTTTCATGAAAAGGATACAAGAAAAAAAGGTCTCCAAGAAATCATGACCCACCCTCAGAAAACACCCTTTATAACGATATCATTTAATGTAGAAGGGGTTCAGAAAAATTTAATTTTTCTGTGACGGGAAAAAAGTTTGAAATTTTATCAAGTTCAAGTTCAAGTTCATTTCGTCATTTTTGATACAAATTGTATATGTGACACGTCGAAAACAAAAAAACAAATATACCTACAAACAATGAACTCATATAAAGTATCTCGATCTGTTGACGGGCTATGAAATGTCGCTTTTCATAAATTACTTTTTTCCCACGGGAAAAAAGTGAGCCGCGGCATTAAATCTTGTGCTTTTCTGCCTAGTTAAAACAAATAACTGTACCACGGAACCTTCGGCTGTAGTCTCGGGATATAATCTTGGTCCCTGGGTGATAATGATGTTCTTTACTACCTTATTGGTGTATAAATAACCCTTTCACCTCTCAAAGTGCGATGTGTCCCACATATAATGAAACATCCTGTATAATATACGTATTGAAAAATTTGGTTCTTAATTCATCTGACCACTATAATAATGCGCTCTTTCCTATAGGTCCTGAGGGCATATTTGAATATTTCCTCCAAAAATTTTTTTTCATACTATATTTCAAAAGAGAAAAATTTGTATCACATTATTATTATTATTATATCATTTTATTGGTTTTCATTATCAAGGATAAGGTCATATATTACGTTGTTTACAAGGTCGTTTTATCTCAGTGAGAGAAGTCAAGTATATAGCGATAGCTAACAGCACTTCGAACGGAGTTTTTTGCATAGAAAATGATATGATAAATATCAGAAATTATCATTCAATGCAAAATATTATGAAAGGCACCATTCCAAACAAACTATGAATATTTGAATATCAATAGATCGAAATGTTCACTATAAATGCAAATATAACAATCGATTGTATACTGTATATGAATAGTTGTTGGATACCGTAAAAATAGGTAGGATTATTCAAAAGAACAAAAAATATATCAAGATATTGATATAAACATCATACATTATACTCCAGTGACAAATATAATCCACATCTAATCCTTTTTACTATATATTATATTCTTTATCTGTTAATTGGTACATATATAGGCATAGGTAGATAATGTAGGTATCTCGTCTATATATCAAAAAGAAATTGTTTGTATTTCATCAACTGGATTACAATATATAATAAAATCGTATTTTGATCAGTGAATGTGGATTTAAAATGATAAAAATGCTCAAAAAATATTAAAAAACAAGATTCGATTATGATTTACTGATGTGAGAACGAAACATCGACCTTGAAATCTGACATTTTGAGAAAGCTTATTATGCATCATGAAGAGCTTCTGTTGTTTTTTGAAAATATTTGGAAACATTATTTTGAACATTTAATTTATGTGAATTTGTAGCTAGACCCCTTTTTTGTTATAGGAACAAAGACCTATTCCTGTTCCACGGGACAATCGTAAGTGAAACAGTAATTTCCCATATTGAAAATTATTTGTAAGTAATGACATCAATATCACTTATTTTTTATTATATGAGCTGAAATAAATTCAATTGAATTGAAAATGAACTCGTGTCTATTTAACTTTCTTCGAATGCGTATACAATAAATTACAATTTAAATTACTTATTTACCGCAATATGATAACGGAATGCTGAAAAAGCAATTGATTTCAAGGATACTCATGATTTATACCAACCAATCAAGTGTAATCATGAATTTCATGGAAATACTTGGGTGTTAAAAATATAAGCTATAAGATTTAAAAAAAAATGCATGATGATTTACGATTTTTTCAAATTTCAATACGTTTCGACCTTCCCAGAGGTCCTTCTTCAGATGGAAGTCGTTGGAATCTGCGGCTCTGATGTCAGTTACTTGGCCAAAGGCGTATGTGGTCCATTCGTCGTCAAAGACCCTATGGTTATCGGTATGTACCTAAAATTTTCATTTCTGGAATGTTATATACAATATCCATCATTTTTTTTAGGCCACGAAGCTTCAGGAACTGTCGTTGAATGCGGCAAAAACGTTAAGAATCTCCAAGTTGGTGAGTTATTTGTTGAGAATAAGTAGAAAGGAATATTTAAAATTTCCTATACTGGGTGGTCATAAACTTATACAGGGTGATTCACGGTGAATGGCGTATTAGAAGTATCTGGAGAATGAGAAGACAGATCATTTATTATTGCGACAATTTGTTTTCCGGCAGACTTGATTTTTATTACAGCGCTGTCATGAGGTTTATTTGAAACTGCCAATTTTGGAGTCCCACAGCTATCAACTTGATGAAGATAAAAAAAAGTTTTTGAAATGAAAGATGTTAAAAATGAATGTTTTTTCAGAATATGAGAAAAAAATGGTGACTTTGTGGAAAAAATAACTTTTTTGACGTCATTTCCGCCATTTTGGAGTTGAAATATGTTGAAATACGAAAAAATATACCTTGCACACAGCTATTCAAATTCCCTCTGCCAAATTCGCATTTGCAGCTTTACTTTTCTTGTTATGATCGAAGGGTGGGAAGTTTGAATCTCCCTGTACAATTCACATTTTTCAGCACAACGCGTATACGACAGAAAAAAATTGATATCTGGTGATTTTCATTCTGATTTTAGAATTCTGTCTGTAGAATAACTTTTTTTACTAAAATGAATAATGAAAAAGTAGTTTTCCATATTATATGGTTCTTAGTGAAATATACTGTACATATATGGTATAACCTTGTATTATGAATTTTCTTTCTAGAGCCGGAATTAATCTGTATGTTGATCGAAATAATATTTTAGGTGATAGAGTGGCAATTGAACCAGGTGTACCATGTCGTATCTGCCAGCTTTGCAAATCTGGATCTTACCATCTGTGCCAGGACCTCTTTTTCTGTGCCACCCCTCCAGATGATGGCAACCTCTCCAGATACTACTGTCATGATGCCGATTTTTGTTGGAAGTAATAAAACATTCTAAAATTCTCATTTTTTGTATTTCGGAATTTTTTTCGATACTCTTTTCAAATACCACTCGTTTTTCGTTTTCAAGGTTACCCGATAACATGGATATGGAGGAAGGAGCCATAATGGAGCCCCTCTCAGTCGGAGTCCACGCCTGCAAAAGGGCCAACATCAAAATCGGTGACGTATGTTTGATCACTGGTGCGGGGCCGATAGGTCTCGTGACCCTATTGGCTGCCAAAGCCATGGGAGCCTCCAAAATTGTCATCACAGGTGAACTATAAAATTGTATATACAGGGTGAATCTAAGTGAGGTGTTTCATTTAACAGGGTATATATCTCTCCAAAATTAGTTTCTTGGTCAAAAATTGTGTATGTTTATGCCTCCGTTGTAGAGGCATTTCTAGGTTTTGTATATTAAAAATCTAATTTTATCAATATAACATTCATTAGAGAATATATATGATGAAAAAATCAATTTAGAACGAAAATTAATAGGTTGAAAATGTTGAAAGAGGTATTTGATTGATTTATCTGATGAAATAATGCAACTGATGTAGGGCATCTGATGCTGGACTAATAACGGCTTTTTTATCTTTTTTTGTGAAAATGTAAACAAAATGTTTCATAGTTGGAGTCTTCTTTAAAACCTTTTGATACCTGTACCTCCGTAACCTCACTTTCAGATTCACCCTGTATACAGGGTGAGACAAAAATGTGTAACGAGCTTCCTGTAGGTGACATTGAAAAAATAAGTATACTTTGATAAATAAACTATAATATCCTAAAATGTTTATTGAAGGAGATATTTCCTTCAAAACTTGATATAATTGAATGAAATGTATGAATGTATGTATGTTGATAAAATACTTTTTTCTGATACACTTCTACAATTCTGATATATCTCGTATTCTTTTTGGTGAAAAAATAGAAGAATTTGATAGAGCGAAAAAAATTACATGAAAACGGTATAGGTACTCTTATCAAAATACAAAAATTTGTAACCGTTTTCGAGATATTTGAGTTTTTATAGTCACATGACAGCAGCAGATTAATTAATCTGCAACAATATTTTAGGAGGCCAAGATCAATTTTGTTCTAAATTTTGACGTTTATATCAGAAAAATGTATTTTATCAACATACATTAATGCAGGAAAATTAAATCTCGTGGCTTTTTCCGTTTAGAAGTTATGCGGGAAAATTATTTCAATTTTATTAACTTTGGAGAGTTATATCATCTCCCTTCATCAAACTAAACTTATTTTTCAATAGTCCAGAAAGCTCGGTTCAAATATTCACTCACCCAGTATAATAAGTTCTTATTTGAAATTCGATGAATATCTCTGCCTTCAGTGTGCATTATTATCTTTTGTATCTGTTTTTTTTTCAGATATTCTCGATGTTAAATTGAAAATGGCTAAACAGTTGGGAGCAGATTACACCATCAAAATTGATGGTAGCTTGACAGAAGACCAGATTGTCAGCAAAGTTATTGAGCTTCTTGGGCAAGAACCAAATGCCTCTATGGACTGTACAGGAGTTGAAGCTTGTGTCAGGATATGTGTCAAGGTACATCGAATTAATCTACCTTTTTTAGTACCATCAGGGTAAAATGAATCTGTCGGGTGTTTCAGTACAAAAGATGGTGTAATCACAGACAGTGTTTTGTTTCTCCCAAAACGCTTGACCGCGGATTTCGCAATAATGGCATATTAGTTCTCAGTTGTCCGCAAGATGGCAACACTTTTTACAGATTTCTTTCAGGACAGAAAACGACGCTTACACACCGCTTGCACCAGAAATAATAATATATCATCACACTCATAACATAACCTCAAATCAAATAATTTTGGTTGAGATTTCGCCATCTAAAAGGTAAAATGCGACCTATATTCCGCGATATTGAAAAGAATCCTTCTGTCAAGTAGGTAATACTTTTCGAAAAAACTATAAAAAACGCATTATTTTGATTCACTTACCCCGTTTGATGGTATATTCTCCACTACTAGAAAGATATATATATTTTCACTTGTTTTTTTTTCAGTCTACTGGCTTAGCAGGAGTTGTGGTACTGGTGGGTTTGGGAAAACTTGAGATGACTCTGCCCTTAGCCAATGCTTTGATCAAAGAAGTGGACGTCAGAGGAGTTTTCAGATATTGCAATGAGTATGATCATATAATTGAACTCCTTTTACACCTTAACCTTCGCGAACTAATTGATATTTATCCACGACTGTTGTATAAAATATTCATAATACATGTACTTCCTCAAGCAAAACGGTAGCTATTTTTCACACCAGTGAATAATAGCAGTGAATAACCATAATTCACTGGTCTAGAGTTCCTAGGGTACGCGATATAACATATAAGAAACTTTAGACCAGTGAATAATGGTTATTCACCGCTATTATTCACTAGTGTGAAAAATGGCTATCGTTTTGCTTGAGGAAGTACAACAGTCATGAACAAATAATAATTAATATAACAGGTATCTTCAATTTTAAGTTTTCTTAATGTCAAATGAGTTATGATAAAACAGTTGTTAAAAATAAATTTATATATCAAAGACAATAGTAGGTAGTCATAAATAAAGTATAGTATTCTACTCGCATATAATGATAGCCATTATTCACTCAGGTAAATCATGTCACTCGCTTCGCACGTGACATAAAGTTAACCTTCTTGAATAATAGCCCTCAATATCTGCTTGTTGAATAATATATACTATAGACTGTATCATATCCATTAGCTGACTATGTGTACTTATTTCAAAAACACCCTGTGTAGTTACGTACAAGACTTTTTCCAATTTTATGGATGGAACAAATTTCGCTTTTCATTAATGGAAAATGGCTGATTCGTTCAGATTTCCCAAGTGATATCGAGAAAGCAGCTCAAAATGCATTATTCTCTTCGTCCATCCATATCTTTATATTGTAACTGCTGTGGAAATGAATATTTCATCACAAGTTATGTAATATTTTACTCTAGGCAACTGGTTACGTAAAGTGAGACGATTAAAAACTTCCGTCAGTTATGAAAAGTATGAAATTACATGTCAGAATTAGAAAAAAAATATTGTTCAAGACGTTAATTACCTATTTCAGAAACTTATCTTTTTTTTCAGTTATCCTACGGCAATAGAGATGGTACGAAGTGGACGAATCAATGTGAAACCTTTGGTGACACACAGATATCGTATTGAGGACACTCTAAAAGCTTTCCATACGGCTAGAACACAAGAAGGGGACCCAATCAAAGTTTTGATCTACTGCAATCCCAACTGGAAACCATCATAGGCTTTACGAGTAACAAGAATTATTTTTTCGTTGAAATTTTTACAGAGTTTATGCATTTAGATCTATGTTTTATGTCTATTTGAGTAAAATATGGAGATATTTGAATCTAATACTCTTGTTTTATTTAAAAAAATGCAGTCTGAAGTGAAATCTTCTTGAAATAAATAATATTTATTTAGGTATCAAGTACGTAAAGTAGGCTTTTACGAATCGCCGCGATCGCTCGGGCTATTAAAACGCATAGGTCCATAAAAAATACATGCAACATTTCAAGCGCGACCGTTTGAGACATTTACTCTCTGTGAAAATGGAATGTATTAATGATTTTGAATTAATTTACGTAAATGGAATACACATGTCATTCGCGAAGAAAGATCGAATGGAAGTCTACTAGAGATTACAGAAAAAAACAGTGAAATTACTTCACCGCCCGATCACCTACTCCTTACTCCTTTATTGCCCTAGGACGCTAAAGTGCTATTTTACGCCGCGAATCCGGGCGATAAAGTGCCACTTCACGCCCAGTAGTGCCCAAAGATATTTTGAATCGATTTTACAATGTGAACTATTGGAAATGTGGGGTATTATTATTGTAGATAGGCATTTTTGCAGAATTTCGTAAAATTTTCTTATCAATCTTTTCTCAGATACAGAAACAAGAAAAATTTCGCTGGATATTTTTGTTGTAGGCTAAGGATATTTCTCCCTTCCCCGAGGCATAAAACCTCCAGAAATTTAAGAAGAACACCAATTCCTACCTAAATTTCCTTTGGATCTCACGATGTTCTCTGAGCATTACAGGATATCCCTTTTCGTGGGAACCAGAACATAAAAAAAAGTAGTTTAGCCTTGGCTGAATATTTGTACTGTTCACATCAATTTCACTTGTGTATACCGTTGTGTCTAAGAACAAATAAGTGAACGTTTTTGAAACAACTATATAGGAATAGATTATTGGACAATAAAGCCCTCAGAAAAAATTAACCACAAACACGTCTGTCTTTTGGCCATCAGTACGGTGAAAACACGAAACAATGCTTGCATGTAATTTCTTCAAATCGATAGATGTTGTTCAATTACCAATACCCAATAAATGGATTTACACGATTTAGTACATTTCCAGTGATTACGCACCAATATGGTCAGTGCAAATTGGAATTTCCCCAGCGAGCACAAAAACATCTCAGAGATGTTAAAAGTACGAGATTTCGAGACATTGAACCTCCACTGCGATGTTCTGTTGAATAGAACTATTATAGATTATCGAGATGTCCCTGATATGTCACAAAACTACCTTCTCCCTAGTTCTTTTTAAAGCCTTTTCATGGACACAACAAAACATTTTCAACGCGTCTTGCGCACATTAAATCGCTGTAAAAAAACCATTTTCGAGGTACTTTTCTGAAGCCTTTTGTCAAAATGAACTTTTGCATTAGGATTCCATTTCCCTTGAATGAAAAAATGCATTAAAAATAGATTGAACATAAAAATATTTTCTTGATATGAAATTACCTTCTTAATCAGCTTCTGAGTAATGCTTACTACACACAGACATATAATTGGAAATAGGTTTCGCAATTTTTGAAATGTTTTCCACAATGCATAATTTTGCAACTGCGGAGAAGCTGTGTATTGATAAATTCGTACTTTTATAAATTGATTACACTGAGGCACCGAACAACACATCTTGCATTTGATGGTCATTATTACAAACTAAATAAGTCTTCTAATACAATTAACTTCACCAAATTCCTTTCTGTTCGTTAGCAGCGTGATGTAAGCGTGACACGCTGCAAACGCGAATGCCAATTGCAAACAAGAAGAACAAAATCGAAAACAAATCAGAATTCATCGTATTGTGTTGTGACGTAAGCATGAGACGTTGTGGTGGGGCAAACAAAGAAAGGGCACAAAAGAACAAAAACAATACTTTCAATATCCTTCTAAGACCTTTGGAAGTGCATATTACGCCTCAAAAAAACATCCTCATGCCTACATTTTCAAAAGATCCCAAAACATCCCAGGGAAGTTTGTGCTCGCTGGGTCATCTGATTCAATTTTCGATAATTAACAATTGGATAATTGGGACCTTGCATTATGTAAGAATAATTGTCGGTGATTGGTGAATCGAATAGCCAATTCAAGCTACAGTAGTATGAACATAAAACTAATATTTGAACGAGGCTGCAAATATGATCATGACAAATACCAAAGCAATCGATAACGAAACGCATACCAATTTGAAATCATTAACAATGGTCACAGGAAGATTATTTTATCATTCCATTCAGCATAAATTTACTCTCGAGACAAAACTTGTACAAATATTTCTGAAGCTACACTATTTACTCAACCATTCATAATGAGAAATGATAAACATCATTCTTCTTCTCGATAGAGATAGTATTTTCAACTGTAACTAAAATAATAGTTTAGTTACCGACCTGACCTGGGTACCATTCAACTTTAGGAGTGAATAGAAGCAACCGAGATGCTTCGAAAAATGTGCTGATATACAGGGCATTCCATTAAGAAAATTGATCCCGACCCTCTAACACGAAACAACAAATCGACGGGTAACTGTTTCTGAGGGATACGGCCAATAATGTCTTCCTAGTTTGCTTAAAACAGTTCGCTCAATATTCCTTCCATCTCAGTTAAAAAAAAAACTACAGACGAGTTATTGAAGTCGGAGCAATATATATCCCTTTCGCCTTGTTGGTTACCCGCCTCTGGTATCGATATCGCCTACAGCTTTCCGATCACGGCTGGAATAGATTCGGAATCGATTGGTCAGGGTCGCAGAAAGTGCCAGGAGAAAACCGTTCATCGCCGATATTTCCTATAATTCGACGTATTTGGCCCCAAAATTCAGCCCCTGATATTCCCCATTGCTGTTCGGATACCTGTGGATCTGCTTGATACATTGACGTGCGCTGCAAACCGATTGCGGTCTCAGATACGCGACTGGCCTATTTGGCATCCATTCCAAGATGGCTGCCAAACTACATATTAAAAACAGCCATATCTCGGCCATTTTTCAACCGATTTTGAAAGTTTTTTTTTCGTTTGTAGACCTTTATGAGCGCTATCTTTTAGGTGGTCACACATTTCACGCTAAATACAAAAACTTTTAAATTATGGTGAAAACAAACGATCTTTGAACGAAAAACTAATCATTTGGTCTATTGTCATGGAAAGTAACTAGTAGTAGCTCAAAATCACTACCAGCGGGTTCTACAAGTTAAATTGAAAAGAACAGATAAGAATTAAATTGTTCATCAGTGAATAAGAGATTCGACGGTGATTCGCTACTCACTGTCAGTGTCAGTTTCATCGTCGTTTTCATCCAACGGTTCACAGGCCTCATTGGGAACATTGTCACAGTTTGTTCATTTCCAGAACAATTGCACAATCTCTGTACATGAAAGTCCATTCTTCAATAGAAGTCCTGGTGGTCCACATTCAACAAATTCACCGTTCTCTAACTTCCAACATTATGATGGACTTGGTAGGTCAGGTGTTGCAACATCTGATCTACTCCAAATCATATCCTGCAAATGTGCTCTTCGGACTGCAGGACGAAATGAAGCTAAAGTTGGGGGCAGACTAGCACCTTCAACTTGCTTTTATGCTTTGGTTCCCTCAAGTAGACAGAACCTTAGCAAGGGGGTCAGGTATTTTTAAACAAGTAGGTATGTCGAAAGAAACAATGAGATGGTAGAAACACATGTGTCGTTAGTCTCGAGTCTGATATATTTTGACCAGCGAAGGTAATTCAATGTAATAAACAAGATTTTTCCAAGGAGGAACAATTTTATCTGTAGGTATAGGTATAGGTATATAATAATGTAATAGCTAGGTAATACCGAATGATTGCCTATAGAATCACTCTGAAATGTCAGATTTTGATATGTAAAAAAATAATCACTTATAAATCACGAGAGCTTCAATTTTTTCCGGAAATTTTTTCGAGAATACGAATATTTTGAAAATTCGAAGTCGAAGACGAGGGAGAATTTTCTAAATATTCGTGTTCGAGAAAAAATTTCCGGATATTAATTGAAGCTAAAGTGGTATTCGGTAAGAAAATTTCACACCAAACATATTCGATCAATTTATATGGTAAACTGTTGATAAATGAACTTTATTTATTGACTTATAGAATGAACTCGAAATAATCTGAAGTTGAATGTAAATGTCATTTAACCTATGAAGGTCCAAAAATTTCCAGTGTATAATTTCATGTTCCCTCCCCCAAGAAGAGGGAAAACATTTCCAAGAAATTTGTTTAGTTGCTATGGTAACGATACGAAATACAGGCTTTACATCTGTTCTGATCGCAAAAATGTGGAATGTGTGAAACTGCGTTTCTGTGATCTTTTCACATTCATGTTCGCCTGGTATTAGGCGGGCCAGACAGAGTCTTTACATTCCTTTTCCCGCATTCTCGTCATTCTTGTGCACGGAATGGAATGGCATGGAATGGCAATGGACCAGCAGCATCCAGAAAGAGAGGGAGACTGAGACAAACTCAGTCCTCACAGGGTGCTTTCCACTTCACCCCCCATCAGAATAATGCATTGGTATAAGTACGAAGACTAAATTTTCATTTTAAGACATCTTTCTCCACATATTTTACTACCTAGTTGCAATAGTTAATTACTATAGATACCTGATTTACAAATGCAATTGTGATTTAGACTGAATCGTAGACCAATTTACATCAGTTGTTGTAGTGAGTTACGAACTCTTTATAACCTAATTTACAGTTGAAAATGTAAATTGAGAAAATATGTACAGAAAAAATATGTTCCACGATTCCTCAACACTAAAATGAGTACTGCGTCTTTCGGTCATCTGTAATCGCGTGCCGAAAAGCGCCACTTCCGCACTTGTTAGGTAAACTACTATTTTAGACTTTTGAAATTTAAAAAAATAAGATGGCAGCGGTGGGATTCGAACCCACGCCTCCGAAGAGACTGGTGCCTTAAACCAGCGCCTTAGACCGCTCGGCCACGCTACCCATATCGGTGATTTCAGATTCACCTGTATCTACAGTAAGATGTTTTTCAATCCTTCAAAATTTGAACTTTGTAACAGTGGCGTAACGTTATATGCAAATAAAATAAAATATGTGTGAGGTACTTCACAGACACTAATATACAGAGAAGTGCACAAAAAACGGCCAGTGCTGTTTGTTCTTAATCATTCTGGATCGGATTTTGAAAATTGGTGGTTGGTGGGTAGCAAGAATATACCAAATTGTTCATTAATTATTGACAAACCAATTTTTGTTTTTTTTGATCAATCACTTTTGATTTTTCAAAGGTGAGTTGCAAAATTTTGCAGTTACTTTCATACATTGATCTCAAATGTTATTATGGTACCACTCACCACTCTATACTTTATATAGGTACCTATACCTATACTTCTAGCTGATGATATCATTATACGGTTGTGCTCGTACCTTTTGCAGGTATCAACTTTTGAAAATATTCATTTTGAAGAGGTTATGAAATGGACAATTATTAAATTAATCATAGTATTATCGTTCGGTTTTTTGCTAATGATTATTTATACACCAGACTGATCAGTCTTGGTCTGGCGAAGCCCTAGTTATTGATAAATACCTACTAGATTCGAGTGCCATTCCTGCGAATCTCGGATAAGAATAGTTCATTCGAGTTACTTACAACAATTGGTGACTACACCTTTTTCAATTGTAATTCAGAAAGTATAAGATGTAATTCATAAAGTATAAGTTGTGATTCAGGATAGTTAATTGTAATTCAGAAAGTATAACTTGGAATTCAGATTAGTTAATTGTAATTCAGAACGCGTTATATGTAATTCAGATTAGTGAAATGTTATTCAGAAAGTGTAACTTGTAATTCAGAATAGTGAAATGTAATTCCGAAACCGTCAATTGTAATTCAGAAAGTATCACTTGTGATTCAGAATCTAGGAACAACCGGTATGCATCCATTCTCCTCGAGGTCCGGGTGTTGGAGAACAACGACTTGTTCATCTATATAGAACAGAATATTGACCAGGCCAAAGATACAATTGTTGGAGGTTATTGTGCTATTGCTGCACAACACACCACCATTCGCCATGCTGCAACTCTGGCATTTCAATATATGCCCGTTGGTCGATAAATATAAAATATTGATGTTCACCACACAATGAACCATTCGTTGATTTCTATTCCCTACCCTTATTTAAGTCCATAGTATTTATGAATTACAAGCGATACTTTCTGAATTACAAATTTCACTATATGAATTACAATTGACTATTCTGAATTACAAGTTACACTTTCTGAATTACATTTAACTAATCTGAATTACATGTTATGTATTCTGAATTACAATTGACTAATCTGAATTACAATTGACGGCTTTCTGAATTACAATTAATTATTCTGAATTACAAATTACACTTTCTGACTTACATTTTACTAATCTGAATTACAAGTTACACTTTCTGAATGACAATTGAAAAAGGTGTAGTAGTCCATATAAAATGACGAAAACTACCATGGTAACGTGAAAACAAACTTTACGCCTCGAGAAGGAGTCAATATAATGGTAGGTTGCATAGCTAGTGTTGGAAAAAATAAATTCAATATCAAAGCGTCTTTTTTATGTTCTGGTTCCCACGAAAAGGGATATCCTGTAATGTTCAGAGAACATCGTATGAGAACCAAGGGAAATAAGGTAGGAATTGGTGTTCTTCTTGAATTTCTGAAGGTTATATCAAATGATTGACAATTATATTTCACACCATGAAATCTTGAAAACAAAAAACCTTCCTACGCGGTGATGACTAAGGATTCGCGCTTGTTTGATAGCAAATCCAGTAGGCGGTCTAAAAATGCTCCACCGTCGAAAAAATGGGACGTATAAGAGAGAGGTAACTAACAAAATTCCTTAGTTTCACTTGGGATACTTGTACTGATCCCAGCAAAACCATTCTTTGACAGAGCGATTATTAAGTAGTGCCATACTAGTGACAGTTTTTCAATTCTTCAAAAAAATCATGCCAGGACCATCAAGACCCCTTTGGCAAGTAAGGCATCTGTTTTGTTTTTGTAATGATCATGAATCATACAGTTTCAAAGAAGAATGAAATGATAATTCAAATTTGATTAGAAGAAATGTCAATACTAATATCATATATTATCTTTCCACTTGATGCATAGATGAAAATAATAATCATCCCATCTTGTTCTGGCTCATTACTGAAAACGTCTTATACCCACATAACTTCATTTTTTCATTGACTCAATTTGAAAGATTTACGAGTAAAACAGACATCACTTCAATATTCATAGATTTATTAACAATTGAAAATGAAATTCAATATCTATATACATACCTACTTATCTAATTTTTGTTCATTATTGTAAAATGAGATGGTTGATGAAGAGTGAATAATGAAACGTGGAACGCATGATTCATCTCTGTTCTAAATTTAATTTTTCTCTAATGTGTTTACTTGTTCCATTTCGGAGACTTTGGAAATTGTGTCAGGATCTGCTAATTTTAAATATGTGCTGCATATTCAATATTCAATGCAGCATTTAATATACAAGGTGTTTTTGAAATAAGTGCACATATTCAGCACATTAATATGGTACAGTTTAAGAAATATTCCCATGATATCAGATTTTTTCTAATTCTTCATCCCAAAAATAATAATTAACTTTAAAACAATTAAAATGATTGACTCCTCGTGGTTGTGCCTACCGCATGGAAATTTGAACATAGGTGACGTCAGATTTGCTACAGTGTAGAACTTCGGGTGGAAAAAGGGGTCTAACCTCAAATTTTATTTTGATCCCTAATTTTTTTTATCAGTGCCATTCCATAGTACACGTCGAGCTTTCTCAGTGTTTGAAATATTTGCACTTATTTCAATGCCACCCTGTATATTATAAAGCATTTTCAGCATAACAAATGAGATATCTTTCATTCATCTACAGGGTGACTATATAAGTTGATGCCTTGTCAATTCATCCATACCTATACAGGATTTCCCAGATTTTCAAGATACATATTTATACTCTTGACTATCCAGTAATATGGATATTTCAGCCAACATTTTTTTATCTTTTGCTCTTACAAATATTCACCATCATTTCTGGTATTTTTTTCGACTATAAAGTAGTTTTTTATCACTAAACATCTTTATGCCAACAATACTTTGGGAATTTCTGCTTCATCGTATGGACCCAAATCTCCTAGGAAGTAATCTGCAGGAATATTGTCGAACACAGTTTTCAGTATGCCCAGCATGATGTCTTCGATTGTTTTAGACAGGATCGGACTGAGTGATTCTGCCACAGGCCTCCAGTTTTCATTCAGATATGCATTCGTAGAATCCTCTGAAACAAGAAAAAAACAAAATTGACAAAAATTCTTCAGCTAATAATAATAGATTACCCAAAGCCTTGATACCATCAAATAGATTGCCCATATGTAATTTCAAACCACCCACACTGAAATCGACATGAACTTGTGTAACGTTGAAAAAGTGGAATCCGTCGTGTTTTTCCATAATGACGTCACTCTTCACATTGATTGTCAAATTCTCTGAAAAACAAAAATTTTGAAGGTGATGCTTTGGTACCGGGTCATTAAGATACTCAAAGTCGTGTTCATTGATACTAGTGAGTATTATATCTCTTGTCTGACCAATGTATATAGTCTTTTTTCATCAATATCTATTGATTATCCATACAAGGAGAATTTAAATTAGTTAATGAATCTTTCTGGATGTGCGAAACACCCTGTATATTTCACTTACGGGCGTCAAACCAACATACTCCTTTTCCACGCAGAGGGATGACCAAAATTCTTCCCAGGAGTTCGTAATTTCCATCGATTCTCAATCTCGGTAGGAACAATTTCGTGTAAAAATCGTAGGTTTTTGGGTCGACACTATTATACAAAATTTTGGTGTTAGCGAAACCAAGAATCGTGACGTCAGACAGTGAGGCGTTCACTGTGACTGGGCCGCCACCACCCTGTAGAATCTAGAAACAGAATCAAGTTAAATCTCAAATGGAATTCTGTGATATATCCATATATCTATTAATTTGTGTTTATTCGACGAAATAAAACGATTTATGTATATAAAATCGTATATTGAATGGAAATTTCACATTGTCTTGATAGAAGCAATTTTCCTAGTATGGTGCTAGACAAAAAACGGATTAACGAAATAGGTGTACCTCTTATATTCATTCATGCACGACTGTTCATGTTTCTATTGTTTCTCAATAGATTTCATCAAGTTGTGAACAATTTCATTCTGATCATTATCTGATGTATACAGGGCGTCCCGAAATCAGTCTACCAAACATTACCAGCTGCTTCTACGACCAGGAATTGGAAGAAAAGTTCCGATGAACATGAGCCGAGAAATATCTCCTAAGGGGCTACGGCCCTCTGGAAGGCGGCTCCTGAAGATGATATTTCTTGAATATACCCGAAACGCCACGTGATGATTGATACAATTTGATATAAGAGCTAAACTTTCCATGCCCAATGCGGTGAACATGAAATCATCCCAAATTTCCATTCAGGAGTGTATAATACAGGCCGGAATACATTAAATATTGCTCAAACTTTTTTGTATGCATACTTTTCGACAATTGAATCTCGGATTATGAAAATCTACAAACAAAAAAAATGGCGCTCTTGTTCCGCATCGATCAGATGTTTGATTTTCGAGTGAAATCGATTTAAAAATATTCATACACTCACATCTTACATTCATAATGTTGCCAATTTTCAAATCAAAGTGACTACAAAATGATCAACTACTTTCTTTCCACCAAACAATCTAATAAAAGCGCGAAAAATGTTCATGTTCATTGAAACCTTATTTCTTCCTATTTTTGATAGTAGAAGGTGCAGTTTGGCAGGCTAATTTCGGGACACCCTGTATGAAAAGTTTCAATGAATTCGGTGTTATAAGACTTATACAAGGCTTATACGAACACATACATATGCATATATAGTAAAAAAAAGGTTCGTTTACCAAATTTCCTGAACATTTTGTAGAAGATTCAAAACTGATTTTGATGGATTCTCAAAACTGATTCATAATTCTGCACATTTCTTTTGTTGATTCGTATTTACTGAGATTGAACAAAATGTGGTTTGATCGTTTTTTGTTCAGTTGTGTTATCCCAATGATTGCACACTGGTCTCAATTCTTGTAATAATAATTTGTTGTACTTGACCTAATTTATTATTTAATAGATTTTTTTGAAATCTCGTAACTGAATCCAATAATAACAGCGATCTACCTATTTTTTTGTGTATTGTGTATATCTTGGAATTGGGAGACACTAATTTCAGTCTATTTATTTACGTGTATGAATTTCAATATTGTCCGTCCATTTCAGGAACGAATTTTGAAGAAATGGTGAAGGTTTTTTGGTGTAGAGCATCCACCAAATTTGCGCGATTGCAAATGAAAGAATAAGACTATTTAAAAATCTTGAAAAAAATAATGATGTCAGCGAACTTACTTTTAAAGCTGGTATTTTTAATGGATCCAAAATCTCTAAGCCAATTTGGGGGTTTCCTTTTGGAATCTCGGTAAAAAGTCCTTGGACAGAATGAGTTGAGCAATTGATAAAAATGTCTCTTGGTTGTTTTATCATGCAGGTCTTAATATAGTCCGCTAAAAAAATACCACTTAGAATTCCATTCCACGGGATTAAAATTCTATATTGATCTATGGACTATGGTTGAAACCATATACAGGGTGGTCCAACGAAAACTTTGCACTCCGGTTTTAGGGCGTTAAAATGAAAACTCGTAAAAACGCTCGGAATCGTCGATTTCTGCTTTTTTCATCCTCGTAACTTCAACCCCCAACCCCCCGGGTTTGAATAGGGCTAGGGGTCTTGCGATACTTCATTTTGAAGATTTCATCGAGTATTGTCAGACCCTCTAATTTCGTGTCAAAATTTTTTTTGTTAACGAAATGAGTTATCGATGAAAATTTTAATGGTATAGGGGTTTGAAATTACGTAGATGAGGAAAGGAGACAAGTCATTCCTCCTCGTATCAGAAATTGATGGGTCCTAGCGTTTTTTCGAATTTCAATTTTTGTTGCTTGTGTCCTGAAATCGGGTTGTAAACCCTAACAGGGATGTCCTACGTACGTCTCTTTTTTGTCCCGCGGTACAAGGACATGATTGGGACATCCAGGGGATGTCCCGCAGTGGTTGTCTAGTGGACATCTCGCCCGGTACATCCCTAGGTTATCCAATTCGTGTTCCTGGAATATCTGATATCCATTCACATCAGAGTCATTGAATTTCATCAAAATATTGAGTTGATTTTTTTTTCATCCTTCTGGAAAGTAATTGTAATGAAAATCAAGGATATAGTCTCAGAACTTCTCAAGGAATGACCATTTTTCGCAAACAGAAATCGTAAATGCATAATGCCCCTTATTTTCAAACAGCCAAGAATGATAATAAGCATACTCAAATCCTATCAACGTTGTATTTATTCAGGTTTCTGTAGTAAATTCCTGTTTATGTAAGTTCTCGTTGGACCATCCAGTATTATCCAATGAAAGTTTTTCTGGTGAATGAAAAACATCAATCACTTATTTTTTTCCTATAAGCGTTATTATAGTTTTCATCATATACAGGGTGTCCTTGAAAGGTCTGTACAAAATCGTAGCACATAGTTCTGAGGTCAAAATAAGTCGATTTAGAACAATGTACCTCAGTCCGAAATTGCTCCATTGCCGGAATATCGGCAACTGCACTCCAGAAATATATTTTGAAAAAACCATTTTTGCACTGCTCAATCACTGACCAAATTACATCCACGAGGATAACAGCAAACCATTTTTCCGGTATCGAACAGTAGCATCTTTTTTGCTTGACAATATTTAGAAAATCATTTCCTCAATAAAAAAATGAAAAACTACACTGAGAAAAAAGTAATGGCCATTCCAAACCATTAGAAGTGCATTTGTAAGCGCACTCTATAATGGCCATGGTGAAAAGGTGTCCGTAACTCGGTATTCGCACCCCAAAAAGCTGTCGAAGTGATACGTCTGAAAACGTTCATATATTTCGAGAAATTCGATTTTCATTCTTTAATTTCACCACCCTGTATCTCGGAAATGGAACAATTTCGGACTGAGGTCAGTTACTTCAAATTGTTCAATTTTGACCTCAGAAATATATGCTGAGATTTTGTACAGACCTTTTAGGAACACCTTGTATTTTGGGCAGCTAGCTAAAATTATTCCAGATTTTTTGGGATTTTCTCTCCTCGTTTCTATAAAATAAAAATATGAATATTCTTTCAATATACGTGTAGTAAGGACAAATTAGATGATTTACCACAAAATGTCACTGCGTTTAAAGTGTCAGGACGAATAGGGATTTGCGATACAAAAAATCCATTTTTTATGTTGAAAACGGTAGCAGATTCGTTCCCGAAACGTCCAAAGCCAAGTAAATATTTGATATTTTTTATTCTATATATCTTTATTTCTCTAACCCATACTTTTTTCAATACAAATTGTCACTGACAAGCTAGTGAAATTTTTCTTTTAGGCTCTCTGATAGGAGAATTCTTTAAACGCAGTGATATTTTGGGGCAAATCATCTGATTTTTCCTTACTACACTCATATTGAAATAATATTCATATTTTTATTTCATAGAAACGAGAGAAAATCCCAAAAAATCTGTAATAATGAATGTACCACCTCCTCGATTAACCTACAGACAGTATTTAGCTGAAATTTTTTGTTTGTTTACTCACGTTGCTGATCTATGAATCCATATACCGAGTGCACCGAAAACACTGCCCAAATGGTCGAAAAGATTAAACCGCACAGGAGCATGTTTTGCTGACAGGTCTTCAGCAATCACTGGTAAATCCGCGAAAAATATAAACGCAGATCACTTTCTCTATGGCTAAGCCTAGACGGTACTTGGTAGGCAGCTATATAAGCCTCTAGCTTGTGGTTTATGTGTATTACATAACCCCGGGACAGTGGCTTGATTGAATTAAGTCGATTGGGAATGGGCAAATCACCATTGGACGAATCCTCAAGCAAGGTATCTTATAAAGTACCTACCTATGCCAATTATTATTAGCAATAGAGAAATCATCCAGTTTTCATTTTAATTTCAAGATAGAAAATTCATCAGATTTCGTGGATTGCCCAAATTTAATGTTGAAAAAAAATAGTGTTATCGTATAGAATCGTAAGAGGAAATAGTGAAATAATTTGATTTGTATATCAGGTTCCTATACATTATGATCATATCAATGGATTCATATCAATGTACAATCAGATCCAAAGAAAATGTCCCGGTTGGATGGTGTTAGCGCGTAGAGGTGCATCACCGCACATGTTCATTACATCCGACTGTACATTTGCTTACCCCGCCATAGAAAATATAGTCAAATGATGGAAATATAGTGACTTCATATTATAATGATAGCAGCTGATTTACTTCCTTTAAGGTCCGAAAATTCTTCGACCAAGCCTTGCTTTCTTTTGTAGAGTCACCATGTGTTTTTTCTCGGGTGCTTCTTAAGTATTCAGATAAACCCACTATAAATACAACATTTCTTTCTCTTGGTATTTTTTCGTACCTTGCTTAGTTTTCGCGAATATCGGACAACACCATACGACCTCGCCATATCTCTGAACTTCATAAGGATAAATAAAAATCCTTACATAATCCGAAAATTTGTTGCACATTATCATTCATCAAAATAAAAAAGACATACAATTGAATACCTTTCGAAAATCCTCAAGTTTTGTGATATTTTTTCAAGATATTGATGGAAATTTCATTTTGAAACTTGGACACCATGTATATACTATATCTCGGAAATAAAGTATTTTCGGACCCATGTTGATGTGAACTTTTTTCATAGTTTGTTGAGATGAATATCTCCTGGGCTTCTGTCATCACACCTCTGAAACACCCTGTATATACTAGTGAAAGTTTAAGCATTACTCGAAGTAAGATTTTGGATTTATCTGTAGTTATGTCATTCGGTCATGTGGCTGGAGAGAATAAAACGAGTGTTATTGCATCCCAATTGTGTCAAGTTCAATAAACAAAGGAAATAAGAAATCAACCAGTTCTGTAGATTGCATATATCTGATGGAAAATGAACCACAAATGTGTATTCATTCAATATACAGAGTGGAAAGTCTAACTGGAACAAATTCTGTAACTTGTTAAATAAAGGTTTATCTCAAAATGCCTGAAACATGTCGATTTTTATTTTCAAAGGGGCATATTACAAAGAGATTTGTTTATCTTTTTAATTATCTGGAGGGTTGTAGCCACCCCCAACTTTTTTTTTTCAAATGGAAGGGTAGGTTGATTAATTTTTTAATGGCAAGCTTGTTCAATTGCAAATACACTTCAATTGTTTTCTGTTACTTTTTATAAGCAATGTGTCGGAAATAAATTAAATAAGGAAATAGTTACTGAAATTATACGATCCGCGTACGCACCTGACTACGACGTAGACAGTATAAGATTTTTTGTATAGTGTATAGGTACACTGTTTTTTACCTGATAGGCCCAATGAAACACCTGCTCGATTTGAAATGAATGTGATTGATTTGTTAGTACTTGTTTGCAATCCCACGTGTGAATTAAAACCGAAAAATAAGACAATGCCCTATTTAACCGAGACGCATCGTATCGAAATTTTAACGATGATCGGATATGGGGACAGAAGTCGAACACAGGCTGAAGTTGCTCGTTTGTTTACTGAAGTTCATCCAGAATTACCATCAATTAATCGAAGTACGATCAGTAAAATTGAAACTCGATATCGGGAGTTGGGCCACGTAAGGGATGCTCCTCGACAAAAGGTTTTAAAAGTCGACGAAGAAGCCCAGTTGAACATATTGTTGGAAGTTGAAGAAAATCCTGTTACTCCAGCTAGGCAAATAGCTCGCGTTCATGGTGTCAGTCACACAAGTGTTTTGAAAATTCTGAAAGCAGCCAAAAAGCACCCATATAAAATGCAAAACCTGCACGAGCTTAACGAAGATGATCCTGATCGTAGAATCGAATTTTGCGAACGAATGATGGCTTCTATCGATGGTGGACGAATTGCTTTGGAATGGGTGCTGTTTTCCGATGAGTCTACGTTCACATTACATGGGCATGTCAATCGACAGAACTGCCGTTATTGGGCTGACGAAAATCCCCGTTGGATGCGTGAATGTCATACTCAAAGGCCTCAAAAAACAAACGTCTGGGCAGGAATTATTGGGGATCGCATAGTAGGTCCTTTTTTTTTCAATGGAAACGTAACCGGAGAAACATACCTTAATATGCTCCAACAAGAACTGATTCCTACGTTAGTAAATTTATTCCACAATAATTTGGATCCCAACTTATTTGACCGACGGATGTGGTTTCAACAAGATGGGGCACCACCACATTTTGCTCAAAATGTACGGACCTACATTAACGAAGTGTTTCCAAATAGGTGGATTGGAAGAAGGGGCCCAATTGAGTGGCCAGCAAGATCACCCGATCTTACCCCATTAGATTTTTTTTTATGGGGATATCTGAAGAGCAAGGTTTATGACACTAAACCTAACGACATCGCCGAGCTTCAACAACGAATCACGGACGAAATTAGGCAAGTAACGCCGGAAGTGTTACAAAATGTTCGGAATGCTTTTTATTATCGATTGGGATTTTGTCAGCAACAAGGTGGAGAGCAGTTTGAACATTTATTGCATTAAAATAATTTCAGTAACTATGTCCTTATTTAATTTTTTTACGACATATTGCTTATAAAAAGTAACAAAAAAAAATGGGAGTGTATTCGCAATTGAACAAGCTTTCCAATAAAAAATTAATCAATCTACCCTTCCATTTGAAAAAAAAAAGTTGGGGGTGGCTGCAACCCCCCCAGATAATTAAAAAGATAAACAAATCTCTTTGTAATATGCCCCATTGAAAATAAAAATTGACATGTTTCAGGAATTTTGCGATAAACCTTTATTTATCAAGTTACAGAATTTGTTCCAGTTAGACTTTCCACTCTGTATATTTTGTGGTATATTATTGCCATTGGTTTACTTTGATTGACTGATATCAAATTATACCACCAAAATTAATGAATGACTGAAAATTAATCACTCATACAGTAGCATGTAGATTTCATGATTATTCAGATAATGTATATTTAGTGGGATATAATGTGTTTTTACAATTTTCTGGATAATTTCGACACGCTGTGGGCGTTGTAGCGATAAATTCCTATTTTCGAGTACAGCTGTTTCCACTCAAAATAAACTTGGCTAAAAGGTTATGTCAATAATGAAATATTCCCAGAATTATTATTGTGTTCTATTTCTGAAAATTTGTAGAGTTGAGGTATTTCTCTGTTACCAATAGAAATAATATTCCAAATTTAATACAATAAAGCTTCAATTCTTGTTGTTGAACTTGCAGGATGTTCCGTTATTTTAATTCGATTCGACTTTTGACTACGGTATAGGAGAAAAATGGTGTGTCCAGGCTAAAAGTCAGGTTAATTTGTGTGCAAGTCCAAAATTTCCTAATTACCTGATCTGGATTGAAATCCAATATTTAATGTGAAGTTTAAAAAGTGTGTGTGAGAAATATCAGGCTCTTTTATCTCTATACGCCGTTATAGAGGCCGGATGATGACGGATTCATCGGATAAGGGGGCCATACTTGAAGTCAAACGTGCTCCATTATCTCTTATATACGTTCGAATCTTAGGAATCTTATGATGACTCGGCTTCAGGCCATTATGATATTCAACCGGTTTACTTATGTGGCGAGTCGAGTGATAATACTATTACATAACCAAGTATTTATTCTTGAAAAAAACCAATTACCTGATCTGGAGAAATTGTTACCGAAAGGAGACAGAAATCTAATAAACCTAAAGAGAAGAAGAAGTTTATTTTGCGAGACAACAGAGAGAAAAATCACAAACAAAATATTTAGTTGAAATATCAATAACCTGAGAAAAATATTCCATACTAAAAAAAAAAAAATGGCGCCCCACCCTGTACTATATATTCATATTCATCTCAGTTCAATAAAAGGTGTATATACTATTTTCGACCTGTACACTATAGACGTGGGTTCGCCTATAAAGGAATCATACATTCTTATCTTTCCTAAGAAATGATAAAGTTTTCGATTGATTTTCAACACTTTGTTTTCAATTCAAGGTGCAAACACTACACCAATCAGTTTCACTTTATGAAACTTCCTAATCATTGTTAAACATTGAGATGTTCCACTTCAAATTCGAGTATTGAGTGATTTCAATATTTAATATTAATGCAAAATTATTTTATAATAAAACTAACATAACAAGTATTGTATACTAAATTATTATTAGTTAAAGGTAAATATCATGTACACTGAAAAATTACAAAAATAAATAGTCAATAATATCATAACTAGAATTCTTAAAAACATAAAAAAATTGCAAAAACCAAATGAGGCAATCCTAAAATACTTCCATTTTGTTTGACCACGTCTAGACAAAGACAACGGTAAAAAACTGACACCTGCCAAAAACGTCAACTGTCAAAAAATTAAACCTGCCGAAAATTGACACCTGTCAAACTACATGTGACGCGTGTTCCCGAATCCCCCGTGCCCCGCCTGCGATGCGCCCTTGTTGTAGCCCATCTGCAGGTTGACCTGCCCTTCGCTGGCCCTCAGCTGCTCCTCCGTGAAGGTCCGCTCGTTCTTGTCGGCCATCTTGGGGCCCAGCGTAGGGCCCGTCCATTCCGGGTGCTTCTGGGTGATGCGGCCCAACGCGAACAAGGAAAGGGCAACCTGTATATAGACAGAACAAAAACAGCGGAAATTATAGGGTAGTTCGAAATCATTATACAGGGTGTTTCAAGATTTAGTATCAGGATATCAGGGAATGAGGCCTAAAACTTTTTTTATTGTCCACCAAGAGGCGCCACTGAAACATGAGATCAGGGTTGGTAGAACTGATAAACATACTTATTTCAGTGTCATTTGGCATCTTGCTACGTTATCTTCTTCTCCTCTTTCGAAAAAACAGGCTTTAGAGGGTTATTCGGCAAAATTTTGGGTTTTTCGACTTTGACAATGACCTCATGTTTTAGTAGCGCCAACTGGTGAGAGTGAAAATGATAGCCCTCATTAGGTCCAAATAAGACTTTTTCCCTGTAATACTTATTTATACACCAAGGTAGTGAAGAATATCATTAGGGAAAAAATAACTATTCCCTATCACAGCGTCACAGATTCACGGTTTCCTTGAAATATTTACCTCGAGCTTTCTCAGAGTTCAAATGTGATGTATTCATTTCGATAACACCCTGTATGTATTCAAAATTTGGTACAGGAATGAATTCGGTGTCAACATTTATTATTCATCTCTCACCCAGCGAGCACAAACATCCCTGGGATGTTTTGGGATGTTTTGAAAATGTTGGCATGAAGATGTTATTTTGAGACGTAATATGCACTGACCAAAGAGGTCTTTGAAGGATATTGAAGTATTGTTTTTGTTCTTCTGTGGCATTTCTTTGCCTACTGAGAGGTATCCCTGGGATGTTTTGGGATGTTTTAGAAATGTAGGCATAAGAATGTTTTTTGAGGCGTAATATGCACTTCCTAAAGAGGTCTTAGAAGGATATTGAAAGTATTGTTTTTGTTCTTTTGTGCCCTTTCTTTGTTTGCCCCACCACAACGTCTCATGCTTACGTCACAATACGATGAATTCTGATTTGTTTCCGATTTTGTTCTTCTTGTTCGCAATTGGCATTCGCGTTTGCAGCGTGTCACGCTTACATATTGTGTTAGAAGACTTATTTAGTTTGTAATAATGACCATCAGATGCAAGATGTGTTGTTCGGTGCCTCATCAGTGTAATCAATATATAAAAGTACGAATTTATCAATACACAGCTTCTCCGCAGTTGCAAAATTATGCATTGTGGAGAACATTTCAAAAATTGGGAAACCTATTTCCAATTATTATATGTCTGTGTGTAGTAAGCACTACTCAGAAACCGATTAAGAAGGTAATTTCATATCAAGAAAATATTTTTATGTTCAATCTATTTTTAATGCATTTTTTCATTCAAGGGAAGTGGAATCCTAATGCAAAAGTTCATTTTGACAAAAGGCTTCAGAAAAGTACCTCGAAAATGTTTTTTTTACAGCGATTTAATGTGCGCAAGGCGCGTTGAAAATGTTTTGTTGTGTCCATGAAAAGGCTTTAAAAAGAACTAGGGAGAAGGTAGTTTTGTGACATATCAAGGACATCTCGATAATTGCTGCCTGCGGCGGACATTGGCTGTTCTATAATAGTTCTATTCATGTGTGAACAGAAACTTTTAAAATCTCTGAGATGTTTTTGTGCTCGCTGGGCAATGTCCCATACCTGTGCGATATTCCTTCTTTCGAAAAGATCCGCAGTCTGGAAAATCTCCTCTTGCGGCAATCCATACGCTTTGACTGCTGCCTGGAACCTCTGGATGTTCTCCATGAGCTGGAAGTTGGTGCCCTTCGACTGGATCTTCTTCACCGAGCCGGGGGCCAGTTTGTTGATGAGGTTGCAAAGGACGACGCCGTCCCTAAGGATGTCTTCGAATTCTCCGCTAGGCACTTTTTCTCCCAGGCATGCGTAGATCCAGTTGAGGACGTCGGCTTCTAGGTTCTTGTCACGTTTCTAATGAAACAAAAATTGGAAAAATGGAATTTTTGTAATTTTGCAGTATAGGACCGAACAAACCAGATATCTTGCTGAACCAACAATAATTTAAGGTTACTATCATGATATTGTCAAGGTATCAATTTGATTTGGTATCACAATATTAGTTAGTTAGTTAGTTAGTTGTAGAGCTATATCAACAAAATATGTTTTTATACTAGTGCTATGTAAAGTAGCGCATTTCTCATAGCTTCCTTAGTTTCAAAACCATGTATTGCTCATACTGTGAGAAATATTTTTTTCTCATGGCACTTTGCCAACACCACATACATTTCCATGGAGAATCAACAAAAATCGACCAAAACTTGGCTACTGTTTAGCTTTGAATAGTTGTCACAACTGTCAGAAGAAGTTTTTTGAATTCTTTAGGGTAGTTCTCATTAGTGCTTTTGATAGAAATCGAATTTTCCATCAAATATTATTCCAACAATTCATAATAAATAATATGATGTATATATATATATACCGAGTTGTGACTATTTTGAAAAATACACCGCCAGAGAAAGCGATAATGGAAGAAGCTGCGAAAGTTGGATTTGTTCCCGGAAATTTCATGAAAAAAGTATGAATTGGCATAAACGAAGAATTTATGGAATCTAAAAAAATACAGAAATAAAATCTTTTTCGGAAAGTGTACTTTTTTCAAATACTTTGAGGAACTAGGAAATGCGTCAACTCTCCGATCACAATATTCAATGTGGCATAGTGCCACATTATAATGTGAATACCATTAAGCTACATTACTCGGATTCTTTGAATAAGTGCAGTTGTAGAAAAAGGATAGTGTGCAACATGTGAGGAAAAGCACTTTTCTCACTCGTGTGTTTGCATTACTCGCCCTCCAGGCTCGTGCCACAAACTTTCACACTCGTGAGAAAAGTTGAACTTTTCCCACTCGTTGCACAATATACTATTTCCTACAAACCCCAAAAAATATTGTTCTAAAATAAGTAATATGCTTAGCTTGATATAAAAAATAGTGTGAATTGCCTTAAGAAGCATTAACCATTGTTGAACATTTAGAAATAGATAATTTCTTGGATATTTGCTCGATTGAGGACTATAAAAGGTTAAAATACAAAAATCCCATATACAGGGTGACATTTTGAACACTTCCCACTCACAATATCTAAATTACAGTAAATGATATGGAAAATCGAAAAGACATGTCAATTTTATTTTCAAGGGGGATACTCGAAATGAATATTTTTAGCCTTCTTGGTTCTTCTTGTCGTAATTGAAAGCATCATCACTGAAATATACCTTATCAAAACATATGAAGGTTGTTGGTTACTTTGATTTTTGTGAAAATAATTGTATAGATCTATTTCTAACTTGAAGATTGTTGTTGCTTTGTTTCAAAATCAGAATGACAAGGTTTTTTGAAGCAAGCCATGAAACTTGTATTCCCATGATCGATTTTGTTATCAATAAATAATAGTTTTCCTATGAATTTTCATAGTTTCCAAATGATTCTGTGATCACGTAAATTCTGTGATTGTTTTCTGAAAAAAAAATTGGTATTGGAGGGAACTGATATTTACAAGTTCTGAAAATGTATATTTAAATTCATATTTATATGAATATTTCTATATAGAAAGATTTCAGAAGCACATATAGTTACAGTTACAGTAGCAGTAGAGACAGACCAAAATACCTCATCGTCATAACCAAAAATACCACAGAAATCAGTTCTATTTTGGAACTTTGTTATGAAAATTCATTGCAAGATCAAGATTCCCTGTTTAACAAATTGAGAAAACGCTGATGCCAAATGTTGTCGATAGGTCGAACTCTAATTTTATGGGATGTGGACTGAGAAATGAATATTGCGAAAATAAAACTGATATTTATAGAAATATATAAACCTAAAATTGCCAATTTCACAAAAGGGATTATTGGTATAGCAATCATCGGTGTTCAAAAGTTCATCAAGCTGTCCACAAAGTTTGGAAAAAGTATCTCTGATGAGTTACCTTTATTTCGTACATACTTCTATATTTATCATAATTGATGAATGAACTTATTTTAAATTGATTTTTCTCAGTCAGAACAAATATTATTCTCAACTCACGATGTCAAGCTTTTACTATTTTACAAACTATAGGACGGTTTGACATATTATAACTCTGAAAATAATATGGATGCAAATCTAGAAAAAATTAGCTAAACTTTGAACTGAGGTTTCATTCATCAATGAGTTTTGTACTTACCGACATTTTGGGATAAGTGTGTGTTCGATTCTGGCGTCGCGACGGTACTGAAAGCGTCGTTTCTCAGCTGTTAGTCTTTATGGTGTCAAGGAGCGGGGGCGTATACATATATCGCACATATACACACCACTTGTTTTTCGATATCATATTTTTTGACTAAGTATTCGAATTTATTGTTGAGAAATCTTCACAATATCGATCAAAAATAAAAAACTAGTGGGTGGAAAAGCGAATTTCCTTTGGCAAGGGAAAATGTTTGCGAAACGCAATGTTATCGATGCTGAAAATTGGATTGTTAAACATTTAAATAATAGAATTTGCCATTATTGTGACAGTTGAAGGATGTGGTGGAAAATAAATTATTTATTCAAGGTCCCATCTGATCCAAACACCTGGTATTATTCACAACAAATGAGTATTCATTCATTCTCTTATTTCATTCATAAACGTTCTACGATATTGAAATTTGGAATTTTCATTTCATTTTCAAAAGGTTTTACACCATTTGTTGAATGGAAAATCATTGATCATGATGAAATAGGAATAAATAAAAATTTAAAAAAACTATTTTTTCTCACAGAAGTTGTGAATGTTGTGATGGTAATATGCTTGGCTTCCTACCTATACACCGCGATAAGAAGGCCTTAATCATATTCCACAGGGCGTCAGAGTTTGAATTGGTTCAATGAAAATTGGAATATTAAGATATCGATATCGATTCAAAATTTGGCAAAGTGCTAATGAGAATCATATCTTCGACGAAAAATTATTCGTTTCAGAGATATTATGGATAGTTATTATGGACCAGTCTTATCTCATTTAATAATCAAGTTAGGTTTTGAAAAGTTTGACTCCCTGTACATTGAACATGGAGGCCCAAAATAGGAAATAGCATAGAAAAATCAATAGTTATTTAACCAACTAGTGTATTAATGAGGGCTATTAATGATCGAGATATTATAATGTGAGTTGGTTGAAAAATTTTTCCTATACATACATATTTCTCATTTCTCCTGCAATGAAGAAAACTTGGTTCGCGAATTCATCATTCATCCGGAAACTACTAAGAATCACCCAGTAACCTTGTTATTGACATTTGTGACATTTGTCGAAATAATCAACTCAGAAAATAAATTCTATGTGTTAGAAAACAGAGATTAAAATCGTTCCAGAAATCCATGTTTTCCATTTTAAATGCAGATTACGTAAGTTATAGCATTAACAGTGAATGGACGCGGTGTATGTTTGGTTGCCTATGCTGCAATCGTGCATTAATAGACAAATTGATTATTAATAGGGGTCATTAACGATCAATTTCATAAACATCGAACCATTGTCTGCTAAATATGGAGAAAAAAATCTAGTGAGCTGATACTCCAGCTCCATAGCAAACAATGCATTACTGTGATTAAACTTACGATGAGGTCGATGGAACAATCATTATTTTTGCTAGAAAATGTATGGTTAACGGACATACTGTAGAAAGATAAAATGGTTGAAGGTATTGCAGACATTTTTCTGCCAAATGATCTGGTGAGCTTCCAAGTTAATTTTATGTAATTTACAAACATAAAATTTAGTAGGAGTAGAGTCGTTCATTCAATATAATGCTTACATCAGCATGGAAGATAGAAAATGATGGAAGTAGCCAAAAATACATTTGAAAAAATCTAAACATATACAATTTGTTCTAACACATATCGTATGTCCTATTCACAGTTGCATTCGGATTGACAGTGCAGAGCCAGTAACAGGGCCTACATAGAACATCATTTGGGTGTCATGTCGTTCCTATTAGGTGTATATTTTTTTAAATGAATGAAGAAATTTGAAACAAATTCTTTAATTCTAGTCGGTAGCAAAATACCATAATTTTGATTATAGATACATTGTAACTAAAAATAAAAGAGATTTATAGCAGCATTAGCGTTGAACCTAAGAGATATAATTAAATCTAAAATTAACCAAGAAGAAGGAGTTAGGTATAGGCTTCTGGATATAATGGCTTTCTAATAATAGAATCGAAAATTCAGAATTTAGTGGATACATTATATTATAGATGTTATGACGGTAATATTAGATGCCAGTCTACCAGTTTTCCAGATTATTTCGTATTATGTATAGGGTGATTGATTGATTCTGATTCCAAGCCATTCATTATATTAGTTGAGATATCAGTTAAGCTCTCAAAAAACAAATTTCAAGAACAGTCGAATTTTAGTCAATTTCAGATCACTGAGAAAATTTTTGAAGAAATATCATTTTGACTCTCATAGAAATGGTGAAGGGAAAAAACAGAAACAGAAAAGATAAAGGAGAGTCAAAATTGTCAAAGATTATTCGGATTCAGCTAGTCAAGTCAGGCCAGAAGAAGTTAGATCAAGGAAAATGTACCGTTTTGAACTCCTTCCTATAAGTAGGACTACCTATACCTCTTTTCCCTTTCCATCCGACATAATAGGGATTCCCTTACGTGCAATCCAAAAGATTTAACAAAAAATTGATATCGGAAGTTATATTGAAAATCACATTATCGGCCAATCAAAAGCGTGTATTTTGTATCGTTAACATATCAACTGAACAAATTTCAGTATTCTTTTTCCTCCTTGGGAGAAGATGCATGAAATTACACTGGAATTTGTTGACCTTTATAGAAGAGCCAAAATTATTCGGATTCAGCTATAGTCAAGTCAGGCCAGAAGAAGATCAAGGAAAATATACCGTCTGAATTCCTTCCAATGAGTAGGACAGGTTTGTTAATCTGTGCCTATACTTCGTGTCGGAAGTTATTTTAAAAGCGTGTATTATGTACCGCTACCATATCAACTGTACACATTTCTGGAAATTGTTTTCTCCTACTTGATGGGGGAAGGAGCATGATGAAATTACACTGGAAATTTTTGACTTTCATAGGTAGAATGACATTTACGTTACCTTCAGATTACGTCGAATTAATTCTACAAGTTAATTAGTAAAAAAATATAATTTTACCGACTTTCGCTAAATGAATTTGTAAAAACTAAGAGATTGAGCTACTAGGTATATTGATTTATTTTTTCAATGTTTTGATAATATTTCATTTCACCTAATAGCAAATTTCATTGATACTAAATAGTACTTCGAGTTTCTTATGAGAAAATATATTTCTACCAACTTTAGTAAATTGAATTTTTGAAAAACTGAGAAATTGATCTACTAATCGACTTATTTTTTAATATTTCGTGTAACTAAAGTAAGTCAATTGTGTTTTATTCCACCTAACATTGTTATGGATATGAATTGTCGAGTTCCTTATTGTAACAAGATTTATTTCCACCAACTTTAGTGTAATAAAGTTAGTCAAAAGAATAATAGTTTGAACTAGCACCAGCTAGCTGCTGTATTAATATTTTGGGTAGCAAAAATTCGGAATATTGTATTTTATTTTTATTTTGCGTATAATCTTATCCTAGTATTTTTTTTCGATTTCGATTTCGAATACCACTCTAGTTTCAACTGAAACCGGAAATTCTTTCTCGAACACGAATATTTCCGGTAATAATTGAACCTCTCGTGGTATTATAAGTTAGAATTCATAATTTTCTATTTCTCCTCATAATATAAGTAAGTGATCCACAGGATGTATTTTTTTCCAGGTTGCCGGCAAACGCGATTTGGATCAGGAACGTGAGGCTCAGGCATGGATCGAGACCGTCACCGGCCAAAGGTTTCCCCCAGGTGTACCCTACGAGGATGTCCTCCGCGACGGTATCCTCCTCTGCCAGCTCATGAACAGACTGTCGCCCGGTATAATAGGCAAAATCAACACCTCCGGTGGCGACTACAAAATGATGGACAACCTCAGCCAGTAAGCGTAAAGCGATGATTAGTGTATTCGTAGAGAAAGTCTAGTACATTACTCGAGCATTTGCTTTGGAAGGCACAAAATTACGATCAGTGTATTCGTAGAGAAAGTATGGTACCCCACTCGAGCGTGTGAAGGCGCGGACAGTGCTGCCAACGTTAAACTGTCGATATCCCACATTTTTCAAAAACATTTCTCCACTGAATTATTCGAAAAAATCACGAAGTGGGCGACCTCTTGTGTGGAAGCTTTTTCAGGGTGGTCAACAAACGAACAAACCAATCTACCGTTGTCAGCATATATGATTTGAAAAAATTTAAAGCAGATTTTGATTGTTTTTCCACAATTTTTGGACTTATTTTGTGCCTATAACCCTAAGTGATTGTTTTTTCAAAACAAATCTGTCAAATGAACAAACCAGCTAGAGTTGAATCCTGGACGTATTTTTTCAGTAGTTCCTTTCGTACTCTTCCTATATAGTGTACGGAAATTGTTTCATTATAGGAATTTCCTTTCAGTTCATGCGCTCCAAGAGATAAAAAAAATCTCAACAAAATTTAGCCTCTGGTATATATGTATAAACACTTGGAAGCTACACCTCCGGATTCTTCTGCTATCTTGTTACGAAGAGAACCGTCAGTATTGTCCTTGCTGATTTTCTCTATTAGTGTCCCCCCCGCCACCTGGTCCGTTATTAATCAAACCTTTGATCAAACCAATTTAGTTCAATGGCTTTCATTAAAGTCATAAAAAAATGATTGGACTCGCACACAAAATTGCTCCACATAAATCATCTACTACGAAATTGTAGGACCAGGAGAACATGATTTGGTTGAGGTGGAACATGGTGTGAAGAAATATCCTTCAACAGTGGCGTAGGTGGGATGAATTGCTGTCTTTATCTACCCCCTTTTATACAAAAAATACGTCCATATTGTTCATCAAATATCAATTATTAAGGAGGGGTTTACCCTCTGAAAAAGGTCAAATTTTATCTAAGGTGTAAAGGGGGAAGTAAAAATCCTGTCCGAAAGAGGCGGGGCCCGATAACGAAGAAAGTCGTCTAGTGTCTCACTCCAACTCATTCTGGCGTAAAATATTCCAACATTTATAGTAAAAGCGGCCTTGAGTGTTACCCCTATGCATCTGCGGTCGCTGAATTCTCCGAATACCCACAGGCACAGCGTACAAGTTGTGCTTTAGGCAATATACATCTTCTAGTGTAGAGGAGAACGAGGCACAATCCACTTCCTTACAGACTTTTTTTTTTCGGAGTAGAACGATATAGGACCTTCACCACCTTGAATATATATGATTATTACATAATATTCCAGCTTGACTTCTTTTTTCTATGGTACCGAAAAAAGTTATAGGCGACCAAACTCGAAAATTTAAGAAAAAAATAACTTTGCGCGTAAATATATAAACCTTTGTAACTTCGCAATTATAACACTTATATACGTAGTCTTTCCATAATTTGATCAAGCATATTCTGGAGATTCGATTCATATATAATATGTTGGGAAATTGAATTGTTTTTCGATCCAAAATGTATCATTTTGTACAGAATTCGCGAAAAAATTTCCATTGTCATCTCTTCAGTTTATCATAACTTTTTAGTTCACGATATGAATTTCGATTTTTATGATATCTTTCGATAGATTGAAATGTAAGCAACAAATTGTTTCCTATAAACTTTTCGCACGTTTCAAAAATGAACTTTGTAGAAGCATTTATTGTCTAATGCGTAAGAGGCCATCCGAGCGCACGAGTGAGAACGATACAGCGGCGTTTACGTGCTCTAGACAAGAACAAACAGTAAAGATTCGGGGAGGATAACTGTCTCATTTGGGAATGGAGAAAGGAGCGTTCTTGGTTGAATATGTAGGTAAATAACTTCAGTTCATGAATATGGTCCCAAAATGATTCACTTCAAAGCTCGCTTCAAAGGCAACGAAGTGAAAATGGTAAAGAAAAAATACCAAGAAGATATTGGGAGATGCTAGATTTTTCCAAACATGAGTTCCCAGAAAAATTGATCAACATTATACAGCTGGACAAACTATAGTAGGTATACCAATATGGTATATTTATGATAAAAAACTTTTTCAGAGTCTTTGAGAGGAATGTGTGATAAATTTTAGTTAGATTCAATGTTTTATATTAAATTTGACATTCTTAGCGAGCAAATATGTAAATTTATCGATATAAATCTATTATATTCATCATATCTGTGGATGGAGCTCTTGATATTATTTCATCTTCGTTCCGCACTCATGCACCATCAGTCTATTGCACTCTGTCTCACTCACTGTGCATGACCTATCTAAAGTTGCACGTTGTCATTCAAAGCGCTATAAAAAGTTTATTTTTGAAACGTGCGAAAAGTTTATTCAGAACAAATTGTTCGTTACACTTCAATCTATCTAGATGGGAGAAAAAAATTGAAATTCATATCGTGAAAAAAAGTTATTATCAATTGAAGAGATTTAGCATTAAATTACTCATTTAATGCGTGACAAAAAATTTATTTTCACATATAAAAAAATTTTGCCAGTTTATATACCATGGATCGAATCAATATCCTCAACAGAATGATGAGAAGTTGAGGCATCTAAGTTATGTAGTCTCCAAGTTACAAAGGTTTATACATTTACATGCGAAGTAGATTTTTTTTTGTAATTTTTGAGTTTGTTCGTTTATAACTTTTTTCGGTACCATGGAAAAAAGTAGTCAATTGTTTCTAGATAGGATAGTGAGGGTCTGATATCTTTCTACTTCCAAAATTTTTTTTGATTACTTTCACCTTGTGTCCCGCTCTCGCCCGCTACACTAATAACTATGAGGAGGACATGTTTTCACGTAAAAATCACCTTGCTCGTTTCATCCCCTTTGCCTTCACTGATGCCAGCCGCCAGCCGCCAGCCCCTCAAAAATGTTAAATGACATTGTAGGGGTGAGAAGTTTTCAAAGAAATATACCCGGTATACCCTATATGAGCATAAATTAGTGGTATGTATCAACTCAACTGCAAAAATATAATTCGAAAGTACGAATCTGAATAATAGAAAGGCAGCAAAAACAGTTCAAGACAGGGATTTTTTTACAGAAAAATACTGCTATTCGAATAACTTGCACTCACCTATACATGATTTATTGATTGACGACAAATGCAAATGGAATATCAAAATGCATTGTTACATGAGTGGAATTTTTTGGTTTGTATAAGCAGAATTTATATTGTGTAATAAACAACGCCATATACAGGGTGTCTCAGGTTTTACTCGTCTAACTTTGACAATCGATAGCAAAACTCAAAATATTAGATACGTATTTTTCTGTTTTGTCATGGAGAAACATGTTTTTATTATACGGGGTGTTAAGGATCGCATACATTTTTGGTTTTTAATTTCTGTCTTAGTTGAAACAAAACCTAGCGATCTGAAATTCGGTGAGCACTTTTCTATCGGCAATATGAACAGTCCTTATCCATTGAAAAAACTGGGTGTTATCGTCACCCCCAATGGAAGTAACGATGTTATTCTTTTTCGAGCCCTCTGACATGGAACTCGTCAGATTTTTTTTTATTGGGACGCTAGTGGGTGGATCGAAGCTAATGAAAAATCATTATTATTTCTTCACCACACTTTGTGTTTTTCATTTGTTTCAATATCTTTCGTGTACGTGAACCATTCAATATTCAATTCGAATGATAATTTGATGTAAGATAAACATTTAGGTTATAAAATTGTTATATATGCATAGTAGGTGTAACTTTATTTCGGATAACAAGAAAACTAAGAAGGATAGGGACAGTTCATATATAACAGATAGAAAAGTGCTTACCGAATGTCAAATCTCTAGGTTTGGTTTCAACAAAAATAAAAAATAAAAACCAAAAATTCATGCGACCTCGAACACCCGTATAAAGAAAACAAGTGTCTCCACGACAAAACAAATAAATACGTGTATAATATTTCAATTTTTGCTTTCGATAGTCAAAGTTAGACGAGCTAAACCTGAGACACCCTGTATATATTACAGGAACAACTTCAATTTGTAATCTCCATATTCCTTTCGAATCTACTATCCACTATTTCGATTACATTTTATTTTGCCAACATTCATCATTGCCAGGTATATTTTGACAGATTGTCTTCTGCGGTATTTATTACCAGTTCGATAATTACTTCTCGGCATTATAACTTTTGCTCATACAAATAATGCACAAATATTGAAAAACGCAAATGTCACTGTCGGAATACTGAAGTAAACTGAACAAAAACAATATTCCAATCCCCCGTGTATAACACGAATTCCAGGATTTTCTAAATTTAAAAATTGTTCTATCCGTCATTCGGTTGCCCCCTTACGAGCAACCCTCAGAAGTCTTCGAGAGTCTTGTGCGAGCAAGGAATTTCGGACCCTTTATGTCCGCCGCTTTTATGCTCACCGCCTTTATGTCCATCGCTTGCCGCTTGCCAAACATGTTCAATCTTTTATCAGCTAATTGGGTGAGTCACCTGGAGCGAAACTATTATTCTTCAATGAGAGATTTCTCTGTTTATCTATTTCCAGAAGGCAAATTCTTAATGTTGACAAGAATATTAAAATATATGTAACTCGTATATTATATAATACCAGTTATTACCTAGAATAAATATGATGGAACTTCTGGCATTCCTTATATTCGCATTTTGAAATTATTGGAATTGGTGTCCTACCTGCAAACCATACGTATTTTTATTATATGGGTTACCTAATAAACGTATCTATACGTCGTATACAAAAATTCAATCAACCCATCTAAAACTTCTTCTGGTTTCATCTCCAGTGCTAAAATTTTCTGAATAGCTTCAGTGCTACTTTTTATGAATGAATTCACTATTCATTCAATCATTCATAGTATCCATGTAGAAGTGCATATTCGTGTGAGGGCGCTCGTATCAGTGAAGAAAAATGATCCAAAATTGCGTCTGCAGAGGTCCAGCAAAAATCACTTTTGATGGTGATATTTTGAACGGATCCTTGCGAATTTTTTTGACAACGAAGATAAATGTATAAGTGAGGCATCTCTCGAAGTACTTTTCGAAAAAAATATATACCTAGTGAGAAAAAAAATAGTGAATCTGGTCAATTTTGTGGAATTTTTTTCGACTATTTTTTTTCAAAAATTTGAAAAAGTACTCCCAGAGATGCCTAGATCCAACCTTCTAGAAACGATCCGTGAAAAAAAATCTTGAATTTATTTAGCGAGCTTCGAGTATTTTGATTTCTGCCGTTCCTTGTTTCCCCAATGATCGCTCATAGGGTTAAACCCCTCTTAATTAACAAAGCTTATATTAGCTTGGTATGTATATGTTTGTATGTTTGTTTGTTTGCAACTCGGAATCTTCGATCGTGATTTTTGACCACTTCAAAACGTCGATTTGAATTGAAACTTCGCACACTTATGAAATCCTATGCCAATAGCATAATTTTATCTAGTTTTATTCCATTATCCTGATGCCACCAAAGTTTTAAAATGTTTCCTCAGCAAAATTTCAAATCTTCATTTTTATTTCTTCTAATAACTTCACAATGCCTTTCTATATCCAGATACGGTAGTATCTTACATCAAGTACTCGGATGAAATAAAGTTTCCGGAGAGGGAGCCTGCCAGCCTGCAGGCTGCAGATGAACAATTACCCAGTCAACACATCTGTGACATGACACCTCTCTCTGATGTTGCGTTTAGGTAATAGTACGATATCACAAAAGTTCCATAGCTGCGATGTTCATTTAGCTAGCACATCTGTTACATGATATCTCTGAGATGTCGCGATGAGGCAAAACTTCCATATTACGAATGTTACATCGGTGCGAGGTACAGAAGCAAGCACATCTGCGACATGACAACTCTGAGATGTCGCGATGAGGCAACACTGTGATATCACGAATGTTCCATCGCTACGATGTACATACTTGAAGAAGGGGACTGCTTTGTTTTCTTCAAATCAAATCAAATCAAATCTTCAAACTTTCCCGGGTACCTATCTATGTGTCATTCGTTTATAAATTTTTTATCTACGCCACTGGTGAGCGATCAGTGAAATTTCATCATTTTATTATTAGGCTTACGTAACTCTACGGAAACGGGTTGATTCCTAATTAAAATGATGAATGTGCTATTAAATTGCTATCTGTATCTGCGTTAATTAGTAACAATAGGATGGGTATCATCAACTAGTGCATACAGCAAATTCCCAACCAGGGAAGCATGAGAGGTAGGATATTCTCCTGAGACATTCACTTGATATTCATGCCAACTACCATCACGAATTATTGTGAGAATGGATCCCCTCGTCATAGTATATAGGCAACCAATCATTCAAGAGAAGGTTTATTAATTCATAGAATTAATATATTTAAAACGATATATTCAACTTTCAACTGGTTGGAGGTTTATTCTATCGTACTGAGCTTGTTATAACTAGATGGTTTATTGTTTGATAGAATTTTTTGACGAAAATTCCAATGAATTTGAAATCTTCCAACTGCTCTCTTTGCGGATGGCTCACAATTACAATATTACATAAGAAGTCGATCACATAATAATTTTATAGAAGTAAAAAGAGATGGAAAATAAAATTAATAACACTATCGGCGAAATATGACATTGGTGAATTCTTCAGCATTATGAAGATCCAACTAGAAAGTTCTATATCCTAAATTTCAGTACGTAGTAGGGCCTCCCCGATTTAACAAAACCTCAAGAAATCGGTTCGGCATAGGTTCTATGAGGTTGTTGATGGTTGTCATTATTTTGGGGTGCCTCTCGCCTTCTTGATGGGTTAAGTTTCATTCGGCTCCACACATGTTCAATCAAATTCAGATCTGGAGATAATGCACGTACGTCACCACATTCTTCTAACATTATTGTTTTCTAGAGTTCGTAATTTGTCAGATAAGTTGTGAAACACTCAGTATATTGAACAACTATACTCTGTGTCTCATGAATGAGCAATAAATATATTGTCAATTAGTTGATAAGAATCATCATCGATATCAGGAAACAAGTTTGAATTGAAAATGTTCATCCTGTATTTCAATTATAGAGGAGAATTTTCGAACACGTCTCGAGTTGATAGTCTAATATAAATAATGGATATCGAGAAGGCCGTTTCTGAATATATTCGAATGGGCCATGGTTTTAGTCACCATTTGAATGTCCTATTTTCCTGTATATCCTGTCTGTCTGTCCTGTATATTCCACAATAGTGCTTTTTTCGTCTTTCATTGTCCTCCACAAAACATGAGAACAGTTCTTCCCAATAGTCAGCTCAAGTGGAGTTCTATAGAACTTTTCTTTCTCTATAGAGAAAAAAAATCAAGAAATGCAAGACTTTCGAAAAAAAAATCGAATGGCCAATTAAAGAGAAATCACGGAAACGTCCCGAGATGAGGTCCCAGTGTATCATAATCACATCATAATATGACCGCTGATATGACTGACTTTTGATCAGAAAAAAAATTCTCGAGTTCTGACAGCATTGGAAATGTAGACCATAGTGTAATGGTTCCACTCTACACCCTGTGTAAGAATTGTTCTGCGAACTTTTCCAGAGTGATCTAGCTCTCTTTGAAGCCGATGAAACATCACATTTGATATCGAAAGCCACATGAAGATCGGTCAATTTTTTTAAAAAAATACAGGTCTTCGTAACATAGTCAAATTATGAGTGGTCCATTTAGTGTGTTGAGAACTGTAGTTTCTTCTGTTTTTCAAACTACTATTTATTTTTTCCATTTACAGGTTCCAGAAAGCTTGCACGAAATACGGCGTCCCCGACGTGGACCTCTTCCAGACCACCGACCTCTGGGACAAGAAGAACATCGCCCTCGTGACCACGACCATCTTCGCCATCGGGCGCACCGCCCACAAGCACCCCGAGTGGCGGGGCCCCATTTTGGGGCCCAAGCCCTCCGAGGAGAACAAGCGCGAGTTCTCCGAGCAGCAGCTCAGGGCTGGGGAAGGGATGATAGGGCTGCAGGCGGGGCAGAATAAGGGGGCCACTCAGGCGGGGCAGAATTTCGGGGCTTCCAGGAAGATTATTTTGGGGAAATGAGAGCGTTTTACCGGGATTGCAAATGTAAATAAATCTTAATCGAATATTATATTTTGTGTAACTATCATTTGAGATTCATTCACTTACCTTCATTATTCAAAATGACGTGACGTCATATTGTCGTATATGGAGAGAAATTTCTATACATCTCTATGGAGAGATCAAAAAGACGTCCCAAACAAAGTCAACTTTTGTCATTCGTGTACACTGAACTTATTAACCTCTTCTATTATTTTCTACAGAATGTGCAATAAAATCTGAATCCTCTTCATTATCACCAGTTTTCGAAGGAATGTGAATATAATGTCATCTTTCGAGTGCATGAAAGTTAAAAATTTAATCTTCCATATTATTGTTTCACACAAACAATAAATATGGGAATCTAATCTACTAGTCCAATAAATAAAGGGAAAAAGTTAACATTAATTACGCACTATTTTCATCTTCCGGTTGGAAGTAGTTTTTGGTACCTCATTAAACATGAGACAAAGTTTGACTGGAAAACGCGTGCGATGGCGGAGAAAATGGCCCCAAAAGACCAGGAAAATAGGTTTTCAGCCAATATCTCCTAAAATATGGCAGTTAGAGATTTTCGGTTCAGATAAAAATTGAAGTTCAGTTAATTTTCTACAAAAATGGTCCTCATCATTTTTCTCGAAATTTTGACCGGTTTCGAGAAAAACGGCACGAAGCGCACCTCGAATAATGAGCTTCTGTGTTGTATGTCGGAGAGCACAGTCCGTGTATTTACACATCGGCAGGGGGGCCAAATTATTCAATAACTTTGTTAAAAATGCATATTTTCTCATGATTCAAAGTTCATGTGAAAGAGGAATTCTGCTGCTATCATACCCTCTGTGAATTGAGTCACGCTTGACTCTTTTGGCCATATCGGAACATGGGTCAAACTTTCTGCTCCCGGTCAATTTTGACTTCGCCAGGAATTTGTTCCTATTTTTTTTGTATTGCACTAATTTACTCAAAATTTTCTTGATTATGGGTCCTCATAAGGTCCTTTGTCATCCCTGAAATTTGTATACCCTAATTTTTTTCAATTTTCATTTAATCTTTGTTTATTGAATCCCAATTTTTTGCTGTTTTTGGAGCGCGGGGAAATTTTGTGAACAACCATCAATTAAAAATTTATACATGATCCGATTGGTTTCTATGATACATCATTTGAAAGCTAAGAAGGTCTAGAAATTAGAAAAAGCGGGGTCAAGGAAAAAACGCACTTTCTTTTTCGGTGGTTTTTTTCTCCGTGCTCTTTATTTCTAACATTTTAACACCTTAACTAGTGTAACGGGGGAATTCTCACCTTTCCATCGATGTATATAAGTCATACCTTTGATATCCCGGGAAAAAACCAGTATATCTAAATGTACACTATGTACGCTATAATTTATTACTTTCGTTCCCCCGTCGTTCAGCGCGTGTGTGCTCTACGTGGCGCTCGGGTCGTCTGCTACAAACCATGCGGCCACGCAGGGTATGATAGCAGCAGAATTCCTCTTTCACATGAACTTTGAATCATGAGAAAATATGCATTTTTAACAAAGTTATTGAATAATTTGTCCCCCCGCCGATGTGTACATACACGGACTGTGCTCTCCGGCATACAACACAGAAGCTCATTATTCGAGGTGCGCTTCGTGCCGTTTTTCTCGAAACCGGGCGAATTTTCGATAAAAATGATAGGGACCATTTTTGTAGAAAATTAACTGAACTTCAATTTTTATCTGAACCGAAAATCTCTAACTGCCATATTTTAGGAGATATTGGCTGAAAACCTATTTTCCTGGTCTTTTGGGGCCATTTTCTCCGCCATCGCACTCGTTTTCCAGTCAAACTTTGTCTCATGTTTAATGAGGTACCAAAAGCTACTTCCAACCGGAAGATGAAAATAGTGCGTAATTAACGTTAACTTTGCCTTTTTTTCCTCCTTCATTTATTGGACTATACAAGGGTGAGTCAATAGTGCCAATAGAGTGTATATAGGAAAAATTGGGATGAAAAAGCTATAGAGTTCCATGACAACTATATATCACATAAAATTATGTTCATATCTAAAGGGTGTACGAATTCCAAGATATCGGCTGATGATGAGTTTACCCCTGTCTTGAATGCATTAATTAAGCTACTTGCTCTTCTTATTTTGTCATTGAACACTTTATATACTGATGACAGATTTTTATATGTCAATATTGGTTTTGAATGACGACACACGCCATTATTTTAAATGATATTCTTCCTTCTTCTCACTAAATATGGATAAATCGCAAGAACATCATATTTCTAGTGCGATCCAAAAAACAGGCGGAAAAGAAGGTAAGATTAGTACCTTTATTATAGTGAAATATCTTAATAAATAATGGTTTGTTCATATTTGAATAATGAAGACTATACAATATGGATTTGTAGTATTTGTACTCATAAAAATAAATAACAATTATATAGACAAGCATGACAACTTTTACAGAAAAAATAGCAAGTTTCATTCGGATCAAAAGTGATACTCTGACAAGCGAAATTTTCGTTTGCGATGCGGAGGGATCGACTGTCAAGCCGAGTGTCAGAACCCCATTTGTTTTTGGGAATGTCACTACTGAAAGATCAGAGAAACGACTATGGTAATAATTAACATAATCTTTATTAGTCTGCCTCAATAATTGTATAACAAATTAATCATTAGGACAGTTGAATCAACTTGGAAAACAACAAATAAAATATTTTAGTTTCAGGCACTCTCAACAGGTTTCAATCTTAATAAGAATCTCAGAAGTTAGAACTACGTTGTGATGTATAAAGGCACTATTAATTAAACTCAACAAACCTCAATTCATAAGAAAAATATGAACAAAAACAAAAGGATACTCTAAAAATAGTTAGAAGTAGTTGAATTTAAACATTAGTGAAATTAATAAAAAAAAAATATCAACTTGAACTAATGCAAAGTTAATAAAACAATCTGTACCAGATTAAAAACTCACGAAATAATCATTTTCAAAATAATAAAAGAAACAGTCATTGCAAGAAATTTAAAATTAAAAGTTTGAATTAAAACAAAAGAATCACAGTCAAGTCATGAATTTTCAGGGAGTAGATTGCTACTCCCAACTCATTTAGTAGTGATCATGAATTGTGAACTGAAATTAGAAAAAAAAATTAAAAGAACCGCAGTTCTACTAAAAAGTGGCCGCAATTCAATAGCAGAACTAAAACATAAAAGAAATCTCAAATAAATAATAATACTCTTTCCAGACATGATATCTTTCAGTCGCTAAAAGAATAATATAAAAAAAAAACAACGGATTTCCAGACCTTCAGTGGCAATAAAGAAAATCTGAGGAATAAAATAAAATGTGAAATCATTCTTTGACAATTTTTTGACTACTTAAAATCATCAATATTAATTTTGGAAATGAACCTAATTTTTTTTTCGAACATTTCAGATCACTTTCCTCATCACAATAAATAATTGTACTGTTTAATTAATTTAGTACGCTGAACACCGTACTGGTTAAAACACAGTATGTTGACCCATTCAACATAACAAAAAAAAACTATAATACTGTCAATGAAATAGTAAATTAAACATAAAACTGTAAAATTCATGTAGAAAATTGACCATATTTACATCATAGGATAGTGCCTCATTGAACAGTATGCCAGTCATAGTTATCTACTTTGTTACACTCAAACAGTACAGGAAATCACTCTACAGGGTGGCCATTTGAAAACGAAACAGAGGCTCCGTAAATCCCCAGACCTGGATTGAAAAAAAAAAAACACTGGAACAAACTAGATTTTCGAGGAATACATCGTTCCAGCGCTGCGGTGTTGCCGCTTCTATGGAAAAGTAGCAACAACTTCGTTGTTCCAAATTATACCCTGTATTTCAACGAATTTTAGATTCTCCCTGAAGACCTGATTCCATAAATATATCGCACTTGGGGGAATGATTACAGAGATATATATATAGGGTGTTCAAAATCGAGATTTTTTAACTTTAGTATTTTTTTGTGTCGAAACTATTTATTATTGGTCAGAACGACTTACTTGCCCCTATCTTGACTTTTGATTCAATTTGATACAGGGTGATCAGAATTCTAAATATTGAACCACCCTGTATTTGTTTCAATTAAATATTAGTAGATAGTAAAGTTGAGATAGGAATATGTGAGCCGCTTTTACCAATAATGAATAGTTTTGACACCAAAAAATCCGAAAGTTGGAAAGTCTCGATTTTGAACACCCTGTAATTCCCGCTAGACCCCAAATGTGATGCATTGATGAAATCAGCTCTTCAAGTAGGATCTAAACATGAAATGAAATACATACAGGGTATTCCAGTTGAAATAACAAAGTTTTTGCTTCTTTTCTTCAGAAGCGGTAACGCCGCAGTGCTGAAAATATTTCAAAACGATGTCTCTGTTTCGATTACAAATCGCAACCGAGTAGGGTTTATTCAAAAACATCAACGTTCAATTTTTATTATCAAAAATAAAAGAAAAAATATTGAACTATGTATGGGTTGATTGAATAACCCTGTACATGTACATGGATCAACAGGTTCTCAAATTCGTGTTTTGAACAGTACACACCTATTCCACCGCATTACTTCAATTAAACAGTACACACCCCTTCCACACAAGTACTGCATCAATCAAATAGTATACCGTATACTGCTCAAATTGAACAGTACGCGTATTTTCCACCGTACTGTTCCAATTATTAAACAGTCAATCAAACAGTACACCGTATACTGTTTAAATTGAACAGTACGCGAATCTTCCACCGTACTGTTCCAATTATTAAACAGCCAATCAAACAGTACACCGTATACTGTTTAAATTGAACAGTACGCAAATCTTCCACCGTACTGTTCCAATTATTAAACAGTCAATCAAACAGTACACCGTATACTGTTTAAATTGAACAGTACGCGAATCTTCCACCGCACTGTTCCAATTATTAAACAGTCAATCAAGCAGTACACCGTATACTGTTTAAATTGAACAGTACGCGAATCTTCCACCGTTCTGTTCCAATTATTAAACAGTCAATCAAACAGTACACCGTATACTATTTGAATTGAACAGTACGCGAATTTTCCAGCACACTGTTTTAATCGTTAAACAGTACCGCTTTCGTCTGTCGTGACTCCGTTACAGATAATCCCATCGCCGTTTTCGCGATGGTGTTTGACGGCCCGCCAAATCCTCAATTCGGTTGCCCCTCTCAACCCCACCCGTCTCAAGTCGTCTCGCTCGATGTGGTAAAGGACATCTTCGAGCGTATAACCTGATAATAAACATTTTTTTTAAATTTCTTTGCATTTTATCAATGAATTTCAATCTGTTTGATAATATAGGGTTGTCAAAGAAAACCGGAATTTCGTTTTCGAAATATAACTTTCTTATTGATGGACCGCTTTAATTGATTTTGGTCTTGTTTTTTCATAAAACAAAATGGCGGACATATCGAATCTTCGCCGAACTTGAAAACTTGCTGGAACTTTTCTGAATCCAATTTGAATAGGAATAGAAAGTTGGAAAAAAATAGAAGAGAAAAGAACAAATGTGCATGCAATGGTTTTTCACAAACTTCACAAAGAAACGAAAATTAAAATATTAGAAATATTTTCTCATTGAAAAAATGTTATATTCATTGATGAAAATTCCTACCTTCGGCCAGGATGGCTTTTCTGGCGTTCTCTCTGATCCCAAGACCCTCCAACCACCTTGCCAAGTAGGGGTCTTCTTCGACCTCTTCTTGTAGAGGTGGTTGCAGCTGAAGCTGATGGTTTCGGTGGTGGCAGGAGCACAACGCCTTTAGGGTTTCAGTCGTTTGGCAGTGGCCCTCTAACAGTTGTTTCATCTTAAAACAGAATTGGTCAAGTTCGGAACTCAAACAATCTTTTTTTATTGTTCTCAATTTATTTTGAGAGGGAGGAGAAGACTCCCACAAATATTTCAGTATACAGCCACAGTCAAAAATAAAAAAATCTTCAACAGCATCCAGAAGAAAATAGGTGGAGATTTTAATAACATTCAAAAACCTTCCTAGATTGTGTTTAAAGCGGAATTTTTTTTCACAGGTCTGAAATTTCTCAAACGTACATTGATAACGAGGCCAGTTGAAATAATCTTAAGTGAAGCTCTAGTCTTATCACATCTGAACTATTGTGATGTCTTATACGATCGCTTTCTCAGCACAAAAGACGAAAGTCGAATCCAAAAGCTTCAGAATTCGTGTATGAAGATGATCTTTGGGGTACGAAAGTATGGTCACATTATAGTCACCTATTCAAACTCATAAAATGGCTGAAAATGAAAAACAGAAGATATATGCACTCTGCATATTCATTCCAAAAAATCATAACTGACAAAACTCCGCCGCATCTTCATGAGAAACTGAAATTCCGTACAGATGTTCATAACCTCAATATCAGGTCTAAAGGACCCTTATTAACAGTACCCCTACATAAAAGTACTCACTTTCAACGCCTTTCATACAGTTACAGTATTACCAAAATTTATAATGAACTACCATCAAGAATTAAGTACTCCACTGCTAGTGCATTTAGATCCAGATTACTTGAATGGTTACTAAGTCGTCAATAATTGCTATAGTTTTGAATATGTGAAGTCTTTTACCAATGATTACATACAAAGTGTTTTTTTTTCTCCTTAATTTCCTTATTATTTCTTGTAGATGTCTATCTGTTTGCTGGGTTAGGTGGAAGAACAGACATTCTAGACCCCTTTCAGGATTCTAGAATGAATTGAACCTCGCCCTATCTTTTATATTATTCATTATTATGTGTCGAATCGTGATTAATAAAGACCTTTATTATTATTATTATTATTATTATTATTATTATCATTATTATTATTATTATTATTATAAGGAGGAAGAATAGCTTCAGGGATGTGGGCCTAATATTTAGAAAAGGCTATCAACAATAACATTGTCGGAAATTTGGAGGAAGGCAAAAAAACCAAACCATACATGTTAGACCTCATTTGAAACAAAGAATTGCGGCTTCAAGAGCGTACCTTTTTTTTGTGAGAGGGACAGACAAAAAGTGTTAGGGAGTATAGAGAGGGCGGACAAAACCAACTCAAAAACTGAAATAAAAAAAATAAACATTGCGGCTTCACAGGCTCATCATTTTTTTTTCTGATGCAGAATGAAATGGTAGTATACAGGGTATGTCACGACAAGCTTACACTATCTTACAGGATATCCCTTTTCGTGGGAACCAGAACATAAAAAAAAAATAATCTCCGACCCCGAAAACACCCAGATAACAATTCTGAAGAGAGTCGGATCATAATTACAATACTCGTCCGCCATATTGGGTCCGCCATCTTGAATTTCCTAATTTTAACGAAAGAATCATAATCTCAGACCTCAAGAACCACCAGATACCAAATTTGAATAAAATCGGATCCTAATTACAAAATCCGCCATTTTGGATCCGCCATCTTGAATTCCTCAATTTTGACGAAGAAATCATAATCCCCGATCACGAAAACCCCTAAGTACCAATTCCGAAAAGAATCGGATTATAATTACAAAACTCGTCCGCCATATTGTTTCCGCCATCTTGAATTTCCAAATTCCGCCCGAATTTTCAAATTCTGACAAAGGAATCATAATCTCTGACTCCGAAAACCCCCAGATACCAATTTTGAATAGAATCAGACCATAATTACAAAACTCGTCCAAAATATTAAATCCGCCATCTTGAATTTCCTAATGGTATCGGGATAAAAAGTATCCTATAACCTTCTCCTGGTTCTAAGCTACCTCTCCACAAATTTTCAGCCAAATCGATGCAGTAGTTCAATACATACAAAACAAACAAACAACTCTCTCCTCTTTATAATATCAGTACAGATAATATTCCAGGGGCGTACCTATTATTTTTTCAAAAAGTCAACATTTTTAAATTTCTTCAAAATCCTCTGAAAAAAAAATCGAAATTCATTCAGTGGCATTCGCGATTTCTTCTGGAAGGGGTCAAAAAAAGTCTGGATTCACCATCTCAAAAAAAAAAAAACGCAACCTATCCATATTTCTTCAGTAGCCATTAAACCATTATTAAAAATACTTCAGGGGCGTATCGTTTCTTTCCAGGGAGTTGAAAATTAATGAGAACATTTTTAAATTTCTTCTAGGTCACTGAAAAAAAAAAAAAAATCGAAATTCATTCAGTGGCATCCACAATTTTTTTTCGAGGGGGTCAAAGATAATAAAGTCTGAATTCACTACCTTGAAAAAAAAAACGTATCCAAATTTCTCGAGTAGCGAACCAAATTTTTTTCTCAAGGACTCCGAAAAAATTGAAAAATCAAAAGAAAAATCTAAACACTCACCGTCGCCTGGTACTGCTTCTGGCACTCGACCAGATCGCGCAACAGCTTCGCGTCCACCGTTCGGCCCCCCACCTCGAACCCCTCGTTGATCTTGCCCGATTTCGACGAGTTGACGGTGCTGGGCGAGCTGTGATTGGCTATGTGCTCGACGAACTCGGGCGTGAGGACGGTGATGGCCGCCTGGACGCACGAGCGGACGAGGTTGTCCAGAGCGAACACCCAGTGTGGTTTGATGGGGTGCAGACGAAGGACTTCAATGACCGACTCCTAAGGAAAGTTGCGAAAAATAATATTTTTTCTGTGACGGGAAAAAAGTTTGGCATTTCATCTCTGTTAGCAGGTTATAAAATATCACGGAAAAAAAGTGAGTTTTTTTTCCCGGATATACAGGGTGTTCTGTAAGTACGTGTAGAAAATTCAGGAGCATGTTGCTGACGTCTATATAGGAAGAAAAGTTCGTATAAACATATGTCCTAAAGTTATCCGTTTCTGAGATACAGAGTGTCAAAGTTGAATTATTATTGGAAGAGTTCAAAAAAGCAGGTACAAATGAGTAAGAACCATATTTTGCCCTCGATTTTGCCTACATTCCAATGTTGAATGAAGAAGAATATTGAATGAAAGAAGAAAAATGCACTGGCGTATCTTTTCTGATATTCACTAGAGGCGACTTACGAGCCACATTTTTTTTTTTATATCGCTTGGAGCGCACGAAAGGGAATCACAATATTGTTCAGAGAACATCGTGCGTTCCTAGGGAGGATAGGGACAGGAGGTGGGTATTGGAATTTTTTTTTAACTTTTGGAGATTATATGTTGTTGGGAAATAATTTGAATGCATCGATTATTTCGAATTCCAATTACTCGAAAACAGTTGCTCGCAGCGACCTCTACCAAGTATATATTTTTTACACAAAAGTGTTCTAGAAATCAATTTTTTACTATGAAACGTTATACAGGTACGCACAAAAATGTTATAACTTTTCAAAAGACTCAAAAGACATGTACGTGGCGTGGCGCCACACCCACGAAAGAGACAAACCAACATAAAATTTGATATTGTCATTGAAAAATACCCCTAGCTATCAAATCTTATTCCAATATCACAATTATTTTGAAATTTATTAACAAAAAACAAAAATAAGAATTTGACTTTGGTTCTGTATCTCAGAAACGAATAATTTTCGGACATATATTTATACAAACTTTTCTTCTTATTTTGACGTCAGCAACATGCTCCTGGATTTTCTTCACGTACTTAAGAAACACCCTGTATATTACATATATATATATATATATATACACTGTTGATGGCTTTTGTTGTGCTTCCATTTGACTTCGCGGTTACGTATTTTACTAAACAACCACCAAATTCGCAATTTTTTGAAATCAAATCACAGGATTAGACTGACAGAAGTGACATCAGATATTTGATTTCTTCAAATGAATGATAAAGATGCCTACAACGTAGGTGTCCCTACTGTTAAAAACTTAAAATTTCACGTCGATAATTTTCAGATTTCAAAATAATGTAATATCTTCTCAATATTAATTTGTCCTTTCCTCTGTCACAGATACTGATATCTTGTTTCTTAGGAATAATAAAGTTGATCGATTGATATGAAAACTAGCAGACCTCTCTTGTTGTTTTACTATACAGGGTGATCCACGGTGGATGGTCTATTAGAAGTATCTGGAGAACAAAGAGATAGAACATTGTGAAAATTGGGATGCTTTGATCATAATCCCCGATCACGAAGACGCCTAGGTACCAATTTTGAAAAGAATCGGATTATTGTTACAAAACTCGTCCGCCATATTGGTTCCGCCATCTTGAATTTCCAAATTTCGCCCGAATCTTCAAATTCTGACGAAATAATCATAATCTCCGACCACGAAAACCCCCAGATACCAATTTTGAATAGAATCGGATCATAATTACAAAACTCGTCCTATATATTAGATCCGCCATCTTGAATTCACCGCCCCACCAATTTTCAGCCAAATCTATCCAGTAATTTCACAGCCTATTCAATACATACATACAAACAAACAAACAATCAAATCTTTCCTCTTCATAATATTAGTATAGAAAATTGCTCTTCAACAGAAAAAAATATAATACATTTCAAGTAATCAAATGAATTCATCATTTGATTTTGTATGAAAATCAAGTATACTGAACAAATATTTCTTCAAATTAATTTTCAAATGTTTAGGAAAGAAATATCTCACATTTTTCATATCGTTTTTATACAATTTGAGGTTAAGTTTTGAAACAAGAAAAAGTTTATTTTATAATATACTAACTTGATACAAATAGATGGCAAACTGTAATTGATTGATAGCTGCTGCATCATAATCCAACTCCTCTTGTAGATGCCTAACAGCACATTCAACTACACTCATAGATTGTTCTGTTAAATAGGCTTTGAGAGCCTCCATCAACCTTGAAAGATGTTTTTCAGTAAGGACTGTCTCTCCTAAATATTTATCACGAACCTGAAATGAAAAATCATGAAACTCTTTATTTTTTGGCAAAGATTTCAGTGAGATGACTTACTTTTTGTAACCATACATCACATATTTTTGTGCCATCATTAGCCAAAACTTTGGCTAGAGTGGTACGTCTCTGGGAGTCTTTTTTGAGCAAATAAAATCCATCAGTCTCTGCACCAATGCCTGAATCTACTTCAGGAGATAACAGGGTACCAGATGAATTTCGTCTTTCTGTAGTGGCACTTTCAGATTCACATTCCAATGAAGGAGTGGAAGCCAAGCTACAATGTTTATTGAATGTTTTTAGCAAGTTTACAAACACCTACTGAACATTTTTGAAATCAATAAAGTTGATTTACCTCATAGTAGGTACTTAATAAATTATAATACAATGTCTAGTAGCTTGAACACTTTATGTATGGAAAATACATTCTATTCCTCACAGGCATAGAATAGAAATTTATTGTTATATTATTGTCAAGATCTTTTCAACTGTTAAAAGGGTGAGAGGTTCATGTATAAAATTTCATTGGAACTTAATCACCTTAGACTTGGGCCCCAAATTTAATGATGAAAATTCATTTCCCTCAAAATATCTAGTATATTTTGAAGATCAATGGACTATAATTTGTGTTCAAGCAGATTTGAAAGTTCTGGATTGGTTGATAAATTTAAGCTATAATAATACTGATAGCAGAACATTTGATTGAGAAATATTTCAAAGATGAATTATTACTAATCACCTCATGAAAAATAACCCATCATTTAAAGACATGTAATAAGTTTACATCAGAGCAATACCATTAAAAGCTACTTACTACCATAATCAAGAGCTGTGAACAGAGAAGAAAGCAAAAACCACATGAAAAATTACCTGTTGAAAGTAAGGGCAGTAGGCATTTGGATTGGTGCTAGAAGGGCACTTCGACTATGGGAGCTGCAAGGGAATCATGAGTTTCACAACAAGCAACACAAAAACATTTATGGGGCACAGTTTGTCATTGTCTATAGGATTCAAACATGTTTCATATCACAAATCACAAGTTCTAAATATTTCAATAATAATTCAATAAATCTCAATATCATACAGTAAAATGTTTTATCAAAGAAGGGCTTTCAAAGCAGGAATAACAGCTGATTTATATTATTGTTTAAAAAAAAGGGTACAAAGTAAATTAGCTGAAGGTTAAAAGAAAAAACATAATTCATTTTGCAGAAAAAAACAAAAAGCAAATAACAATAAAAACAATCTCTCATCTGGAAAGAGATAAGCAAACACGAACAAATTTGAACTTTACCACTTGCCCCAGTATTTGATCAACATATCGTCCAGGTTCAGAATATTTGGAAAAATCATTTTGGAGTTTGAACCAGAACTCCATACATAATCGGCACAAACTGACATGGATTTTGAGGTTAGGAACTTTTTCAAAACAGATTTGGGAGAATTCGAGTTTACAGGTTGAGCACACAGGGCAGGAAACAAAAAGGATTTTGGCCGTGTCTAGTACACCGACGGCAAGGATATTTAGTTCTGAAAATTATATTCTCATACAAATAGGTTCAAAACACGCACGGACCCAGCAAAACACAACAAAACAACAGAAATCTACATATAAAATATGTGTTTCCTATAAATAGAGCGTTTCCAGAAAAAAAATGGTGTATACCAGACCAGGGTTTTTATTTGAATATCAACTACACTTTTTCCTGTTGTATTTCAGAAAACATCAATTCAATTTCAAAAAGCGTCAATTGTATTCCAGAAAGCGTGAATTGTATTTCTGAAAGTATCATTTGCATTTCAATTGATATTTTCTAAAATACAATTGACACTTTCTGAAATTCGAATGATTATTCTAACATGAAATTGACGCTTTCTGAAATGGAAATGACTATTCTGAAATACAATTGATGCTTTCTGAAATACATGTGATGCTTTCTGGAATTATAGAAATGATTAGAGAGACTAATAAATAGAAGAGTGGCGACAATAGATAGGAAAATGGTTGCCGTTTCCGGAACGTTCATTCGTGGTCAAATCACTGAATAGCTAAAACTCTGAAGGATATCTCTCATGCAGTAATGAACTTGCGCCTTCGAAGTGCCTACCTGATGTTAGGTTAGATATTTGATATTTTCATTCCATTATCTGAATGATCTGAAACGAGTCCCAAAAGACGGATTCTAATAGTTAATATTCAGGGTACCGGCGTATAGAGTTCCATGTCTGATTATTGGATGTTTTGTGTCCAAAAAGCGAGAAACAGTGACAAAGTGACATAATATAATGCTTATAACTCCTGAATAAACGACAAGACAGGCGGATTCACTTTCATATATGATCACTATTGTCGCCACTCTATTTTATAAAGTCACTCTAGAAATACTGATTTATTCAAAAGTAGTCGTGGTTTACCTTTCGTGACATAAGTCAAATGACCCATTGACGACCGTTAATTCAACCCTGCAGCTATGCAGGTGAGCAAGAGAAGCACAAAATATAATAATTCATAGTGTTAGATTATTTGAGGAAAGAAAGAGTTTAGTAAATTATTGTTGTTTGCCAAAGCCATAATTATGCAAGTGATGAATTGGATAAGTTTATAAATAGCCATGAAAAGTAGCATAATCATGACGTCATTGTGCTTGCCCGGTGCTTCTGACGTGAGCTTGATCTTGAATCTCCAGTACCAACTGTATATCTCACAATACATTGCTTCATATAATACCAGGAATAATTGACCTATTTCAACAATATATATTTTTTATAGAATCATTTTGAAACATTACAAATAGACAGACAGAGTGACGTCATTATCATCGGCAAAACTGAAGAAACAGACAATTTTGTATGTAGACATGTAACAAAAAAACAAAACAAAAAACAAAATGGAAAAAAAGCATTCTGCAACAAAACTAACCCTCAAAATGACAATAATACTGAACACTTACTCTGCTTCCGGGGAAGTAGGTGTTTGATTGGGGGCACTGCTATGACCGGGATGCCTGGACGACATTTTTTCAGCAGGTACCGATACGCTACGACTGAAATCTGTGTTTAATCGAATATTTTTTTGTCTTCTTTCAGGACCTGGAAAAACAAAAACTCAGAAAAATGTCAAAAGAATGTTACTTGACGAAATTCTCAGCGACAGGATTTTTTTATATGGTAGCAGTTTCAAAACTGTGTTCCCGTAGTTTTCGAAATATCAGTTATTAAAAAAAAACGATTGAAAAAACGTTGCACAAGATCTGTCATTACAGTTATTTTTTGCGACCTGTCTCTTGACGATAGTAACAAAACATGTCGCGAGTCAGCTTGTAGCTTCTCGCTTGCGAGAACTAGTCACGCTGTCAAATTTTTTTCTATGCGTCGCGTTGACGGTTTAGAATAAAGCGGAACAGTATGATGTCTTGATTATGATTAAATTATCTCAAGAAGACATTGTGTATATGGAATATGCAATTGCTTAAAAGCTGACGCAATCTCACACAAATTGAACTATTACATGGCGTCGATTTGAACGTTTATGCTTGCCATGTCAAAATACGCTGCAGTAAAATAACAGATGAGGGCAATACAACATTTTTAGTGCAATAAAGAACCACTTTTTCTACTAAAAATAGTTCAATAAAGGTTCGTTTTTTGTATGAACGAGAAATATTAATAAAAACGCAAAGCACTAGTCTAGGGATCCTGCTCGTCGGGCACCTCGGGAACATGTTGAAAACCTATGAAAATCATGATTTGAAAGATGCATACATTAACGGCTATGTGTTCGAAGTTTCAATTTAAATCGACGGTTTGAAGACAAAACATTTATACATTAGCTTCAAACAGCCCACTGAACAAAGGTATAAAAACATTCAACAGTCTGCCACAGTATATTAGAGATATTCCTAACTTTAGCCAATTTGAAAATAAAATATAAATGTATGTTCAAGAGGAAGATTGATAGTTGTTTTGAGAAATCGGTGATTTCAAATGTATTTTGAGTGGTTATTATGTGTAGGTGATTTAGAAGTTTTAATATATATTTTAGTATTTGTGACTTTAAACTTGTCCGTTTGAATATATGTATTGTATTTTTGTATTTTCGTTCCGGGACCAGCACTGTTGCTAGTTGATTAGGAAACAACTTTTGTTCAAATGTCCAAAATGATTTGTTTTATTGTACTGTTTGAATAAAAAGTACTTGAAAAAAAAAGTTGGTCAAAATCACGTTGGTAGTTTCCACGTTACAAATATACAAAGGTACAAACATACCCACCAAGCTAATGTTGATTAATAAAAAATACAAAGCACTCGCCTAGAAAGGGATCTTCGAGCAGCTCGGAGGCGGTGGCCCTTTTGTCGGGATCAGGCTCGAAACACCTCATGATGAAGGATTTCGCCCTGTCGGAGAGCTCCTCGGGCACCTCGGGGTGCGCCTTGTAGTACCCCACGCGGAAAACGGCGGCCTGGGGGGAGTCGAGCTCGATGAAGGGCGGTTTGCTGGTGGCCATCTCCACGATGGTGCACCCCAGGGACCAGATGTCAGCCGGAGGACCGTACCCTAACGATCGGAACGGAAATTTAGTAGATACTGGGACAATTTGGTAGATACTGGGACATTTTAGACCGACAGGAGGCGTGGTTTGGGCGGTGCTCGACCTTGGACGGGGCAGGAACTTGGTCTTGATAGGATGGAAATATGTCATGGGTTGGTAGCCTAGAATCGGGGGTGTGGTTTCGATGTAATCGGTAGTAAACACTTTCAAGTTATTCTGATTACAGAAATTTGTTATGTATCATGTTAATCCAATAATAAAGGTTAGTTGTTTTTTGTCGTTTTTTTATCTTACCTCTGTGCCCCTTGTCGATTACTTCCGGTGCCATATACTGAAGGGTGCCAGTGAAAGTGACTGCTGCTGTACTCCTACCTAAGCCGGCAAGTCGTTTTGAGGTGCCAAAATCGGAAATCTTGACGACCCCACTGTAAGTGTTAACTAAAACGTTATCACCTGAAAGAAAAAAATAAAGGCGATATTCAGCCAACTGGCATTATTATCCTTTTTTGTAGAATAAAAAGCGGTAAAGTGTTGATGATATTTACTGTTTCATTATTGAAATATCCTAGGTTTCTTAGAATACCGAATGAAAAAAATATTTGTGGCGGAAGCTCACGTCATATTCAATAGAAAAAACTAAGTCGCTATGTCGAACAAAAATCTCCGAATTTGAAAATGATAACTGAACATAATAATCCAAAACAGTAGAAGGAACTAACGAAATATTTGACTATTCTGACGAAATATTAAGATAATGTTCTTGCCAACATCGATATGCAGACACTGATTACAAGTAATGAGCAAAATATGTCCTAAATCATGAAAATCATCCATATCTCAAAGAGGTCCAAAGAAATTTCAAAGAAAACAAGTAGCTAGTCACCGACTTTGAGCTGTTTGTTTTCTTTGAAAATATGTCCTTTTGAGCAAAAAAGTTCAGCTATAGTCCAGTCTTTATTTGTCCTCAACTACAATCCGTTTACTAAGAAAACAGGGTAAATGAAAAACACGTCAGAATTTTCTCATTTTTATACCAGGACATAAAAATTGAAGCACTGACTAAGTATTTCGAATCTTATTAGGTCATAATCAATAGAAAAAAAAATCGCTATTTAGTAGGTACAAAAAATCTAAGAAACTGACATATTAACAACTGAAAATAATGAATAATAATCCAAAACAGTAAAAAAACTAACAGAATATTTGAACATACTGCCGAAATATTTAGATAATGTTCTCGCCAATATCAATATACAGACATTGAAAACAGGACATTCGCAAAATATTTCGTTTAGAGCAAAAAAAGGTCAGCAAGTCCAGTCATCACTTGCAATCACTCCATGCCATGTACTGAAAAACTGGGAAAGTTAGCAACATTTCCATATAAAAATTACATTAGACCAAAATTATTCTGTAACTGTTTCAGTTGACTTCCTACAATAGTTTTTGAGATACCAAGTTGCAGCCAAAATGAACAAAAGAAAAACGTTTTTTTCACCTTTGATATCTCTGTGGACGATCTTCTGGTCATGCAAATATTTCAGCCCCTCTAGTATCTGCTTGGTGTAGTAAACCATGGTGTGCTCGTTGGACTTGAGAGGGCCCCACTTGGACCGCAGCAGAGCGCTCAGAGAGCCTCCGGGCACCTGTTCCATGAAAATTTTGAAGTAGTTGTCTTCGGATAGGGACCCGAGGTATTGGACGATGTTCCTGTGATGCATGTGGGCGTGCAAGCGGATTTCCTCGTGCAGGGGTTGAACCACCCCTAGATTCTTCTCTGGAACTTCCTGAATTATACATTTTGCCTTCAATCTTGATACTTCAATTTTTTTGTCGAAATTCCATTAATTCTTGCAGATATTTCGACTTTCATTTCGAAATTATGACTTTTCAATCAAAATTTTGGGTTTTGACAGTTGGATATTTTGAAAATTCTCTTTTTTCCTTCAGGTACAAGAATTTGTACATTCAGAAATCATCATAAACAAAAAATGTCCAACTATGATAAAAAACAATGTTCAATCAGAATTGTATTGAATTCTTTTGAATTTTCTTATATTTTTATCAAATTCGCATTCTTCTTGTCGAGAGACAAGACAAACTTTCGTCTAACCTTCACAGCAATTCTGACTTGAGTGTTGAGGTCTCTGGCAGCATATACCACCCCGTAGGTACCTTTGCCCAGAACGACTTTCCGACCCATTTCATCGCGTTCGTACTCGTACTTGATTTCCCTAGGTGGCTTTGATTCCAACAGGCCTTCTTGATAGTTTGTCAGTTCCAGGAATAATTTGTAGAAGGCTTCTCTGAAAAAAATAAATAAAAATACAAATTAGGATGTAGAGACAACTCTCACCAAAGCTTCTGTATTGAGATAATCCCTAATTATATGTATACTAGCTTCTACCCGGGACTTCCCTCGCGTTGATGAACTGAACTGAAACAATGGGATTCCGAATTTAAAAATTATTACATACAATGAAGTTTCAAAAACTGAAAACATGCTTTTTTGAAATGATTCACTACAACAAAAATAAGTTATTTGTTGCGCCCTGTCTGTAGATGGACCAATTCAGGTAGTATTGAATCGTGCTTTCTGATTGCACAGAAGACTAAAACGTCAATGTCCATTATGTCTGTCATTCATAGTCAAGTCACTGAATTGCTAAAAATCTGAAGGGTATGCCATCTACTGATTGATCCCTGTTGCTATTTTATGATATGATCAGATTCAGAATTTTCAAGTTTTTTTCCTTGTTGTCACCTCATATCTTATTTCTGACTGGGAGCTATTGTCTCAATAAACAATTAACAACTATAAAATGTCAGAAACTGAGGATTTTCGATCCATTTTATGACTCACCGGCATGTTTCTGATGGAAGATATATCTGGAAGTCATCGGAATTTTGGTGGACATAAAGAATAATGCATCTCTCATCTTTCTTGTAAAAGCTCAGGCCTCGAATTTGTCTTGCGGTGAATTCCCAATCGTGAATTTGTGTGCACTCTCCTCTAAGACTTTTATCACATAAATTCGTTACCTGAAAGAGTCGATCATTTTAGAAAAAAAATTGATAGCAGCTGCTCAGTAATAACTTACTGTGAGGTTTTGGGGTTCAGCACCTAAATTGACACAGACGTAGCTGGGCATCAGTTCTTTGCTGGGTTCCAGGATCAAAACAGGAAATCTGAAGGTCCCTTCCATCTCTGTTTTGGTTGCTTCCAGAAAAAATTCCATCCAGAAATGGAAAATTTGCTCTTCTGGGCTCCCCACCTAAACATTTTTATTATTGGATTTCCTGAAATGATGGAGCTTCTTGGCTCAACACGTTTGCACTAGCTTGCGTTTGAACGCAGGTGTCAAATTTGATCCAATAGAACATGATGATTCACAGAAAAATTTATTTAACAAAATTGATCTTGAAATATTGAAAATTATGCATCTTGAAATTGACATTGGTCCCAAAATTGATCTTTGTGGTACACCATAACATACCACACTCAATATCCACTGATGTACAATCATATTGCAGAGCATATCATCTCAACAATTTCACAATTTGTTTGTAATATTTACTGATTATTAAGGTTAGGACAAACTGAATTATTTTTTCAGAAAGAACCTAATAGTTTTCGTTTTATCAAAAAAGGGGATATTATATTCCTTACCAATATGGTTGGTTGAGAAGATGAACATTTGGTCATTTATAAGAATATCCAAAAGACACAACAACTTATGGTAGGCCAAACTTGAAGACCCATTAGAGCTAGGTTCAAAGAGCATATTGCACATTTGAAGCATGGTAGATGTTGCAAAACATTATGTTCAACCACAATAGGTGAGTGGACTATTTTTTTATTCCTTAAATATAATCATTACTAAATTACCTACCTACCTAAAAATTAGATAATGTAAAAAAATTAGATGCATTGATTCATGTGAAACGATTTGAAAAGGATAATAGTTCGACACATCCTTATCTACATTTTCAAAATGTGTTAATTTTCATGAATTAACATACTTTCAAAAGGAATCTTGATATTCAAGGGTATGGAACATGAAAAGTGGACATGTACATTTTGCTGGAAGAAAAATTGAGTCTATAGTTTCTGTTCATAGTTTTGCTCTTGAGATTACCTTGAAGGAATGAAACATGTTAGCCTGGAATTGAAATATTTCCAGTCAAAAAATATTTTCACCGTGTCCAGGATTTTGTAGATCTACTCAATCTGTGAATCTGTGAGGAATATCGTATAATGTGATTTACTCACCTTATTTATTTATTTATTAATTAATTTATTGAATCAAGTAAAATCTACATTTTGTCATTGAATATCAATTACATGTATATATATTTCATATTGTATCTCCTTCACCTGTGTGTGAAAGAGATGAAGTATTTCACATATGAAATTGTTTTTCCATAATGTAAATACTTAAACTGAAAACAAATAATCAATTCATGCAATAATGAGAATAAATTGGAATAAAGAAAAATAGAGGTGATTAAAAAAGAATGAAAAGATCACCGATTTTTTTCGCATTTTCTATAAGCAACCCATAACTTCTTTTTTGAAAGTTATTTAATTTAGGTATAAAACATTAAAATTGCAAACTTTTTTCCCGTCACAGAAAAAATATCGTGTCGTCGCTCACCAAATCGGTTTTCTTGCGCACCCTGTCGATCAGCTGTATATTATCGACGGTGGACTTCAAATGCCAATTGGGCGGCTTCAGCTTGAACATGTACGCGGCCGCTTGGATCGCCTTGCTGTACTGCTGAAACAGCACCGAAATCTCGAAGAAGGTGGCCACGTCCCAATAGTCGCTCAACGAGGCCAAGCTGCCCTTTTTGCCGATGAGATTGTTCAAGGTCATGCCGATGTGCTCGAGTTCGTCCGACTTGCCGATCTCGGCGCCCTTGGTCACCAGCAAGGTGGCCAGATTTATGCCTAACAGATCAAACGTTTTTTATTGCATGTTTTGGATGACTAATGGGATACACCTCTTCTTTTTTGCATTGAAGTTTGTCATTATGGCTATATTCCGAATTCAACTGGTCAGTACTGTCAGTTAGGGTCCCTTGATGTAAATTGACGTATTTGTCATCTTAACAGGGTACGGATAGATCCTCGTCTCCTCTCACTCTAAAGTGTTTGTGAAACAGTTATATAGTTCCATCTTTATTCATTTCTGGGGATAAACCATATACGTATTAATAAACAATACGGATCATAACGGGTGCCAGGATGAAGCCAAAAATATGAAACAAATGAATATCCATAAGGATTTGGTGGCATGATACGCATGCGCCATGCGCTATTATAGTAGTCATCAAAGACATGCGTTTCGGTGGACAATGACGTTTACTAGCCTTTCAATCAAAGCAGTATGTGTCTTATCGTTTCAAAACTTTTCCTTATGGATAGTCATTTGTCTTCAAAAATCGGCTTCATGTTTCGCTATGGAAACAGATAGAGATTATCCGTATTGATTATTAATACGTATATGGGATAAACACTAGATTTTTGACATTTGTTGTTTTTTAGGTTATATTGAGGTCACTGGCGTATCATACATAATTTACATATGGAATTCCTGATTCAACTATACCAAAATATGATGAACAATCCTCTAGTTTCAGAGTTTACTATACTCCAGCATAATTTTTGGGAGGTAGCTAAGGGAACATATGAATTGTACTGAAAGCTCAATATATTTCACCAAAAGGTACTGTTCTCGATAGACTGTATACAAGGGTTGATTGAATAGACTGAATGAATTCTGATTTCAAACTGAGCAGTAGTTTATCTATAAGCTGAATGAGCTGAGCCTTATGATTGAGAAATGGTGAAAACCTCGATGTGAATATCTAAAATACTGTACTCATGTGATGTGTGCTAAATATATTTTCGGAAATCAAACTCGAAGAAGAATTTATGGAGTGACTGATATCACACTATGTATAAAACTTCGTCTAGGACGAAAAGTAATACGTAAAATGTGCAGGGAAATAAAGAATAGCATATACTTCACCCCCATGTTATACATATGATCCTTCCGTCTCCCTTAAATGAAAAGTAATTTTCAAATAATTTATTGATGAAAGTAACAAACAAGTAGGCAGAATAACTTATAGGCACGTTATTTTCACTCTTGCATCCTACATAATTTCTATTTGTGATAGAGTAATGATTATATAAACTGATGTCTTTCACCATATTGGATCCGTCATCTTGGATTTTTTTAATTTTGACAAAACAATCATTATCTCTTACCCCGAAGACCCCAGACATCAATTTTGAATAGAATCGGATCTTCATCACAAAACTTGAACGCCATATGATCTTCCTCAACAATTAAAAACCCTGTACATACCTTTTATTAAAATTTTGAATGATTTTCTGTAGCGCTCATGGATGTGACGTGACAGCAATGTCAGGGATGCCAGTAGACAAAACTAAAGTCTCCAGATCATTAAAAAAGAATGCAGCTATGATCTGTCCGTACCCTGTTAAGATGACTTCAATGTCAATTTCCATCAAGGGACCCTACTGTCAGTAAGCCACTGACTGCTGACAATCTGTGTTCCGAAAAATAAAATCGAAAAAACAGTGCTGTGATTCGGAACACGTTTTCAATTTTCATGGTTTTTATCAGTAATCAGCAGCAGCAACTCCTGTGCTAATTTTTCCAGCATCTCTCTAATTGGTTGTACCTCAGTGAGTTGGTAGAGGAGTTGATTTGGAGGGTTGTGAAGGGGGTCTTATATCTATTATTCACAATATTGAATTTTATTCCGAAAATAATGAAATTGAATATTAGTTTTATTTACCTGCATATTCATTTGGCCTGATTTCAAAACCCTTCCTGTACCACAAAATGGCGGCGTCCAAACTTTTCGTGTCTGTGTGGTTGGATTCCGTGAATATGTCTTTGTATATCCTTCCACACAGACATAACATGTCTGGAAAATGGTTTTCTTTCTGAAAAATAACAAAAACATTGCAACTCCATTTTCACAAAAACTCATTGCAAACGAAACAAATCGCTGATTGGTTATTGAATTCTGAATTCAAAGGGTATGATGAAAAAAACAAAGCAGGCCGTATACTTGATTAATTGATTGACTTTACAGTATGCTCTCAAATTTGAGACATTTTTTTAGGATGATTTGGAATTCATTGAAATATACTGATCCACCAAGGTGTCTAGGGCTAGTCATGGGATCCTCTTTCCCAATTGTGTGCATTGTCAAACAATGTAGCACTTTTACGAAGATAATGGATATGTTTACATGCTTTTGATTTATGGCGAGTGTCACCAAAGTGCAGCAGCAGCATTTCGTTTGTAGAGTTCCCTTGAATGATTACTGCCCGAAGCGCACTTCCTCGGGAAAAAAAGTTTTTTTGTATATCTCTGAGGAGATTTTCTAACAGTGGATTTGGAACACATATATTTTTGGCGAATAGAGAAAAATAATGAGAATAATTGATTTTGATATTCAGGGCGTTTAAAAAAACCTAACCTCTTTGCTAGGGTAGGAAGAACACTGAGAAATAAGTTGAGCTTGCTCAGTAAAATGATGTCGTAACGGCATCCGTTTTCAAGATACAAGGTGTTGAAAAATCGTAAAGAATGTGTAAAAAACATTTTTTCAACACATTGTATCTTGAAAACGGACGCCGTTACGACCTTTATCACTGAACAAACCCAACTTATTTTGCCGTGTTCGACTAACCCTAACTAGGGAGAGTTTTTTTTAAACACCCTGTATTCAAGAGAAAAATTATTTCAAATCAAAAAAATCTGTTTTAATCCGAATTTTTGTTTTTTTTACATTGTGATTTTTTTAAATTCTGAACTCCACCCTTATGATCACTTACACTTTTGAGAGCTTCTTCGCAAACGGCCAAAGCACACTTCCTATCTCCCTCTTTGCGCCGCCTGTTCAAGGCGAAAGCGTACAAGAACATGATGTACGAGTTGAGGTACTTCCTGGCCAGAGGTACTCGTTTGAGGTCCTCCACCAGGTGGATCATGCTGTCGTACTCCTGGATGTCTCGAAAGCAGAACAGCATGTTGAGGATGACTTCTAGGGAGAGCACGTTGGGATCGTCGAGACGTTTACGCATGTGCAGCAGGGCTTCTTTCAGCTCCTCACCTTTTTTGTTTTCTTTGAGTTTTTTGAGGTCGTTGAGGAACTTCTCTTTCAGGTGGGCTCTGAAAGGAACGGAGATGGTACTTTTCCTGACAATTCCACGACCTAGGTGAAACTGTCATCTCCTGCGATAAAAGAACCAACCAGAATGGTCTGGCCTGCAGGGTACTACCTGCTTCTCCCTTTCGAGCTGGAAAGATCTCGTCGTCACGGCAACTGATCTTGATAGAATAACATCTTGTCTTCTGGTATGACATGGAGATGACCGTTTCAATCATATATCTACTACTCATATATGAAGCATAGCTGTCAAAGCGGGACCAACTTCTGTCTCTATAGGTAACGAAATCGACCAATAGGCGTTGATGCCGACGTAGGGAAAAAATAAAACGAAACTCGTCAAACCAATATGGCTGTTTCCATCCTTCACTTTCCGTCCTTATTCGCGATAGAAAATATAACGTCGCCCCACCTGACGGCAGCAACTTCTGAGTGGTTTGTTTTGATGATATGACCAATAGGCATAAACAAAAAACAAATGTGAACCGATGAAAACAAAGTAGACATGCCGCTTTGGCAGCTTTCAAGAACTACGATAGGTGGCGTACGCTTATTTTCTATCGCGAATAGATTCGAAAAGTACATCTCAATTTGGTCCCATTTTTGTTGAGATATCGTATAGGCGATGGGCCATTTATAGAAATAGTACATATATTATATGGTTTCAATGATGATGGAAATAAGTAGATGTTGTACTTACTGATGCGCTTTTGTGTCAGAAATTTTTCTCGACCTCCCGAGAGACCCGTGAACAATGTTTTTAGCTGTTTTCGGATAGATGGCGACATTGCACAATTATAACATCTGCCAATTTTCAAATTACCGCAGATTTTTTGAATTCAGAGTTAAATAATCCCACTGTTACATATGTTCGGCGTACCCAAAATGCCATTTGCCATTTTATTTCCACTCGTCACAGTAGCAATAGCACCATCACCATCTAGCGGAAAAATGTAGAATCAACGTCTCGCTCGATGTGACGTAGAGAAATCAAAGTAGGCGGTCGAGTGATTTTTCTTGATTTTTCAATACGTAAAAATGGCCGAGTACGCGCACCATCTACTTATTTCCATCATTGTTTCAATATAGGTCGTGGAAGGGGATTGTACAAACTTGTCAAATTTACGCCACAAACTTATTTCATATTGATCATTCCGGAAGCTGACGTCATGAACCGAACCGAAAGTCATCGTTATCTGAATTCTGGATTTCACATAAAAAGTAGGACCACATATTTCGACGCTGCCAGATTTATAACTAGTAATTACCTTATGAGATTCAATAAGACCAATAGCAACAGTATTCACATTCACAGAATACAATAGTTCGACCTGGTCCCTCATAATCACTTATTGAATACTTTTATTCTTGAAAGATGCTTCAGTACCAATAAAAAATATCCTAGTATTCCTAATAATGATCGAGATTTTATTTGAACCCAAATTATTTTGTGGCCCTGGCAACAGGGTAGTGCCTAGAGTTTTCAGAAATACAAGATAGGAACTACATTGATTGTCTTTATTACCCCAAGAAACATAGTTGTTTATAATAGGGATACATGAACAATATACATAATGTTATACATACAATTATGAAATAATGATAAGATATAACAAGTAAAAAAAAATGCAAATAATCATGCAATATCAACCTTGTCTTTTATAAGTAGGTATTCAAATGAGAAATGGAATTATCAAAGTCTCTGAAGCAGATATTTTTTCAAGTTAATTTTGAATCTACTTGCTTCCTGTATATTCCTCAATTGACTTGGTAATGAGTTGTATAGAACGATTCCTGTGTGAAAAATGGATTGTTTGCCGATATTTGACTTATACGTATTTGCTATTAGTAAATTTGATTGTCTTGTTCCATGATTATGTAATGAATTAATTTCGTTGAAATTTAAATTCGAAATTTTCAATTTATATTGTGTACCTAACTTCCTAACGTCAATCTCTTCTGTCACTTTCTTCTTCAAATCCTTGTTTCATCTAGTCAAGATGCGAATATACAATGATAATCGTCGGATTATCTGATTCTTCAGTTGTGTGTTGTATTCTGTTATCTTCAGTTAGTAATCAGTCTGAAAATGCATTTCCTATTTTGATGAAAATGACAATCAGAAATAGTCGTGCCCATGTCTCCAGAGAAATAGAAAATGCATACGTAAGTCGAATCTGCATTGGATTGTGAACGGGTGATTACGTCAAGCGTTTTCCCGTATTTTTCATGTTAAACCCAAATTATTTTCTGCCCTACAAAAGATACTGAGAGGATGGAAATAGGTGTAAGTATATAATATTTGCTATCGGTAAGCACAAAAAAAATAAAAAATATGTACTGTATATGCAACAAATGTGGGTACACCAACCCTGTGAAGTAGAACCGGACAGCTAGTAATTTATATAAACCTACAGTAGTTTTCTGGAGAAAGGACAGATCAAAAAATATTCCATTTTCAATTCAACACTCTGTACTTAATAAGGGTATGAAACAAAATATTATATTTTCGCCTCCTGAACCTATAATTTGGCCCATTAATTTTTAAAAATCACCTTGTATAAGGAGTAAGAAAAGGTACATAGTTACATTCATATCATATTGAAATCCAGATATCAAATTCTTCATGATACTTCATCAGATTCATAAGAGATAATCAATTGTGTCTCTATGCAGAGAATGGAATCAGTTAGTCAACCATAGTAGGCTTTGAATTCTATGCAAGCTTCAGAAAACAAAAGAGAGTAATGAGGAGTTGGCAGTGTTCAGGTGGATTCATGGAATTTAAAATTCATAAATGCATTTAAGTTTTGAATTTTGCTTGCATGAATCCTCCTTTAATGGTGAAAAATGGTGAGAGAATTCTTATTTCATTGAAGTAGAGAGAAACTAAAGTGCAGTGTTCGGATTTTTGTTCAGAGTATCTTTTGTAAGTATTCAAAAATTCGCCGGGTGAGGGACGCTATCCTTTTGCAGTGATAACTTTTTGCTTCTAATTTCTAATCAGCATAAGGGATAATGGAAATATTGAGTAGCTATTCTGATAATAATTTTCAAAAAGTTACTCAGTGATCCACAAATCTCAATCCCATGTTCATATTTTCGGGAGTGACTACTACTCAATCGGGCGTCTCTTCCATTAATTTTTCAAACAAATCAAGGATTCATGAAATTCTCATGTGGGAAGTGAAAATGACAACATTGATTTGATAAATGAACATTAGTGTTGTGTTTTTTGCTGATAAATGGTACTAGTGGTGATGGACCTGATCCAGGTAACAAGACTGCTTCAGCTGGTGAGTCCATTTCAATTTGCTATTTTCTTTTATTCATATATAAATTCAAAATGCTGTTACTGTTCACCCCTTCATTGAATGACATAACATTGTGAATACCATTCACCAATACAATACCACAAACTACTTACTTTGCTTGCACTTCAACATCTTGTAATAACTTCTTCAGTTTCTGATGAAGAAAGTCTGTGGGTTCATCTGCTCGTCCACTAGGACAAGTTGTTAGGCAAGAACTTTCAGAAAGATTGTATGATACAAAAGGATAACTCCCACATGATAACTGAAATTGAAAAAAAAATTAGCAAGTTAGGTTTGGATATACTGAAGAAAATCATCCACTTGAGGTAGATAAAAATGTTCAATTATAGGTTGTTTCTCAATTTTGGAGGCTCTGTTGATATTGATATACCTTAAGTTTTAGGGTAACCTCAGAATCCATATCATTGTATATAAGTATATTCTGTTTCATCTTGAAACTTTCTCTGACACCAAGGTGGTAAAAAGCAGTCCTGCGTTGCATTGGGAAAGAAACATCTATGATGACTACATCTGCATTGTAAAAACTACTAACAACATTTGTTTCACCAAAGTCCAGCTTATCCAACTGAAAAATAGAAAAAAAAAAAATTGCAGGTTGAACTTCCACTAGCAATTTTTTCAAAATTTGTAATCAATGATTGTTTGTTTGGGAAATATGAATAAGCAAAACTATAACAAACTGAAACATTGAGAACTTTGCATCACTAATTCCTAATATTTCAGAGTAAAATCTTGCAGAAAAATTGCTGACTTTACATCAATTACATTAGGTACCATAAGTATAATATAGAAATGTTTGTTGTACCTGAACATGATTGAGGTTGGCCCCGATCAAAAGACAGGCCTGTCTCACTTCTTCTAGAGCCTTTTTTCTTTGTGCCAAGTTTTCTGATTGGCACACATCTATTACACAAACTACGTCCATTTGGCTTTTTGTCATTGTGGAGCCACTTTGCACTGTAGTAACAGACAAATCAGAATTTGATCCAATACTGTCTGTGGTACTGCGACACTCTGCAAAAAATTTGTTTATACTATGACCCATTTTGTTATGTTAAGGATGACTCAGTACCTGTTTCTGTCTCTAGTATTGGTAGGACCGGCATGTTTGTGTTTATTTTTGATGAATTTCAGTGTAAAACTGCAGGCAGTACCAATCGGTATCTTATCAGGTAAAATCAGGTTCAATTCAACAAGTCAAGCACAAGGTTATTCACAGAAAAAAACTTTCACTGGGTCCGTCTCTTGTGTGAAGCAAATTGCTTCAAGTGGAGCTGCTTCATTGAATCAATATTCATTTTATTAGGTTTCAATTGCTGTATTGTGAACCTGCGAGAATAATAAAACTTGCATAATTCAATTAGTCCAGTCCGGAGTTCACCACATTGAATTATTTAACTTTTTTTGACAACTTCAAGTAAGTTTTGACGTTTAGACTGTCACTAGTGTCAGTGGTGTTTTGAAATTTGACAACCACAATGATAGGGAGTGTATGAAGGTACGACAAACTGTTTATTCATCAATTATTTCAATTTCACATCACTGAAAGCAGAGATTATGAAAGATTTACTGATACACTATGTCGCTTGACTAATTTCAATTTATATTTCTACAGTGTCATTCATAAAGTTGGTTTCATTTGGGTTCGCTACATGTTAATAGTTTTATAGAAACAACTTTACTTATGTAAACTTTTTTGAAATTCTAACAAATTAGCCAATTTTCAGCTATTAATTTGAGAAAATGTCAGGCGAGACCACGACCGATTGTAGCCCATTTTCATATTTTTAAAGAAAAACGTAACGCCCAAGTCGAATTTCGAAATTGATTATTACTAAAAGTTTTTCCCATTTGATGCAGACTTTTTTTATCTTTTGGAGCACACGATAGGAAATCCCGATAATGTTCGTGGAACATCGCGCGTACCTAGGTAGGATATTGAGAGGAGGTAGGTGTTTTTTTTTTAACTTTTGAAGGTTATAAGTTCTTGGGAAGCTTCCATTGGCAAAGAATTTCTATAAGCTTCGCCGCTCTATAGACGAACGAGTTTTGGTAGAGCGTTGTTCGACATTTGAAACATACGAAAGACACTGTATATGTATATAAATAGTACCTGTCCTGGAATAATGTTCTCATATATGGAGTGCAGCACCCAAACATATACCCTGAAACTGTTGGATTCTGACGAAAAAAGGGCAAATCGTCTCGTGGGTGATGCCTCACTCATAAACTCATTCACTTCTCTGGAACACCGTAGAAAAGTTGGCGATCTGGCTGCTCTATTTTATAGATATTTTCATGGAAGAGATGCTCTTCTGAAATATATACAATTTTTCCTCCATTGGCAGTCCCCGCGAGATTAACCCGTCGAGTTGAGGTTTCGCACCCCTTCGTGGTCACTTTGGAGACCTGCAGAACATCTGTTTCCAAAGACTCGTTCACCCAACGAACAGCGAGGCTCTGGAACACATTGCCAAGGGAGGTGTTCCCCGAGACATATAACCTCCAAAAACTTAAGAAGAACACCAATTCCTCGACCAATTCCTACCTCATTTTCCTTGGTTCTCACGATGTTCTTGAACATTACAGGATATTCCTTTTCGTGGGAACCAGGACATAAAGAAAAACCTAAGTAAGGACTTCGATCACATCATATCATTCATATCTATATAATCTGAGGGCGAGGGTCTTGACAAATTTTAAATCTAGAATTTTCGAGATCCTTCGAGATTCTCACGTAGACAATGAACATTAATCGATTACGACTGCTTTTAATCAAGAATTAATTCAATTTCAAGTTAGTCAAGTCATACCAATCACTTGTAAATTTAGCAATTATTGAGAAGCGGTTAGCTGCTAATCGTCAACACGTCAACCATTGATTGATCACTCTTTAAAAATGTGAGAAAATACTTCCGAATTTCTAATTTTTAGACTAATCAACCTTGACTAGAAGGTAACAAAATTAGTAATAAAATAAAGATAGAGAGCAAGTTCTTGGTCGAGAATGAGGAAGTATAGGTATACCTATTCATGGAGGACTAAGGACAAAACAAACATTTACCTAGGAAAACTGAGTATGAATCATCGTCTTGCGTCTACCAAATACACCAAAGATCATGATTCAATAATGAATTGAGCTGTTTATTTTTCACAAAACAATCTGAATCCAAAAGAGACTTATTCACTTGTGTGCGTATGATAAATTGAGAATACATTTAGAAGTGAAAAACATCTCATTCATAATTTCGTTTTGAAGCTCCCATTATCTTGATTGGTTTTCCATCAAATATTACACATTTATATCTCGTTCTTGATGACTTACATCAAAGGGGAAATAGGGATAGGTAACTTGTGTTCAAATAATTAATTTATATTATATGATGATTGTGTTAATATTATTCATTTTGCCCTCATTATTTGATACAAATCTGGGTCACAAACTTAGCTGTTAATTATTACTATGATACAGTAGGAAGAACATAATGTGGAAATAAGTGTATATCGTGATAATGTTTAATAAATTCCTGTGTATCGCAGTTTCTCATTTCTATCATGTCAAGCTTGCACATCAGACTGACGTGTCTAGCACATGAGAATGATATTATTTAAAGAGTTACAACATTTTAGGTAATTAGAACGTTAATAATATAAATATCTTGAAAATGAGTATATATAAAACCTAGGTGTTATCAGTATCAACATTCCACGTTCATACCACTAGAGAAAAGGAAAACAATGGCAAAGGTGATTTATACATACTTTGAATACTGTACAGGGTGTCCCAAACTGGACGCGTTCTCATGGGAACACCCCGTACTCGAAGAGATAGAACAAAATTAACCTGGGTGTCCGGACCTCAAATAAAATGAGGAAGCCACTGGCGCAAACAAAACTTTGCTATCTCTGATCGTTTGTTCGCCAGAGATTTTTTCTCGAATTTCGTCGATTTCATCAATGCCCCATAACTTTCTTATTGATAAGAATAATTGAAAATTATATCATCAGTTTGGCAACATGTCTACAGTGTAAGTTTGAACAAGATTTGAAATAAAATATATGCTTTCTACTCTATAATAAAATACAAATTTTTATGTTAGATATGCATTCTCAAAACACATAAGGTTTTTTTGAAATGATTTCTATTAAAATGTTCCTGTATTTTTTCGATCAATGAACATTAAAACGAATACGTTTTGATGTTCCTTCAGATAAAAATATATATGTATATGCACACATATCATTCTGAATATTCAACAGAAAACCTGGCTATTTGACACGTCGAAAATTGAATCATATGTCTGTTGAGATATACTAATTAATAGAAAAAAATAATTATACATTGATCCCCTGTAGCTCCGCTTCTGATCGAGATCGGTGTCATGTTTATGAACACTTTTTTGATGAAAATGATGAGATCTATCACACATTCCAGTTTGTGCCTTCAAATCTGAATCACGCTGTACACAGAACGAAAATAGTTATTTTTGTATCTATATAGAGCGCGATATGCTACTTTGGTGATCGAGATCTGATTTTTTTAACGAGGCGTAGCCCAGTTAAAAAAATAGTCGAGCCACTACAATTATTATCATCACAAACACATGCATTTCATAACAAAATTTGGAACACTAGATAGGTAGATTGATACTTACTCAATACATATTATCATCAAGGGTAATATAACAAGATCTTGATAAATAGTCGACTATTTTTATGGCATCTAAATTTCGACTGTATTTTATAATAATTTAACGAGACATTATTTTGGCATTAATAATCTGATGAGAGCCCGAGAGCGAAGCTCGAGGGCTTTCATCTCTGATTATTAATGCCAAAATAATGTCGAGTGAAATTAATAAATACAAGAGAAATTTAGCAGCAATAAAATAGTCGACAATTAATCAAGGTCGTGTTATATTTGTGAAGATTATTTCTTGAATCCACTTCTCTATATCAGTCATATGAATGAATGAAAATTAAACAATTTGGAATAATGTATCCAAAATATCAAGAACAAACTACAAAATCTAAACAAAAACAGCACCATATTCATAATTTATCGATAGAAATTACAAACACAATTATTGTATGTGACATTTCCACCATGTGTAATTTGCGACATTTGTTCAGATTTTGAAGAACTTGCAAGTAAGGTTGAATCGAAGAAGTACTAGCGTGGCCAGTAATTTGGATGAGTTGCTGCTCTGGTACTCCGGATTTTGCCAGTTGAGAAACTGCAGTTGATCTGCAAGAATGGTTTGTAATTTTCAATTGGTTGGTATCTAAACCAATAGACTTTGCTCCCAATTTAGTCCATTTTGAAAATTCGTTTTTTCCAACCGGCGAATTCTTGGAGTTAGGAACAAGCGTGGACATGTGATTCCTGGTCCTCTTTTTCCAATCGATTCCCTGAACAATCTAACTGGACAGCGCTGTGGGTTTTGTTCATTTTTAGTAAGCCACTTGCTGTCTGCGCATTTCTGGTTTCCTCCTTGACAGGTTTTTGTAAAAATTGGGTTATATTCAATCCTACCTGATTCATTACCATTATTCTGAATTTGAAATTTGAAATGTTCAATCAAAGCTGAACAACATTGGCCCACACGCCACGCTAATTCTACTGAAGCCAAATAGTAAAATTTTTTTTGAAGTCCATCTGGAGTTTTTTCATCGCATTTGTCAATAATAGCAAACATATTTTCTATACTTAAAACCGTTGAACTTTGTTTCCGTTTTTCCTGATGTTTTTGCAATTCCCGTCTCTTGGCATTGCGTGCGTCTCGAGAACTTTTGAATTCGCACGCTTGAAATAGATCTATTCTATTTTTATGTTATACTTCTTGAAATACATCTCTTGAAGAGTTTTATATAGCTGTAGAATTCCACATGCACTTCACAGTATTTTCGTCATAATCTTGCCCATTTTCTTTTTTCATATTCCAGGCCCAGTCTTTCAGAATATCATTCAGTTTTGTGATTGGTGTCGACTCATTCAATTCATATTGACGATGCCCGCAAAATTTAGTAAACTGATTCCATACGCTATTTTTACTCCTCACTGTATTGTCAGGGATTGTACCCTCGATTATCCTATCTATCTCTTCGTTTATAGTTTCTCCAAATCGATTCATTTTCAAATACTTATACAGCTTCAACACGATTGATTTTATTTGACGTTTAAGATGTATTTATTTAGAGTAATGTCAGATGCACTGGTTCATTGATATATAGGTATTATGCTGAATAGTCAGTGACTATTATGCACCATGTAAATAGTCGCTAATAGAGCGTGTTGATTGGTCCTGTCAAACAGGAAACAAACGTATCATTGGTTGATGACTGATATTTAATAGACGAAAGAAATAATCATTGAAGAATCCATCTTCCATATTATCAATTGAGAATACTCCTGTCACCATAACTGCCATTATAACGACCAGGGAAAGT